TTCGATAGCCAGAACTATTATTAGTTGAATGGGGCACCTAATACGTTTGTTTACTGCCTCCTCGTCGACAAGGAAATGGGCAGTTATCGTCTCTCGAACGATTTGCTTCGGAACGGGGTCACAATTTCGATATTCCACTTCTAGCAAAGTTATTATTTATGCTTGTAAAACGAGGTTAAAAAAGCAATGTTGGATTATATTAATTACTTGTCATGGAATATGCAAGCATAAAACGTGTCATGTAACGTTTGCTCAACAAACAATTATTCTTATTCTCTTATTATTCTTATTCGTAACATAATATATTCTAGTAAACTAGCTGCTGTGGTCTCTGGCAGAATGACCAGCGCTGTGGAACTTTTTGCTCCTCAGCATAATGCTGAGCCAGGTCCAATTACAACCACAGTACACACACATTGCACACTGGAAGCGAACCGAATGGCAAAAGGGAATTTTTATTTTTATTGTTTTTGATGTCTTATTTTATTTTAATTTTTTCTTTAAGTATTGTTATTTTGTGTGTTTATGTGTGTGTGTTTTCGTTTGTAATAAAATTTATGTCTATGTCTATGTCTAGTCCAAAATGAAAAGGCGCCCTAATCATACAACCTCTTTAATCTGCGCGGAAAATTTAATTAACTACAAATTAATTGACCAATTTAAAATTATATTAACATGACGTGAAATTTATATAACAATACAAAATGATTGCTCGTATCTCCCGCTAACACTAAAACGTAATACAGAATTTTAATTTTAAAAGGGTGCAAAAGTATTTAATTTAAAAATAATTAATTCGACAATTTAATGTTACTAATTTTTTTATTTCTAATATTGTATTCCAACAAAATAGATTTAAAATGATTTTGAAAATCTCCCAAATCATGAGTCGCCACTATACTTTACACATATTTCTTAAAGTTTCCTGTTTCCATAGAACATTACGTATGTAAACACACATACTTTGCCAGTTTGCGACGGAAATTCGTATATTTCATTGGACGTGATAAAGCATCTCCTTCCTCCAACTTTTTTCGCTAAATGTTCCGTCTTGACGTCACTCGACTATTTGCGCACGAATAACTTTATATAACGTTGAATACGAAATAAGTTTTGTGTAGTTTTGCAAATCTCTTTTTATACTTACTCATAGACGCTGATGTAGCGTCCAACATTTATTATAGCATGTCGGAAAAGTCGAATCTGAAATTCTAAAAGATGCCACAAAGTAACCTAACGAAAATATAAAGAAATGCTAAATTCCTTATTCGAATTTATCGTAAATAGTTACAAGAAATGTATTAACATTGGTTTACCTCGAGTTATTTTTCAAGTCCTACGCCCTAATCTGAATATTCTGTAAGTTTCCAGTCTAGAATTTTGAATCGGTAACCGCACATCTTTTCACTAGACCACTTTGGGGTGGGCTAGTGGTAGCTCCACCTCTGTATATGCATATGATGTCTTTATTAATTTAAGCGAGTTATATAGATGTTAATAAAACCAATACCAAACCTTATTAACTGAAATGCTAATTTATTATTTAGTGTATCTCCCGCTGACCACGAAAGCTAATGCTCAACGTTTCGAGATATTTAAATTATGTAATTAATTCATGCATATTTAATTTTACTTGCAATAAAGGTCCTAATCTAATAATGACATAAGTTATATTTCAAACCTTTAGACTAAGGAACAGGCATTTGAGTAAATTTCACAGGTGGAATGATGTCTTGAAATGGCATCAAAATAGCCATGCATAGTATTTATTCTTGGTTTTTTTAATTATATTTGATTATTAATTTCAAGAATACTTTAGGCAACATGGTGTCGCACCCGTGCCTATGATGTAGGTACCATGCTTGTGAACACGTTAGCAAATGTCAAATATTTTACGTGTTAATTACATATATATATATATATATATATATATTATATATACCTAGTTGAAATATAGTATATTGCGGCCAAACTAGTCTTCGACGAAATTAAACTCCAAGACTGTATTAGGATGAGACAGGCGAGGACATTATTTACAAGTACCTACGCTACGCCATCGTCGATTTGACTAAGCCTGATCCTTTTACGTCACGTGACTGTCGTATAAAAACAATGGATTTAAAAAAAATATTATTTACAAGTTATTTTACTCCATAAAACTTATTACTTACTAATTATGGAGCCAACAAATCATTGATTAAAGCACATTAGTTTGGCCGAGATCTATTACTAGTGATTTTATTAAATATTGTATATTTTACGAGTTATTTAATTAAAAAGCATTTGGCGTTTACGTCTTTTTTGTTTCGCGAAACACTGTATCGTCCGTCTCATCTTACGCGAACTTCAGGCATACGTTTGTTTCACTAGTCACTAGAGCGGGCGGTGACAGAAACCCGGGTGAAATTATGAATTTTGCTAGCTTTTAAGTGATAGCCCATGGACACACTCAATACCAGAGAGCTCGCAAGTAGATTAATACCTAATCCGAACAACTCCTCTTAACACTTAATTCTGAATGAGGTAGAAAATGCAGAGACCCAACACCCCTACGCAACGCCAAAGGATAAAGCCGCTCGGAGAGGGATTGGTCGTCGAGGTGAAAACAGTACTCCATGTGGGGCCGAATTTGCGCTTTATAGAGTTGCATGCGGTGGCCCGGAGTGAAGTACCGTTTCGCCTTGCTGAGCATACCAAGCTTTTTGGAGGCTAATTTAGCCTTCCCTTCCAAATGACCATGAAACTAAACGTCGTTCGACATGTCATCGCCCAGTATTACGATGCGGCTGAGGGTTTGAGGAGAGTGTCTTCGAAGAGTGTGACACCAGGGTGTGTTTTTAAGAGATCCAGTTGCATAATTTCTCGAGGAGCCCAGAGGCTGGAAGCTTCGAGAGAAGCGCTTGGTTAAATAGGCTGGAAGCTTAGAAAGAGTACTAGGTTAAATAAAATACATAATAATTATCTATTCATTTATTTCGAATATACAACTGAACATAAATAAACATACATAACAGATCATCAATAGAGTATAATTCAACAATCACTATAAATTTTCCAAAAATATAACTTTGTACATAACAATTTCGGCTACAACGAATCGGTAACGTCATCTTGTCGAAAATCTTATTTACATTAAAATAAATTGTTATTTTCACGCATATAGTTATTTATTTTTCATCGATTAACATATGCTCTATATTGGCATAGATAAAATTATAATATAGATAAGATTTAAAAAAATCTCACAACATAGTAATAACTATGGTTATTATACTAAAATTGCTTTATAGATGTCAGGATATATAAACAGAAATATATACAATTTTTTGCCTATTAAAAAAAGGCTTTACAAATCCATTTTAAGATTCTTATGTCCACGGGTGCTCTTCAGACTGTTTGGAGTTTCAAAATAACTTTGCGGGGTTAATTATAGTGTAAACTCCATGTAACATCCCTCGATTTAACGACAAACGCCCCAAAGCGTCGCTCGGCTTTGGTTGGTTTAGCTTGTCTTTCATACAATGGTACACTCTACATAGAATTACACCCACCCTCAAATCGAAAACAATTAAATACTAAAAAGTACTTTTTAAGTTGCCGAAATTAGTTAAACGGAGCTGTGTACGATGTTTTGTCGCTTTATTGTCCTAGCGAGAAATAAACTCGACTGTCGGTACTCGTCATACGTACCGAACTTTCTGAGAAATCGCGAACGCATCACGAAGATGCCTCAATATCGAAAGATATGAATTAAATAACTACAAAATATAACCTAACTACTGGTACAGTACAAAAATTACAGACGCAATAGCGTTCAAATACGAATTATTTTTATGTAATTACTAACACTGGTCTGAAATAAACTTTCTTTTTCTAAAACAGATTTTTTTTCCATTTAATAGCAACCCTTTGTAACGTCAAAATAGGCACAGTCCCTTGAGTGTCGTTATATAGAGTTTACACTGTATCTAAACTAAACCTTACTTCTAGTTGTTAGCACCTTTTTATGCACTCAAAGTCACAGATTCAAAATTCTAGCAACGGACTGATAATTAGAATAAAAGGGAAACGAAATAGCATGGTTTAACAAAACCTATTGTTAAAAAATAGTCAACAGATAGGCACAAATAGAAAGTACCAACAATTGGCACATATACACAGCCATTACATTAATATAGTAATTTACATTCTCTAACATAGTTTTGACAAACACAAGGCCTTCACGATTTTCTTGGTTTTAACTTTCATTTATTTATAAGTACATGAGTTTTTAAAACTGCAATGTACATAAGCTTAGTAAATTCGTTATTAAAAATAAAAAAAATATTGAAATAAAATAAGTTCCATTTGGATTTAAAGGTCAGGTTACCAGTTTTCAGTAGTCTTAAAATACTTATAGGGTTGACATAGTAAAATCTGACCAGGATATAGGCCTATAAACAAATTCGATGTCACTGTAACATTTAGCCCTTTAGGACTTATCGTTGCAGCCGAAAAATATTTTAACTAAATTCATCTACTTACAAACCTATTCAACTATTAAAATAATTTGTAATTTTTAATATGGTTGCGATACTTGCACGATGAACTTTTACATATTGCACCCTTTAGGATGTATAAAATAACAATTAATTTTTGTTTGAAATACTTGGACACTCCTCGTATTTAGAACTATGACCCAAAAGGTATCTCAACCCCTAAATAAAAACTGTCAAATATGTTCTGAATTCAAATTTAAAGCTAGATTAAAGTTTGAAGTTCACTTTCATTGTTTGCTTTCAACTAGTATTTGTATACTAAGGAAATCCTTGCATTTGTGCACAAGGGACAATTAAGTTTACTTAATACAAATACTTGATGAAACGGTCAAAATATTTGTGCTGGATACTAACCCCCACAACTTAATTATTTGGCCCTTTAAGTTGTCCTAAATCTCAAGACTACCATACTTACTTTGCCCTAGTCAATTTATGATCGCACAAGTATCAAAACATACCTATCTACTTCTCTTTTTCTTTCTCTTGTGCATTCTGTTTTTCTGTTTCGGGTCCCTGTATGTAGTGGTAGTTGATAAACCTAGCTCCCTGCGTCAACTGTGCGCACTCATTTGTTAAGTGACATGCAAACAATAACATGTTTCGTGGCTGTACTCGCCACGCGAAACGCATAAACATCAGCGAATAGAGTGTTAAGGCTGGAAAAATAATAGTAACTTTTCAAAGAGATTATGGTATATACATTGAAAACTATTGTTCCTCAGACTTACGGTATAGTAGCAAACCCCATATTAATGCTATTATAAAGAATGAAATTTTTTTTTTTGTTAAATTTAAAGTTATAACAATATAAGCACTGAATATAAATAGTTGAATCATTATGAATATGGAAAACATAATCAAATTTTTTTAAATGAGTAATGAAAAATTAATGTCCTATTTTACGCTAGACCTGGGTAAGTGACTATACATTTTAAAATTAGTTTCAAATAATAAAAATCTTAGTTCTAAATAAATATCAATAGCAGTGATAAACAATATTTAACTCAGACATCTTATCTATTATAACAGTGCAATACTATAAAGCACTTATTTTTTATAGCCTTTGGATATCAGTTTATGATAAACATCCGTAAGATATGACCAGATTTCTATTACTAAATAATTATGCAATAATAACTGAGCAAATAAAGTATGATAAAATTATAATTCTGCTATTTTCTTTTAGAATATAAAACATGTTAGTTTATATAAATCTTTGTCATAAGAATGCTAAATTACTATAATTGTATAATTTTTGCAAATAATAAAACTAGTTATATTTAAGAAATTTGTAAATCCAATTGAATGGTTGGTTGCTTTAAAATGCTTATTTCTTATATGTAAACAAGAAAACAGACACAAAGTACATGTTTTTGGTGAATTCATTTAAAACTGTTTTTTTTTATTATATACTAAATAAGCCAAGACCAAAATACTCCTTTCAAATAAGACAAACATAAAATTATAAAACATGTAATGATGAAAAGCAACCGAACTGGAGCTATGTTTATGTAAACACCTCCAGGGGTTATTGTTTAAAGATATGGTGTTTCTTAATACCACAATGTTATATATTATATAACACTACAGTGGTACAGAAACCACTACTTATAGATTTGGCAACATTATTATTTTGTATATAATATGTATGATATATTACAGCAGTGCTCTAATATCTTAGATAGATTAAAATCTTACTCAAAATTGATCAGTGTTTTACTATGAATATTTACAACATACAGTTACTTACCAAATGTCATTTTACCACTAATAAACCTTGGGTCCTTTCTTGTGTCTGCTATAGCTGCTAGTGGTATACCCCAATTTGCTACTGGGCCCCAAAAATGTGTGCTGAAAAGTAAAAACCAAAATATTAAATACATTTTAGGAAATTAACTATTTGTTTATATTAATATGTAGGCTTCAAAAATTATTATACAAAACTCTGAATTAAATTATTTTGCAATTTTCAAATAAATAAAGAACAACGTTTTTATCTCACATAATTACTAACCTCATTAAATACTCCCGAAATTCTTTGCTTTTTAGCTGTTCCACTAACTTTTTTATCAACGACATTGTGGCTGAAAATTTAAATTATGAATTAGTAATTAAATACACTTGTGAGACAAACTTCTTATCAGTATAATTTGTAAGTTACGCATGACTTAGATAACGTCTAATATAGAATCGATTGTATAATATCATAATAATTTCTGCAATTTGTGTCGAAGAGACGTTTGTTATGGTAATTTTTTCGTGTCCCCAATCACCTCAGTTTTGTTCAAGGTTATGTTTGGTAAAATTTTAAATTAAAAGCATATGCAATGTGTAAAATTTTACCAGCTTGATGTTCAAACTATTGTTCTATTTATAGTAACAATTATTCAAATTTATTATTAATTAAAATTTTCACCAACGTCTTACGTTATCAATAATATTAAATTATCTACATTCTACTTATCAACTTTACTCACCACAGAGCTCTTTTACAAACTAGAAATACAGAAAGACTTTCGCACTTCCGTACAAATACGTAATATTTCAAATTTTTTGACATGGGTGATGGGAGTGCTACCAGATTTAAAAAAACATTTATACTTATTATTGTTATTGCTTTGCTCACGGCATCCAAGCATAGTAATGTCATATGTCAAGTATCAAGCATTTTAAAAGTTTAATTTTCAAACGACAAATATTCGTTTCTCTCGTGGTTCTGTTTTTTATTCTTTACTTTTAGGTAAAACATGAATTACATTATATTATATATGTATTAGATAAGATTTATATTGTGATTTTGTGGAACACAGTTACGGAAAAAATGGAAAAGTGTAACAGCTTTTTATTGTTTATATCCCTTTGTGCGTTGTTATGGGGTGTGGCCGGCCAATATGAATGGCAAATTTGGGATGCTTTCGACGAAATTCGTGGAAGAATGGATAAAGTTAACCCTGATAATTGTTATATTACTCACTTAGACGACCTTTTCTTACCCGAAGACTCAGTATCTCACCATCCTGATGTCAAAGAAATAAACATAAACCCGGTATTTCCAAATCGCACAGCATTGTTACATTTACATAATATGGCTATGAATAGAGCATTTTTCTGGAGTTACATCCTACAATCAAGGTTTATCAGACCTGCTATTAACGACACCTACGATCCGGGTATGATGTACTATTTTCTTTCATCAGCTGCAGATGTATCCTCTAATCCTTATATAAACGCCAGTTCAATTTATTTCTCACCGAACATGTCTTACACGTCTTCATATAGAGGATTCTTCAATAAAACCATGCCACGGTTTGCACCAAGAGCTTTCCGAGCTGATGATTTTAATGACCCTGTCCATCTACAGAAGATATCAACAATGAATACTCTTTATGTGGAAGATTTAGGTGCTTTTGATTCTGGTAGTCTGTCCAAAGATTATACTTCTGATTTCTACCGCATCAATGAATGGTATAATAAGTGGTTGCCTGACAGAGTTGACAAAAGACATGATACCAAAACAACATATCAAGTTGAGATAAGATATTCAAACAACACAAATGAGACATTTACATTCCATGGGCCACCTGGTAATGATGAAGTACCAGGACCAGTGAATTGGACAAGACCATATTTTGACTGTGGAAGATTGAATAAATGGTTAGTAGCTGCTGTGTCACCAGTAGCTGATATTTACCCTCGCCATACACAATTCAGACACATAGAGTATCCTACGTAAGTATATTGCATTTATAAGGTACTCCAGCTTACATAGATTTGTATTTGTTTGTTAATTATTCATGTAACACCTCTTTATATACAACTATATGTAAATAGTTGAAATTTACTATTTAATTCTTTGATTTTTTAGATACACAGCAGCAGTGGTAATGGAGCTAGACTATGATAGAATAGATATAAATCAGTGTCCACCGAGTCAGGGGAATGATAAACCTAACAGGTTTGTTTCAACGGCTCGATGTAAAGAGGAAACTACTGAGGTAAGAAACTGTAACATTTTAAATTAAAGACTAATATGTTTGTCTTTCAGCCTCATTGTAGATATGAGCCAGATTGTGCTGTTGAGATTTAACAATATCAACAGCTTCACACAATAAATATGCATCTATGGCTATGCTATGATATGAAAACAAAATTTATTTTTATTATTCACTATGACAGTGGATCACACAATTCATTTCATGATTGATCTAAAACATAATATAATATAACATGTAGTAACTTATTTATGTAGACTAAAGATGCCTAAATAATAATATTACCTGCCAATTTTAACATTATTGGCAGGTATTTTACGAAGTGATTAAAACAACCATGTTTTTCGTCACTGATTAAATTTATTGTTCTTCATTCAGTGTGAACCATTACACGGCTGGGGATTCCGTCGTGGTGGCTACCAGTGTAGGTGCAGACCAAACTATAGACTGCCTGGCATAGTAAGAAGACCATACCTTGGGGAGATTATTGAGCGAGCCACATCTGACCAGTACTATAATAACTTTGACTGCTTACCTATTGGATGTATGTAAATTAATCATTTGAAATTAGAGTCAAAACCGTTTATAACGACATTGAAGGGACCGTATAGTTGCCGATGTTATATCCGATAGTCGTTATAAGCAATGTCATATACACAAGTACAGTACATATGTATGTACAATGTACATAGTTATATTATCATAGTTATCTATCTAGGATAGGTAGGTATGGGTTATAATATGGTATGTTAATATTATAATATGTAAAGAAGTAAAAAAGAAACAAAAATATTTATTACAAAATAATTAGGTACAAAAGTAATCAGTCATTTTGGTCTGTTTTTTTTTAGCCCAGTCTCAAATATTTTTTACATTTTATCCATATGACATGAGATTTTTATTCAATAGAAAACACTTTTCTCTTTTTTTGCGACATGATAACACATAAATGCACAATTGCACAGTCTAAACAACACCAACACTTTTAAATCAAACTGTTACTCACGCAGTCAATTAGCGAACTAAACATGTGTAAAGTATGCAAGGTCAAATCGCCGGGAAGAGTTTCGGATGAGGCGGGATAAAGTGCTTAGGTAATGATATGCCTAATATTCATTCAATGCTTATAAATAAGCTAATAATATTTTGCTGAGACAAGAAGCGATTGGTCGTTATAGCCGATGAATATCGATAAAATTTCGTCCTTGTAAGCGATATGTCGCTGTATCCGTTGTTGTTATAAGCGGTTTGTTTACTGAATAGTTTACTAGGGAATCGAACGGGACCATACAATCTGGTTGTAATAACCGATAGGTCGTTGTAAATGATGTCGTTATAAACGGTTATGACTGTACTACTATCTGGGCAGACTATTTAAGACAAAGATAACAATAATTTGTCATACATTTTTCATTGTTAATTATAGAGTATTTGTAGCTTACCAGTATATATTTAATAGACTGTGATACAATTTAATTTTGATTTAAACTGTTTATAATTAATACAATTAGCTTTTAATTAGGATTATATATTATATTGCAGGGATTCAAAGACTACCTGTAGAGTGGAAAAAAGCTCATCCATTCCTAAGAGCATTGTATGCAGACCGTTATTATGAATATGTTAATGCTACCAATGGACCTGCTGCTTTGCATACAGAAAGGATGAATGTATATGAAGCATTAAATTATATTAGGGGTGTGCAGCCGCACAATTGTTCCAAGTAAGTTTTTTACATTAATTTAACAAGCTATGACTATTTTATTTAAAATAAATATAAAATAGTTCTTGCTTTTTTAAATAAGCTTGCCAACATTTAGTTTCACTCATCAATATAAATGTTACTATAAATAACAGTTACTTGAAATTTACCATAATTAATGCCACGTAACAAAATAATCTTTTTGCCAAATTTTATATAAGGAGAACCTTTGTGGGATTTGAGGTTGCAGTTGTGCTGGTTTTCTTTCTGTACAGAATTTAAACAGAATTTGTTAAATTTAAGTTTTTTGTTTAAGTTATGAATACTTATTTTTCTATAGATACAACCCATCTGATTTATTCCTCAATGGAGACATAGCATATGGGGCGGAAGAGCAATTTGAAAACCAAGCAAAAATGGCAGTGAGACTTGCAAACTTCATCAGTGCTTTCTTGCAGGTATACCTTCTTGACCTTTACAATTTCTCGCCATTATTAGACATTTCTCTGCTTCCTTGCCTAATTCTTATCGCTGACCAAATTTGTCTAAACAGACCAAAGCCAGTTCTCTTTAATATGAATAAAAACTGAATTTAGTATTATTTAATAATAATTTATTTTTTTTAGATTTTGAAATCTTATTATGTATTAGGAATTTATTGGAAGCCATGGTTCGCTTTCAAATATTTGTATAGTCTATACTATGGAAATTTGGGAGTTAGTCCTGCTAATACCAACATTTGTTCTAAATTTTTTTAGACTACAATTTAAAATGGTAAAAAAATTAGTCCATTACATGCACCGAAATTTTTAGGCTCTTTCCTACTAAAATACATGTATTTCTCTTCTTGTCTACTATGATATTACTAATTACAGATATCAGACCCTAACGAAGTTTTCAGCGGTACTCGAGTTGCTGATAAGCCATTGACCGAAGATCAAATGATTGGAGAGACTCTAGCTGTTGTATTGGGCGACTCTAAGATTTGGTCTGCAGGTTCGTTTATCTACTGTGAAAGTTTTTTTTTATATTATACACTAATGAGCCTACGGAAGAAGCATAAAAACTGCTGCAGCTTATGGACATCCACCGGCCTTTAAGAGTATTCTCTTTTTTTTTCTAAGGTTTCGGTTATATCTCCTTGGCCAGACCACTGGAAGTCGATTCCGCAGCTCAAAAAATGCGTAGAGAAGCAGACTGTAGACGACTTCCAGCCATCGAGGTGGTGTTTGAGCTGTAGAATCGACTTCTATAATCTATGTTTAATTAAAATAAATAGTGTGATGTAAGAAAAGAAAATATTTTCCATTTTTAAAATCGTCATATCGGATTAAGCGTTCAATCGTAAATGAAACAAATAAAAACTTTCTTAAATTTGAACTACAGTCACGCTTTGCGTAAAAAAGAATATGATATCTCTTTTCTACTCAATTATGTGTTTTTTTATTGAGATTAAATTAAACTAGATACTCTGATTAATCAACGAATTAGAACATCTAAATTTTGAAAGTTAAAACATCTTTGTAGTGATTACAGTTATTCATAGTTAGCAGTTTTGAAATGAAAATTGTACTAAAAAATTGCAACCCTAAAAAGTATTATGATTATTTCAAAAAAACTATATTATTTAATTATATAATTTAAGGTACATACTGGGATCGGAATAAATTCACAAATCGCACGATGTTCGCACCATTCGCATACAAGACTGAATTGAACACGCGCAAGTACAAAGTTGAAGATCTCGCTCGCCTCAATAAGACTGGTAAGTGCTTTTAAATTGCTCCTAAAACATAGCTACCAAAGGAAATCTGTGAAATCCAACAACTATTGTAATACAGTCGACTCACGTTAATTTGAAGGGACCAGCAATAAATTTAAAATTATCAAAAAAAACTAGTCGTAGTCGTGAGCTGAGAGTAATCGTCATTCATGTCATATCCATTTCCGAGAGCGAAGAAGCGTAGGGTAGTAAGACATTTTCTTGCCTCACTTAATGTAATTGGAGTTCGCGGTTTTGCTTGAAAATTAAATATATATATTATAAGAGTGCTAAACCCGAGTCCAGTACGTCAAAAATTTGTTATTTGATATACGAGAGTCATAGTTCGTGTTCTGTCGCTCCTGAATGTCACCCTTAGACCCAACGACATGTGTCAGATACAGAATGATGATCTCATAGTTGTCTATTAAAAATGTGACCACAGATTATATTACTTTAATGTTAACACAAAATTTTCAGAGGAAGTTTACACAAACAAGCACTGGTTCCAGTTTCTTAAGCAAAGCTGGTCCACCAATTTCGATGGTCTTGAGAAGTTTTTCCTTAAAATGAAAATTCGTGATGATAGGGACGGCAACTACTTGAAGCAATATGAAAGGTGACTTGAACGAAATTAGACATTTCCTTATTCAACTATAATAAAAATATTAATTGTGCGCAAAAATATGATTTCAGATTTTTTGTGGTATGAGAAAAATAATTTTTTGCTTGTTAAAGCTATGTTATATACAGATAACACTTTATTTTTCACACTGTCAAATATGAAACAAACAGACACTAATGAAAGATTGCACCATCACTTTCAAAACCAACAATGTCTCATACATAGGTCACACTGATTATACAAGAGTATACAAGAATTTATTAAGAAAAAAAAATTTGCAGATACCCGACATTCTACCGAGCTGCTAACTTAAAACACGGCCATTGGACTCAGCCGTACTATGATTGTACTGGCCCTCTTAAACAGTGGGTCATTACATATGGAGCGCCATTCTTTGGCTGGGATAGTGTTAAAGTCAAGCTAGAGTTCAAGTAAGTAATTTATTTTTTATTTTAAATTAGTATTTAGTGTGTACACACATTACAAAAATAAAAAAACATGGAAATAATAAATTCTTTAAGCTAAAAACCTCAATTGGATTTATCACAGAATACACAGTTTGATAAGAAGATTAATTTTTTAGTCCTAGCCGTTTTATAAATTTTTCGTTTTAGGGGTGTGGTAGCGGTGACGATGCCTCTCATGTCGTTAGATATTAACCAGTGTCCGGATAAATCTTATACACCCAATGCATTTAAGGGCACAGACAAATGTGACAGGTCGTCTTCATATGTAAGTTCATTTTCATTATAAGTAATAATATACGAAATATTCAAGATAATTTAAAAGTGTAAAGAAAATATAAATAACATTAAATGTCTTAAAAAATGGATGTGACTGTTTTTAAACTAATATAATGTAAGTTATAGCCTTCATACCTGTATTTTTTTCAACCTTGAAATCTTCATTTAAATAATTCCTCAAGTGGACATAATGATTTTTAGAGTAAACATCTCTACGCAATTAACTGATTAGCCTTCATTTTAAAACTTTGTTTCTATCAATTACCCGATTTCTCAATAATTTTCTTGGGGTTTCAGTGTGTACCCATCCAAGGTCGCGGTTTCGAAGCTGGCGGGTACAAATGCGAGTGCCTTCAAGGATACGAGTATCCGTTTGAAGATTTAATCACATACTACGATGGTCAGATTGTTGAAGCGGAGTTTCAAAATATAATTCAAGATAAATTGACTCGTATAGATATGTTTAAGTGTAGACTGGCCGGGGCAAGTGCAGCTCAAAGCAGTTTTATTATTGTACTAAGTGTATTATTTTTACTAATTAAGGTAAGGTAATCATAAACAATTTGACATAGAGAATAGACTTAAAATATTTAGTGGAAAAAAATTATACTCTTGTTTACATTAGCAATCAACAATGAAATCGATTTCTAGAAGATCAATTAATTAATAGTCTATTTTATTTAGCTACGGCATCCTCACGGAATATATTTAAATAGATCAAAACTGGTTGATTTGAAAGTCATACTGATATGGCAACGTATAACGATACTTTAATATTGAAAAAACATTAAAGTTATCATAGATTCTGCTTTAACATATTTTTCTATACAGAATTTATAATATTATTTTTTTTATTTTTACCACATCCTTTAATAAGGCAGCTATAGTTAATTTATAACGTATTTTGAGACTGCTTATTAATGTGTTCAAACTAGTATGATGTGTATGTGTGTGTGTATGTCAGATTTTCATATAAGGTTAATATTCTTGCTAGGCAGCCTTTTAAATTTATATTATTTATAAATTATACTTATGGTAGGGGAGCCCAAGAGGGGATTTCGGGATTTACTAAAGCGCGGCAGATTAATATACAGGGGGATAGCTTGTACTCGGTTAAGTACCTCCACAAAACATGAGGTCCATATATAAGGCCGCCTGTGAAGGATCAGATTAGTAAAAAAAAATTGACCATCAGAAATTCCCGAGCGCATCAGATTAAGGTAGGGTGAGTTAATTACATCCTAAAAAGTGTATATTCCACTAATCTGACAATTTGAGAGTGACGGAAAAAAAGGGAGGGCAACAAAGTTGTAAAAAAAACGTCATCTCGACATTCTCGAGCGTAGCTAATTTTTTTTTATTTTGAAGGAAATAATTCAAGAATAATGAAAAATATATAATCTGACGATTTCCGCAAGCCGAAATAACAAAAATTCGTCGATAAAGTTAAATGCGTGCAGCTGCGTGATGCCTACATTTCCTTAAACCGATCGGAATCTACTAAACGGCGTTCTAAATATTTCCCTCAAAATTACATTTCCTGTGAATTTGAACCGATTCGAAACGATAGATTTTGAGAAATTTTGAAAAATCTTAAAAAATTAAGAAATATTTTTTTTTAAAGTGGTTTCTTTATCTATCAACTTCAAAAACTAATCCGCCTTTGAGCTTGAAAAACCACGTTGATCGCCACTAAGCTGGTCAAAAGCGGTTGATTCGTTCGAGAGATATCGTGAACGAAAGAAACCCGAAAAAGTGTTTATTCGGGATTACTCCGAAATTTGTGGTTCGATCAATTAAAATTGCAAAATTACTTATGAGGATGATAAAACTGCGTCGAATGCCGCCAACCGCGTGAAAATTGCTTGATCCATTCAAATGTTATTGCGGTTTGAAAATTCCAAAAATAGTGTTCTATGAAACTTCTATCAGACTTTCGAGCTGGGAGAGCTCAAATGCATAGAAATTTATTTCTTTGAACTCAGCGAGCTCAAAATATCAATTTTAAGCGCCCAGGAATGGAATTAGCGGGAAGTTGCAGGGATGGCCCTTTAGGTGAACCGTTTTTCTAAATTTTTTTTTGTCAGATCAGGCGAATCCCTCTAGATAATCGTCAGATTATGAGACAGTACGTTTAGAACATAAAGATGAACCACATATATCTTAATCTGACGCGCTTGAGTATTTCAAAATTGCGATTTTTTTTGCAAATTATGAAAATGGCTGTGGGTTTGCGTCCCATCGAAATCGTCAGATTAGTGAATGAGAGCTTTTTTTTGGTGCACTTAACACTCCCTTAAAAATCTGACGCGCTCGATAAAATTATTTTTTTTTCATTTTCAACCCTTAAATACAACCACCTGCATCATGCAAACGATCAGATTAACATACGTACATTATTAAAAATACGTAGGGCATAGATGCTATCAATATCTGACGCGCTCGAGGATGTCCATGCAACAGTTTTTTTTACATATTTAACTATCTATAGCCGCTTCCCCCACCGATGAAAAGGAATTTATCATATAACATTTTTTTCTTCTTATTATCTAAGCTTTGCATCCCAATAGGTCTCTACGACGCTCGAGTAAATCCCCATTTAGCATCGTGGGCTCCCCTACCATTATATGAAGACCCAATTTCTTCTATGTAGATCTGTACTTATTTTATAAATAATGTCCCAACTGAAAGTTTACCTCCGTAAAATATGAATCTCATAATTATACTGTATAAATGTTAAAAAAAATTAATTTAAGATGCTTGATATTATTTTTGTTATAATATCACTGATATTTATACTAAACAGTAAAATATACATTTTGTTTTTAATTTTGTATATATCTTACAATGGTAAAATTTTTCTTGTACCTATTTACGTCAGACATTCCATGTTATGTTGTAAAAGACTTAGTTTCACTATTCCGTCCAGGTATGTGCCTTTTATAATAAATATATGTATTTTAAAACTATTGTTTTATTATCATTCTTATAAATCAGCAGTGTAGTCTTCTGGTAAGCTGTCAAGAAAAAAGTTGTTCTAAAGAATTATTTATTTAAAATATACAGGCTATATGATTATTTAGTTTTTATTAGAAAAATGTGAATATTTAAAATTTTCATGTAATTGAAATAAAAATTACATCAAAAATCCATAATTTAAGCTAGTCTTATGAAGGAGAAAATAACAATAAAATCATACTTATTGCGAGCGAGCAAAACTCCACGTATATAAACTAGTGTTCCAACTAGACCTAAATATAAAATTATATATATGAGCATGTAAATGATAACAAGCGATCGTAAAAAACCCATAATGGAGAGCAATTCATAGTTTAATATAGTTTTCCATTTAAAAATTTCCCTATATTTGTTTCAAACATTAAGCGGTTTTACTAATAATAACTGTTTATTGCCATTGCCCATTCTTGAGATAATTGTTTTTTTTCACATAGTGGTTTATTATACGCAATACATAATATTTTTTTGTTTTAAAGAAAGAGATATAATATAACAAAGATGACTGATGAATAATATTGTCGGTAATAAGATCAGTGATGCCAACTACAAAATGTTCCCCCTAGGTCCACGGTTAAATACCATACATATATCATTAAAAATTTAAAAAAAGGGTGCGTGTACTTATGTACGCGCGTAAGAAGTTATACTTCTTTAGCTTAAACCAAGTTTGGCTTAAGTAACAATAGGTCTTTGTGAAAAAGAATTGCTAAATTTCTTTGAAAAAATAATTAAAACTCCTTTATTTGTTTAAAAGTTACTACACTAAACTTCACGCATATTCTATTTCTTTGTCTTATTCCCATCTCGCTCGCGCACGCTCGGCGTCCGGCTGGTTTAAAAAGAATTCGTTAGTGGGCAACTTCATTCTGTTAATTTTGTGTCACGGTGCGCGCGCATCGTAAAATTTCACTCTCATCATCTCTCATTTTTCCTAACGCGCCTAAAGAAGTATAACTTCAAAAACACCTAACCTAAAGTTTTTGTTGTACAATGTTTGAGAGGTAAATTCAAATATGCATTAAAAATACATTCAAGTATTTAATGATAGCTGTTATTTCGATCTTGGAGTATTATAGCTTTTTGAAAGTTCAGTTGTAGCCACGCCTATATTTGGTATTAAACCACATTGTTGGTTAGGTTCGAGACTTAATATACATTGAGTTATGAGTTTTGTTTTTATAAATATTCTTGAATAAGGTATCCCCAAAAATCCCTGTAATAAATATAAGGGGTATAACCCCCTAAGGACCCCTGGATATCTTTATTCCCCCTAAATTTAGGAGGGGTGAAACCCCCAAGTTGGCATCACTGGATAAGGAAGTCATGGCAATGGGCAGCTACCCTGCTCAGCTAATTTATAAAATTATTGACATTTGAAAGCAAATGCCATAACTCTATGACAGTTTACCGAAATAACCTAAGAAGTAAAATATAAAAACCACGCTGAAATAGCAAATTAAGGAATATGGTGATTTTTTATTTTCTAATAACCCCAATAGAAGTAGTAAAGCATAAAATTAAGATGATGTTTGTTCGATTGTTCCGACTTAGGGTTTTATCCTGTCGTAAATTAAGATTACTTCTTTACTATTACTCTTTTACTTCCAAGTGATCTGTGGTATCTCTATATACTTTATCTACTACTTGTCCTAGGTCTCTGGTCTACCGTCTAATGTCTATGGTTTTAACATGAACTATAAACCATTTAATTATTTATCTAGATAGAGAATATAAATTATAACTCTCATGTAACATTATTAATAGGATCAAATAAATAAATTAAAAAAGTATATCAAAGTAACTATAATTAGAGTTCATTCGCAGGCTTGCTAGGCTCTTTAAAATATCTTATCTAAATCATGTCTGGGACACTATTTCGTAGGTTATTTTGTAGCTGATACATTATAAATATTCAAAAACTTCAGATTTATGATTTATTTATGTTATTTTCAGGCTCCCTGTTCAACAGTTTGTCTCTATATAATTGTAGTGCAACAGTAAGTACATGTACAATATATTTTAATAAATCTGGAAGCATAGATTTAAATAATCTTATATTTTTTCATGTACAGCGGTCTCTACATACAGCAACTGTTTATTATGCAGCTCGAAAAGGTACTAGGGCTAAAGCTCGCGCAAAGAAAGTCAAAGTGGAGATCACTAAAGTTGGATTTATTCCACACAACCAAAGGGGGAAAGACAAGTATGTTTTTACCAAAATAATTGTAGGTACCATTAATACTTTTGTTATATAATAAAATTTTATAATTTTAGGTTAGCAAAGACAATCATAAATAAGCATCTTGATGACTCTCACAAGAGTATACCACAGGATAATGTGTACCCACTTAGGTATTATCGCTGGCCTGTGTATACAGCTGAGGAAGCTGTCAGGGCACATCAAGAAACACATCATCCATCTATGTATAATGAGCCTGAGGCGTTTGTTTATGCTAAGGTTGAAATTAACATGGAGGGTGTTAAGAAGGTATGATTTGATTGATACATCCACAAAGTAAAACTGTCTTTATCAACAACTGTGTGTCCGTACAAAATTAAATCTTATAATTACAGAACCGTTATATTGACAACTTCTCTCGACTTACATTGCTTCCACACTATTTTCCTCAAGATGAAGAACGCACAATTTTAGCTTTTTGTAAGGGCCCTGAATTAATCAAGCAGGTGGCAGAGGCTGGAGCAACTATGGCAGGAAGCACAGAGCTTGTGAAAAAAATTCAGGTAAATTGATTAATTGAAATTTTCTGTAGTTATGTTGTTATTATATTCAATTTTTTTTAGTACCACAAGGCTTTAACATAGTTTTTTCTAATATTTAAATTGACACTGGTAACTTCTAATAGTAAGAGACTTCCATACATAATTAATTAGTTTTGTACATAATTAATGTTGTAGTTTTTTCACTCAGCTGTGATGATGCAAACTTGGGATGTTTTGGTGCTAGCACAATATTGCAGTCCATATTAATGTAAAAGTAACAGTTGTTTAATGGCAAGATGCTAAATAAAATGTTTCTTATACAAGAGAAACTAGACAAAACTTTTCTTTTCTTTCCTTACAGGAAGGCACAGTCAAACTCGGTGATTATGACTATGTAATAGCTCACCCAAACATCATTACAGATTTAGTACCAATCCGAGGTCTGATGAAGAGACGCTTCCCTAATATCAAAGCTGGTACATTGGACACCAATATTTGTGATTTAGTCAAGAAATTTGCTGCTGGTATACAGTACAGAGTTATCAAGGATGAAAACCAACAAAACTTTGGCTCTGTTGAGGTTCCCATTGGAAGGGTTAGTTTAGAATACTGTTCCTCAAAAGATTCAATAAAGAACAGTTTGTGACAGGTGTAACAAATTAATGCCAATTGAATTTGTGTGGAAATAATTACACAACCATATAAGAGTAATGTTTCTTTAAAATTCCTTTAGAAATTTTCACACCTGTTGGAAGGTATTGTTAGCTAAAACCACTGCAACATGGTATTTTTTGTTATAAAAAATAGTATTGAACATTAAAATCGGTGTCCTTTTAATGATTATTATATAAGAATTAAAAAGGCACAGATTTGACTGCAGTTTAAAGAATTCCTTCATTACATTCCTAGGTAATTGTTATTTATATAATCCTTGTAAACATACATAATGTTTATGTATGTTTACAAAGACAAAAAGTTTATGTATACCTATAAGAATCTGATCTATCTTTCACAGTTAAACATGAGCCCCAGCAGTATTGCTGAAAACATAGACATATTACTGAAAGATATTCAAACTGTAAGACCAAAGAGAGATGGACTTTTTATAACAAGGTATTGGTTATACTTATACAAGTTTTACATAAAAGCATAATTATCTATTGATGAATACCTATGGTGTTTATTTAAAAAAGAACACTTTCAAGTCAAAATTTCGAAGCCAGAAACTTCAAAATAGCAAAAAGTTAATTATATACATAGATATATATGAAGTTATATTTTGGACTATTTATACTATAAAGAGATAATATAGCCTCAATGATATGATAGTTGTAATACTACACAATTATAAAAACCTTAAATCATGAAGATCAGGGTTCAGTGATTGACTAGAGTTTTTACCAATTATTTTGCTCAAAGGATTAAATGAATCACAAATATAACGTAAACATAACTCGTATTTCAGGTGTATTATAGTGAGCCCACCTTCGTCAGAAAAACTTAAAATAGATCCATTTGTACATGTTGATCGTACATTATCTAAAGAAGTCCAAGAAGACAGTGACGATGAAGACAATGTCGCCGTTGCTACAGCATAAATTAGATTTTATGATCAGAAAATAGCTTAATACATAATGTTTATTAATTGTATCGTTTTTATTTTCCTCGACTTCTAGCAGCAAGTAAAGTTACTTTCACATTATTAGTATCTTTTAATGGAATTAATAGTAGTTTCGATTTCGTTGTTCATAATTTAGAAAAAAATATTAAAAAATAAGATGAGAGATAATCATACATTTTGTTTTGAAAAACAATAGAGTATAGATTAGGGATGGATCGTAACATCGATGTAAACTCACGGCTTCCCGCACGACTAATGCAACTTACGAAACAAATCATGTCTTCTAAGAACGCATCCACAAATGAAGCTTATTAAAATTTTGAACGCGTATTCATTCTTTGCGCCCAGGTTGTTCCCTTCATTCGTTATTCGTAGTCTCGCTCGCTCTTTCTCTCTCTCACTTCCTCACTACTCTTTATCAACAAATAAACATATTAAAAGGTTCTTCTTTATCAAAATCACTTTTATATAAGTCAGTTGATAAAAAAAAATGGTGCGGGTACTTATGTACAAGTAGCGGCACGAAACTCTAGCGCTGACCGTTAAGCGCTTATTACACTACGCGATATTCAGACAGTCTTACTAAGATTTAGCATAATGTAATAAGAGTTAGCAAGTTAGCCTGTCTAATTAGACTGACCGAATGGGTTCGGCGGTGCTTACTTGCTGAATATCGCGTAGTGTAATAAGACTTAGCACGCTTAACCGTTCAGTCAGCGCGTGGCAGCCGCAGAGCAAAGACGTTCGTACATGTTTGTTTGCTGTGGCCGCGTGCACCATGGCGTGTTCGCAAGAAAAAAAAGTACTTTTCAATATTATCAATTTGTACCGAGACATGCCAAATTTATGGCTGCATGATTGATTGATTTATTAATAATTGATGACCTTAGGTTTTTTTTTTTAATTTTTTTAATAATTTATTTCATAACCATGGATACAGAGTCCTTCAGGATGACCTTAGGTCTTGATAGGAGTTGCCCGTTGCCAGGAATCTTAAAGTAACTACCAATATTTGTTAGGACTGACACTTTGTCTAAGAACCGTATCTTCTTTTTGAATGTATGGAGTAACTCATTGGTCTAGTGGTTAGTACCCCTGACTGCGAATCCATGGGTCCCGGGTTCGATCCCCGGCTGAGACGAACATCGATGTGATGAGCATTTGGTGTTGTGCTTAGGTCTTGGGTGTTTAAATATGTATTTATATCTATATATCTATAATAATATGTATGTATATCCGTTGCCTATTACCCATAACACAAGCTTCACCAGCTTAGCATGGGACTAGGTCAATTGGTGTGAATTGTCTAAAAAAAAAAAAAAAACTAATTTCAATAGACATTCAAACTCGGTAACTCCTACTCTAAGGTAGTTTCTTAAGTCACATGGTTCCAAAACACTCAGTATTTGCATATTTGATAATAATTTTTCTCGCAAAAGTAAATACTCTTTCACCCATATGTTTCTTTTCTTTATTTAAATTAATAGACGCGGCAAGAGCCATGGCGATTTTCTGGTGCTTTGAAAGTTTTCCCATCGCGAGACAACCGTCACCGACAACGTACGCTTTGCAAATGAGTAAAATGAGTTAGCTTGCGATATTCAGTCCAGTGTAATAGCGAGCTTGACTAATTCGATTTTAAGACAGTCTTACTAAGACTGTCTGAATATCGCGTAGTGTAATAAGCGCTTTATTGCGCAGAAGTAATAAATAAGGTACCTGAGGGGGGCTAGCGGGCGCGCGTAGCGTCGATTGGCTCTCTAGTCTCTAGTCGCCTGTCGCATTCCGTCCCCCGCGCGACAATACACATGCGCAGCAATCCCCTCCACGTATCGGCCAGCGCTAGACTTACGTGCCGCTGCCTATACGCGCGTAAGAAGTTATACTTCTTTGGCTTTCTTTATTTTTTTAAATATTAAATAATTAATAATAAATATTTAGCGTTAATAATTTAACAATATTTAGTATATTATTCAATTATTAATTAATATTAATAATAATTATTATTTTATTATATGATTAATTCAATTTAATAACTAGGTATGTTTCATAACCTTTTAACTAAGTAACAATAGGGCTTTGTGAAAAAGCATAGCTAAATTTTTTGAAAAAATAATTAAAACTCCTTTATTTGTTTAAAAGGTACTACAAATGTCATTATGGTCATTCAAAATTCTTGGCATAGCTGCTAACGTCACGCATATTCTATTTCTTTTTACTTGTAGATTGTCTTATTCCCATCTCGCTCACGCACGCTCGGCGCCCATACTGATAATTTTGTGTCACGGTGCGCGCGCATCGTAAAATTTCACTCTCATAAATTTTTCATAACGCGCCTAAAGAAGTATAACTTCAAAAATATCGGAATATGTAATAATTTGTTCTGTTTCTTAATAAATATCGAACCATTTCAATGTATTTTATCAAAAATCATCGATGTTAACCTACATGTTGTTGATGTTTGGTTTTCGATAAATATCGAACATCGATTATGACATCTATGTCAATATCGATGTTTTTCTATAGACCACAGAACAATATTAGTTTGCTAGAGGTGTACTATAGACAATACACGCCATAGATGTCTATATATATTTTGGCCATGCGGCCTAGTCTTATGTATTTATTTCAAAAAAAAAAATTATTAGTATATTGTAATAAGGAGTCACCACAATGTGCAGGAATTAATTTTTAAATATTTTCGTTATTTCGCGTAGGACTTTATACCACAATATTCTGTTTTACCTTAGCTATGAATAAAAAAAACCTATGTGTCAAAGTCAAAAACATAACAAGTTTGACGTACAACGTTAAATTTTAAGGCGTCAATAGGGGCGTAAAATATTCCGCCATTTTGTCTCTGAGACAAAATATATTTTTATTTAATAGTTCAAGCTGTTTTTATTCAACTGATCCGTTGTTGAAAGTGATATTGGTAAAACTGTGCAGTGTTTTAAAAGTCTGTGATATTTTTGTGTACAACTATTTTTGTTTACGTTACTACAATCTTTACGTTATTAGTTGACCGATTTTGACGACGAAAGAAGAACTACAATATAAAATGGGTACAAGAGAGGACGAATATGATTATTTATTTAAAGGTGAGATAAAGTCGGTTTCATCGAAGTTCTAATTTTATAAATAAACAACTGGATATGAAATAAAAATGACTCTTGAACAACTTTGTTATGTGCTTTGTTAGTCTTGTAATGACGTATAATAATTAATAACGGTACCAAAATGGTATGAAATATTTGTTAAGTGATTTTAAACTATCATTTTAGTCATTAATTGTAATTTTTCTAGCCGTGGTATGCTGTACCTGCCTCTATCTTGTACATCAGCTGATTGTATTGCAAATCGATATTAGGTTCTTTATGAGTCATCTTGCTACCTATCCATGATATAATCAAAAAACCTGTGATATCGACCCTAAAATTTCGTCATACTGAGTCTTGTCATCATTATGATATTTTTGCATGTATTTTCTTTGTTTCAGTGGTGTTGATAGGTGACTCAGGGGTGGGAAAAAGCAGTCTTCTTTCACGTTTCACTAGAAATGAATTTAATTTAGAGTCAAAATCAACAATAGGAGTGGAGTTTGCAACACGGAGTATAGAGGTAATCCTAAAGCTCTTTGTATATTAATTATATAGGTGTCAAGGTTAATAATTGATACCTCTTTTGAATTCTATCACAACTAAGATATATCAATTACAATTAAATTTTGTAAATCTAATTTAAATCTAATTTAAAATAAAAAAAAAAGCATAAAACAGTACAAATATAGCTATTAAATATAATTATTATAAATATGTTACATCATTTTGATGGTATTTGACAAGTGTATGTACAATGACCTTATTGTCTTGATACTTAATACAGCTGTCTACATTGTTATTGTATTTCCTATTGGTTTTAATTTACTTCTTTGTCTTGAAATATAATTTATTGTCACATAATAACCATGGTTTAACAATATTTATCACTATAATTATAAAAATGGTCATAAACTGCTATATGATTTTATAATTATTTTCAGAAACATCACAAATTTTACTTATAAAATAATTACAGTTTATTTATTAATATCCCATTTCTATGACCCATTGATTTTAATACAAATAAGAAAAACTCTTAAATGAGCTTTTGACAGTAAACACATTCTACAAAAGCCACACAATTAATTTATCCATTAAATTTCTAAATTGTTGGAAAGTAATTCATTTTCTTGAAACACCACAAAACATTCAATACATGTTAATGATGTGCAAGTTGTTTTTATGAGTATGTGGGAAGATTGAATCACAAAGATTTGCAAAGTAAACTTGTTTGATATGATGTCATTCACTAGAGCTATGCCAATAAGAAACTTTTTAATTGGATAAAAATATTTATTAATAAATTTATTTTTTATTGTTAAGTTAATTTTATCTAGTCTGGTGATTATCATAATGTCATTACAAACTTGTGTTAGTGAAAATCTTAGTATGTATAGGCATAATAAAATATCAATAAAATGTTTTCATTTTTTAATGAGAACCTCATTTACATTTGATGTGTTTTTAGTTAGTTATATATTCCACCTAATCTACCTATCCACTACAGTTATGTTCAAATATGCATTCCATACAAGGTGCCAACATCCTCTTTTATTAAAAAATGAAAGTATGATAAGAGGAAGTGTCAATGACCTTCTAATAATATTCACTTAACCTCACATGCTGATGTCTGTGGATTGATAGGCAGTAAAAATATTGTGATTTTTAAAGACCTACTAATATCCATTCCTGATGATTTTCTGGGAATTTCTGGGTACATTCAGGGAATTTGATAGTATCCCATAATTTATTTAATAGACATCTCTGGTTATGCTTTATATACATAACAAATTTAAAACCATCTATTTTTCCATTACCAAAAAAAATTTATTCAACAAGAATCTATTAATGCATACATATTTATTCAGCTGAAAAGTGTTTATCAATGTTTGTTGAGTTCTAAAATGCTTATAAATGTTATGTTTCTATACAAAAGAAATATCCTTTTTCTTTAAAACTTTACTAGGGTACATGAGAAGTAAAGTATTTGCGTGAAACACAAAATAAAAACAGAAAATAGCATTATCTCGTAATTTTTATTTTATAGCTTTTATCTATGCTATTTCAGGTGGACGGAAAAACCATAAAGGCTCAGATATGGGACACTGCTGGTCAAGAGCGTTACCGCGCAATCACGTCTGCGTACTACCGAGGCGCTGTGGGAGCTTTACTTGTGTATGACATCGCAAAACACTTGTCTTATGAGAATGTTGAACGGTGGCTGCGTGAGTTAAGGGATCACGCTGACCAGAATATTCTAATCATGCTTGTTGGGAACAAGAGCGATCTGAGACATCTCAGGTAATACTTTATGATTATTTACACTACAATATCCTCTAAGTAATCTTTAAAAAAATCTATAGATTCCCTTGCCTTTTTTGCTTTACAAATTGTCTAAATAGTGACTTGTTCTAGTATGAGCTGTACACAAATTCATATTTGTTAATTTAAAAATATGAAAAACTTTCAGTCTAGATTGTTGGAGGAACAAGCTTTGTAAATGTGAATTTAAAACGAATGTTCTCCTAAGTGAGGTGTTAAACAATGTATCTATTTTGCAATTTCAGATCAATCCCAACAGAAGAGGCAAAGGCGTTTGCAGAAACGAATGGTCTTAGTTTTATTGAAACATCGGCCCTTGACTCTACAAATGTTGAACCGGCATTCCAAAACATTCTAACGGGTAAATATAATAGAATTTGTGTAATTTTATATGGAAAAGCTTTATATAGAATACTTTAGCTAATTGTATAAGGCAATTCTTTTCTTAAGTTATACAACCAATGCAATAGTGCCCAGTGCCCAGTTAAAAAACATTACACTCCAAATTGATAACCTCCTAATTCTATTTTTTTTTAAATTTTTTAAAATATATGGATTGAAAAACTATCATCAATATAAATCAATTAAAATATATGTTATCAAACTTTAAAGTACATTTTAAAAATGAAGTACATACTTGTTCCGTACCATATTATTTTTTCATGTAAAGAAATGGGAACAATCACTTTCAATCAGATCACTTGATAGGAATTACTAGGCCTCGTCAGAAATAAGAGTAAATAATTTACATTTTGAGTCAAGTAACATCCACTCTGTAAGTTTGGTTACCTACGTAATTAAATTTGATTGGAGTTTTACATTTTGTTTCCAAGAGTAGATATTTCACTTGGAACAAGACATAACATATGATAATATTTTTTCGCATATTTCATATTTATTTCGCAGTCGTAATATATTTTAAAATGTATTATTATTGTAATATTTATAAATAAAACTGTTTTGAGGATAAATACCATATCCGAAAATTATGATTGAACAAATTATATAATTATTAAACCTTTTACTAGCTTGACTCTAATATATTTTGTGTTTCATATTGATCTAGGGGGTCCTAAACAAAAAAAAAATGCGCCTCGACCCGTGATCATTTCAATACAAGCTGACTCCCCGTTGCAAAGTATTTTGGTCTCGAGCAAGTTTGAGATACAATTACACTTTGTCATAAAATATGTATTGTATTCGAACGAAGCATCTTCACACTTCCATTTTGTTTCAATTTTCTATATTACCATAAAATTATCTATCGTTAAATTTAAGTTGATAAAAAGTATCAACTTAAATTTTACCATGGCTCCTAATTCAATTTGTATTGTCTTTGCTTTATTAAATCAAGACTTTAACGTTACGTTACGTTCGTGATAAGGCCTCGTTTCGGAAGCACATAAAAGTAACCGCTCGTTTATTGACACACAATTTCGTTTCAGAGATCTACCGGATCGTGTCGCAGAAACAGATGCGTGATCCTCCGGAAGGTGACGTCATCCGACCTGATGCTGAACCGGCTGATCTCCGGCCATCTGCCGCAGACTCCGTGCGCAAACAGTGCTGCCAGTAGACAGGTATAGTAATACAATCTAAATATGCAGTTTTATTTGTTTTGATTTTTACACAATACAAATAAGCCAAGGGAATAAATTTAAACATGAACCACAGTTAGGGCTCCCACATAAAACTGCGAATTCACATCGCATCGCAAATATCTGCGAATTCGCACGAACGCACCGAAAGAAGTTCCGATCTGCTTCGCATCGCACATTCCTGCGATATTACGTCATCCTTGGTGACGCCATTTTAGTCCGCTCTGAGGCAGCTTATAGAAAGACGCGCGCCTTCTTTGTTTTTAAAAAAATTGCGGAATATGATATAGATTTTTTAATATCTTTAATTGACGAGCGTCTCGTCCTTTGGGACACAAGTGATGACCATTATAAAAAATAAATTATAATAAATTCTCCCCTTGTACGATCGTTTTTGAAGGCATGGTGATAATAAACTCAAAAGCTCTTCAAATGAAGATATGCTCATTCTAAAATAATCAAAAAATTTATCTTCTTCAGTTCTTAACGCATAGTACTTTTGAGTTGCCATCAGAGTTCATAATCGTAATAAATGGATGAACCCAGAATCTTCTTTTTCTTTTATATCTATTTAACAATAACAGCAGTGCAATATTCTTTTGCGATCCATCTTACGCTTCCTTAAAACACGTCCAGTACGGCTGACTACGAATGAATTGTCGCCCTACCAAACGGTTTGTCGCACTAAATCGTATCGCAGAAATTCGCATCGCATCGCAGTTTTGTGTGGGAGCACTTATTTAATATTTAAAAAAGGGGTTTTTAAAAGAAAATATTAGACAAAAATACAGGTTAAAAAAAAAAAATATTTCATTTATGTTATACAAACTACTCATCTCACATCACACTACGTAGCATCTACATATAGCTCATAGCATCGTACATAATAATTACTTTCTAATAAAAAAAAACTACTTATATTCGTGTATTTACACATCCTATTCCGATATTTGTCTAAAGCTTGGTCATGTTTTAGACAAGAATAATCTTATGAGATTCAGGATCAAAAGTAAAATTTACGATGTAGGTAGCAGTCATACTTACCGCTAATCCCAATTATCATACATTAGTTTACTCTCATTATTTTATTATTAGTATTATGTAAAAAGCTACAATATGCCTGTCAGGATCGTGACAGAAAAATGAGCAGAGTCGGGATCGGTCGGTCAAATCTCTTTAAAAAGTCTCAACAATTACCAGCCCGCCTAGGTCCCATTACCCAATAGACAGTATGGGAAATGTTTCATCTCTATACAAAAGCCTTTATCAAAATATTCAATATTTTCCTTTTGGTACTAGCATACAATTAAATTAAATAATGTTTAAATTTAATTCCTTTTTCAGGACTGTCAATCAAGTGGAAGAATGAAAGGAACTTTGCAAGATCATTCCCGAAACAAGTTGCCAGACATGGTATATCCACAAAGCTCTAGGCAAGTGCCTTATTGTTAGTGAGTTGCTGAAATAATTCGAATATCCACTTTTATGCCACAATTGTATTACATTACATTATAAATTTAGTTTCGCTATGAGGACATGGTCCAACAACATAAAGAAGCACAAGGTTCCATGTGACCAATGTAAGGTTTATTATCTATGTTATAACATTAAAATTACTTCTAGCTAGCAACTTGTTGATTGTCAGTGACAATTTATGTGTGTTTTTATTTTAACACAATATTGTGGCAATTGAGTGATCTTCATCTATATCTTGGCGTTCTTCTATAAAAAGGCACTTGACTAGATGCGTTAAGCTGGCAACCCAGTGCGAGCTCATGTAGATAGCTTTCTGTAATTTAGTGTCGAAAAATTCAACCTAAAAAAATTACCAGGTGAAACTTTAACATTTCTAATGGTAAAAGTCCCTAGCCAAGACGTCAAACAAGTTTTGGCGCTTCTCATTGTAAATTTAATGTGATTTCTCTATAATAGTGAATGGTAATAAAATACTATAAAAAGAAAAAATCAATACAAAAGTCTTGAGAGCTTTACAGAAAATAATAAAATGGCGTCTTGACAAGGTTCTAGTTTCACTGAAAAACGTGAAAAGCGTGTAAAGGCAAAAAACGCAATGCACTTCGGTATTTCATTGCCGCTTTAACACCCTAATCGGTTATCAAATTTAAGTTTCTTTTATTTCTGGTGAGTTTATTGCCGTTATTTCAATATAAATCTGTTATCTTTTGCATGGTAACCCTAATTTAAATTAGGGTTATCCCAAAGTCCTAAAAACGGCGTAGTAGATAATTGATATTGTATTTATTTAGTTAATAAATCTATGTAACATCGAGTATTCGTTCGTACGGAGATACTGAGCAATAATTTGGGCTGATATAAATAGCACACAATAGCTTCATAATCTGATTGTTTGCCACGGTTATGTGTAAATTATAATGTTAAGTTAATAGTTAAAAGTTATGTAATCGGGATGTGTATAATAAACCGCGATTTCAAAAGACCTTTGTTTTATTTATTAAGTCAACAAAAGCTATGACATCCCTAACGACGGAAATGTATAGGATTGATTATCGAAATGATTTTATATGGTCTTATAATATACACAAAACCGATTAGCTAGTAGCATTGTACTAAGAGAAATGTTAGCTTTTTTAATGATCATTTAATTATTGATATGTGCCTTTTGTGGTCAGTAAGACTTATTTATTGGCTTTTTTTTTTCATTGTTGACAGCACTTTAAATTTTATGTTATAACGGGAATGTTACTTTCAATTTGCAAAATAATTTTCAAATTAATACAATTTTTAAATATAAATATAACAACAATTTTTAATTATAAATAAACAGCTGTAAGGAAGTTTTTTTTAAAAAATGTTAGCAGCTTTATAATACAGTTTTCGATCACATACTTTTTTCAGAATTGAAAGTATTATTCCTATGCCATATTTCAGGGTGTTGCAATAGTGTCGTTGTGTTGCCATCTCAATACTCAGCGTTATGGTGTTGCCATATTGGTCTGTTACAACGGCACAAGCTTGGAAGATAAGATGTATTAAAATATCTACATATGCATGGTTATTTTTAGTGCCTATCTGTAATTACTTTATTAAAGACAATTATAATAAATAATGTAAATGTTTTGTGTATTTCTTGAATTACCCTCTCGTAATATTACGAACTCCCAATTCTTATTTTATTAAGTCTTCCCTAGTATCTTTTGAAATGAAATGAAATAGTTTATTCTTGTAAGTAGGACTATATAAATCACTTTTACAATGTCATCCTAAACTAGATGAAGTCGACATTTCCTAACTGACTGCCCTGAGAAGAAATGTCGAAACAAACTCGGGGGTCTTAGTCTCTTTTATAGTCCAGATAATACAATAATAAATTGGTGTAAACAAATGCAGAGTATTTACTGGACTGGTCTTTGGAAGAAAGAACCAGATCGATCTGAGCAAGCCTGTGCCAGCAGACGGCAAGCATGCCCCGAATAGCTCATGCAGCTCAACCATTTTTGAGGGAGCTGCACAACCCGGTACACAGCAATACCGCCAGTGGCACCATAAAAATATGTGGGGCAACAACTCACTCAGATCGCCAGCCCAAAATAACTATATATCTATAATGTTCCTGCAGAAAGACCTGTGTTTATGGTCTCAATTGGTTCTGTTATTGAAGTTTATATCGGTGATATCACTGACCTCAAATGATTGGGACTAAATGCTACAGTCATATCGTAATTTCACGATATTCAATGTGATGACTTATACAAACAACTATTATAAACATCTAGTAATGAAAAGAGGTTTGTAACTTCAGATAATTTATTGTGACTTAATTCTAATTCTTATAACAAATTCTTAAAGCAAACGTGTTGAAGGATGGAGGTAAAAGACTAAATCAATCAAGGATGTTTGATGTTTAAATTATGACATAACTACTCAATTAATCCAACAAAATTAAGAGACTAAAATACTGGAAACTCTATAGGTCTATTACTTCTTAAGCATATTTTCGGCAAGCGCTTTGAATGCATCTAGACCTTTCTCATTGGCTTCTTGGTATCCAGGAGCTGTAGTCTTGACAGTTTCGTACCACCTGAAAAGACAAAAGTGTTCAAGCACCTGAGTAAACAATACCGAACTCAATTTAAAAAATACTAACTAGTTTAATATTATAATTATAACCATTAAAAATAATAGTCGACTTAATCCCAACAAAATTTAAGAATGCTAGTTTTAATAGAAATTAAATCTGATAGATTTGGGGATTCCGACGTAACAACAAATATTATGTACCTACTTCTTTCTTTGAAGTCGGCTAAATTCGTGACACTTATTCAATATTATACATTTATAACTCTTTATTCTCATTTAAAATAATAATATTTATATTATTACACTTTGAAGTCGTAAGTTTTCTAGGACAGGTAGCAGACATAAAACTAATCGGATGCTTTATAAATACAATGATTATGCTAATTTAAAATTACCTCTTAACGTTAGCGTATTTCTTGAAGTCAATGTCAGATGCCTCAAAGCTGGAGACACCAGCGATGATACTCAAGTCAGCCAGAGTTAGATTGGGCCCGGCTACATATTTCTGACCTTCAAGGAAGGAGTCCAACAATTTGAGGGCATCCTCTACTTTTGCTAGCTTGTCCTTATCGGCTGGTGCGCCGTAGAATAAGTGTGGGTACTATAAAAATAGGTATCGCTAATAAGTCATGTCCAAGCAACACGTACAATTTCAATCTTATTATACCTAAGTAAGTCACTGTTTACATGATCGAAGTCCCGAACCAATATTTATTTTGTTTCACGACATCTTACCAAACCAAAACATTTTTGTATTTATTCGACGTGTATCTTACACACAAAATATTTTTTAGTTTAGACCGTAGAAGTCTTCACTTAATTATATAGTTCGTATGAATATATTCACGAATAAATTACTTTCAAGGGCGACTTTCTAAAAACATGTTAATTTGATACTTAATTCATTATTACATATGTACTACAATATACTTAGTCATTACATTTAATTACCAAGAAAAAATTATGGTTTTGACTGACTTTACCATGAAATTATATAAGTAAGGCACTTACGAAGTAATCGGCAAATCTGTTGTACAGAGTTCCAAGATCATAGTTCAGACGCATGTCAACCAGGGCGCGAGCTTTGGGGTCTTCAGGGTAGAGGCTGCTGCCCTTGCCGTACTTGTTCACTAAGTAAGTCATGATAGCTCGGGACTCGTAGATAATAAGATCGTCATCTACTAGAGTCGGCACTGTGTGTTGTGGGTTGATCTAAAAAGAGGTGGAAATGTTTTAACCGACTGAAATCTGTTGTTCTTTTATAATGGACCGGCCATTAAGCCTCGGTAAAAACAGTATCTAAATACAAATATATGAATAATTTTGTGTTTGGTCTTTGTTTCTCTATGACTATAACTAATAATATTGCGTATTAGCCGCTGAAATTTTACACCTAGATAACATCTCAGGAATAAAAGACTAGCTCAATTTCATAGTAATTAAATTCTCTTGTTTTGGCTTCTACTCGCTCTTAAATATGCGTACTTCACGTCATACTCAACGTGGGCGCATTCCGTTTGAAAGTTCGATTAAAATAAGTACGAGCAAACGAGGACGGAATGTTTGGTCACTTCTGACCGGTTTTACCAATACCGCGGCACATAGTTTATTATAAGCTAAAACTTATTAGATACATGTATTTTGTAGAGATATTTGTCAGCGATTTCTGTCACAACAATATTTTGTAATGAATAAAGTTTATTATTATTGTATACCTAATTAATTAAAACTTATGAAAATAATACTGCTTTAATTTTTAATCTATACTTGTGATTATAAGTACCATGAATATTGCGATGTGCTCTACGGTCAAAATAGGTTAAATTACGTTATTAACAAGGAACTACACATATAAAAAAGTGTATGACAATTTCACAATTATTTTTAATTAACTCGGTGCTACCAATAATAGTATGAGCAGCGCTAGTTCACGAGAGTGAAGTTTTTTGCATTTTACGGTTTTTACTTCTAAGTCCATACGAGAATTTTCCCGCAATACTCAAAACTACGTTATCAAATCTTACATCTCTATTACGACTTGTTACAAGATAATCATTAGGATTATGTATGTCTGCCGCAAATGAAAAAATTGTTGCGTCATCTACAGTAAAACCAATTGGTAGACTATCACCTTAAAAAAGTGACTTTTTAATTACCTTCAAAAACTCAGGCTTAAGATGTTCTCCATGATGCAGGTCAACCAATTTCAAGTTCAGGTTGAGGTTAAGGGCTCTCGCTGTCAGTAGTACAGCACGGCATGGAGCCGAACCAGGTACGTAATACAAATCCATAGGCATCCTGTAAAATATAAACATGAACCTAGTAATACGAGTAATAAGAAAGTCATATTAGAACAGAAGTTTTAAAATTTAGACGTAGGTAGGAAACAAAAATCAAGTACAATAAATATACTTAGGCAAAAGAAACAACAACATTAAAACAAAGTCTAAAAACTTTATACGAATGTTATAAATAGGAACGATTTCTTATAAAGACCATATGCCGGGAGAGGTCATATAACCATAAAACTATATTTATATAGGTACTGATTTTATTATAAAAACATTTTACGGAATAAATTTTGGAACTACATTCTTTGACTTATGTATGTACAAATTGTTTAATCTGTCTCATAAATATATGAACAGGACGAGTACCATACTGTAAACCAAATTGAAGTCATTCTAATGTAACAGGAACAACCCTGGGTTGTTCTTTGTATTTATCGAAGGCCAACATCTAAGATAAATGCTTTAGGGAAAGTTAGGCAACAAGGCCACAGGTAGTGAGTTGTAACAAAATGTTAGTTAAGTGAATACTAGTAAGATTTGTATTTCATTTATGATGCTTTTGGAAATAAAGTTATATGTCGTTTTTGATTTACGCGAGCATTTAATTAACCGGAGTGTACGTTTAAAGATGAGATTTCAATTCAACTTAATATGAGATTTAACCATAACTGATTTGATCACTAAAACAAGAAATCAAGAAACGTTTACTATGTAGATACCTATTATTATTTAAATCTTAGGCTTAAAACTTCAGAGTCTCCCATTAACAGTTAAGTATATTTAACTCTTTCGTTTTTGAAAGCGATATCAATGAATATGAATTATGAATTATCGTCAGATTTGTTCCAACTCAATTTCTCAAAATTGAGGTCAACAAGCAAAATTGACGCACTGACCAGTGAAACTGAGGTTTCGCAGTTCGGGTCAATGAATCGTAACGCAGGTAGATAGGAAGTATAAAACCAGTCTTAAGGGGACTAACAAAATATTAAGAAAATAGATTTCCTTCTCCACATAAGAATGCAAAGACTAAAGAGTGACGTTTATCCACTCTGTATTTTTATCAACTTGCATTTTAATTACCCTTGCAAATTCAAAATTTTTGTAAACGTTATCAAAGACACAAATTGAGTGAGCCCTACTGGTAGTACGAGTAATCAAAGTAGGTAAAAATATGGATAGCCTCGGCAAAGAAGACCCCTTCTTAGTCCTAGAGAAGTTAGAAGCCCTAGAGGTAGTCAGAACAAATCAACAAACTCATATCGTAATGTATCATAAAACTACTACAACATTAAAATAGGTCTGTACTAGTTACAACGGTTCTTATTGTTGTAATGTGTTATCTTATTAATAAAAGATTATTTTTAGACACAGATTAAATTCGACTCGTAGCAAATCTTTATAATGATAATAACTAACAAAGATAACGTTTCTGCAATTGCAATTTGTAACTGTATACAGTAAAGATTTATTTATTTATTTTTATTTTAAATTTAAAATTCTTATGTAATTTAAGATACGAATGTATGTTACATAGTCGTTAAAAATTTACAAATAGCTTTTGTGGTTTACAAAAAGGTAGTTTACCTAAACCATACTTATTCTATATCTTTTACTTTCTTAGTCTTATTTAGGCGCATTTTTTACTAATTCTACATTCAGTTACTAGCCAATGTAATAAAATATAAAATAAATTTAAAAGTATCTTTCGACAGTAATCCGATTTAGTTATGTGATAATAAAAATAACGCTGTTTAATAAAACAATTTTTAACCGGATTGAAGTTATGTATTTACAATTATTTTTCATAATTTTAAATTTAACCGACGTTTCGCGTGCTTTACAGCGTGCGTGGTCACGGTCACCGTAAAAATTGTTTTATTAAATGTGTAAAAGTTATGTCAATAAAAGACAATACTAAACGCTGTTTAAGCTGATCCCGGGAAGTTTGTATCAACTGACTACTCTAAATTTGTAATAAAATAATTGTATCTCGTGACAAAAGCCAATATCTTAAAAATACATGGTTCATACCCGAGCCGGAACACTCGTTACTTAACAATGGCAGCGCAATAGATTGGAAAAATATACCTGTCGTTTTCATAAACAATGTTTTGAATGTTTTAGGATTTTGGTAAATAGATAGCTTATCATTGTTGAAGGTCATGGAGAAACATGACTTGTGTAAAACACAATTAGATAATAATTGTAAAAACATAATTACGCAAGAAAAAACAGCGTAGAACGTTAATACTTTGGTATTGGCGTTAACCAACACTTGTATTGGTTAGCTTTGAAGAGAAATTAAGATATCTAAAGCAATATGGAAGCTTCTAAACTTGAATATAGGCTGAATAATTATCAATTCTTTTTAAATATAGCATAACGATAAAGGTTTCAATACACCAATCAAGCCAAAGCCGATGTATGTTAATGCTATGTTAAATTTTAATAAGACAACTTTGAAATTTGTTCACAGTCACTATAGGACTTCAATGTTAAGAAACTCGCCATCCCATCCCTATAGCATATATTTCTACTTCCGCTGTGATTTATTTCGGCTAGTATGTGGTCTTCAGTCAAAGAATGGTTCCAACCGAGAATCAAACGCAGTACGCCACGTGGCAAAATATGCCACGCAGGTTTAAGGTAAATTATAATTAATTATTTATACAGAACTGGACAGACGTTGGACAGGCGGCTTCTTGTGCACGCCTGTCCAGGAGATGCCTATTAAACCGACGCTTAAATGAACCCATATTTAACTGTGTAGAGAAGGAGGAAGAGGGCAAGGAGTTCCACTTTTTTTCCACACCAGGGGATGGCAACTAAGAAGGGTGAAACTCCAGCGTGCTTCTAGATGAGCGTTGATTGAAATATATATAAATGTTGTAAACGCTGTTGCGATAGCCTACACGTAGTAGGATATGTCGAACAACAGTTTTTCTTGTTACCTTGACAAAACTAGTGCGTGGGAAAGTAATAAAATTTTTTAATGCCTTGTACTTTATAATAGCGTGTTAATATGTAAACCTAACTTGCAGTTCGTTCATATAGCATCTATTTACACACGATAAATAATTACATAATATTTATAATAAAGCAAATCCTAAAGAGGTTTTAACCAATAAAAAATGTATAAAATATAAATATTGTTGTCTCTGATTTAAACAATAACACAATAAAGCACATGTTTCGTTATTTTATGTTTAACATTTAATTGTGACCTTTAAAATATTTTTACTATTGGTGCTAAAAATATACAGTTTATATATAAAAGATTTGTTCACTGGTATTAAATTGTGCAATCATGTATTATTAATATGTAGTTTCCTTAACATCAACGCTATTTGAAGAAACAGAAATTATCATCTGTACAACGCGGATGACATAACTAGTTAGCTATTAATAAGAAATATAATGTCTATTGGAATTACTTAAAACTTGGAATACCTATTTATCTTATTTAAAAAAATATCAAAGAACTATTTGTAAAGTAGTATAAATATTAATGAAACTTTTAAAAGGTTAAAGTTAAGATTTTGGTTACTTTAAAAATGATTTTTAAATTTATAACTATTCTCGATTCACCTTACACTATCCCACAACGAAACTACACTACACAAAAAACTTACTTTGAATGTTTTCGTTGGCGTGTTAACACTATAGCAATCTCACTGTTTGTAACCGGTGTCCGTGGTAGGGAGGTCGATTTATACCAACCAGTGACGCATACTTACCGCACGAGTTTTTCCCATTACAAATTAGACTGACGTGTACCCGTGAGTTTACGTGGACTTTTTTATGTGTAATATATTCAATCAAACAAAAAATCAACATTCAATATTCCTTTAAATCTCTACTGTACAAGCATTAGGTACCTGTCGACATAGTATCCCTAACTTTCGTACTCACTGATCTAAAATTGTCGTAATTCATGTGCACTTTTTCTTTTTAATATTGTCCTTATCACTGTTTATATATGTTTTAATTGCTTTGTTTTGTTCCATTAGTTTTGTCTAAATTTCTTAAGTAAATATGTCTTAAGTATTTTTGCACCTTATCTAATTAATTTTTTTGTTTCTCACAGTGGTTGTTCGAGAAGGATCACTCGAAAGTGTTATGGCCGCCAGTTGCCCTCCTTTTTATTAATTTATTTCAATTGTATTATATTTCTGTTCATGTCCTTGCATTATTTATAGTATTAATAAATAAATAAATAAAAAGGACTCTTCTCAGAAAGTTTTGATTATGTGAATTATGTAATCTTCGTGTCTTTAGAAACATTCGATTTTCGAAATGGGCTTGTAATTTCCAAATGTTTTTTGTGAATTATATTTTTAGTTGCATTAAGAAATTATTAAAATCACTCGAGAACACTTCAGACATAATCGAGATTTACTGATTCAATTGTAATTGAAAACTCAAAACTAAAAATGCTTTCCCTCAATAACGTAAAATAATAAACAAAAGGGCAGAAAGTGACAGCGGTAGTAGGTTATCTAATGTATAAAATTCTCGTGTCACAATGTTCGTTCCCATACTCCGCCGAAACGGCTCGACCGATTCTTATGAATTTTTTTATGCATATTCAGTAAGTCTGAGAATCGCCTACTATCTACTATCACTTAAGGGCGATAAGGAGTGTTCACCCCATTATTTTTTAGACAACATTTTTTGGTTTTATTTTTTTATATTACAGCATATAAAAATACATACAACCCTTAATTTTCATCTAACCTCAACGATTAACCCCTATTTTTTATTTGTTAGTTAAGAACTTATAACTTGAACTCTGAGATCTTATATAGAGAAAAATCACAGAAAAATCTAAAAAAAATCCATTCCGGAAAACCGAACAGTCTCTGGGGTAGCATAGCAAAATGTTCCATGTTGGTGTGTACTAGAAAGGTAGGCTAGACATTAAGGAGAAACGAAGTTCGCGGGGGCAGCTACAAAGTATAATAAAATAATAGTAAACTCTATAAAAATTACGATAAATTTTAAAACAAATAATTTCTTGGAAATCCCATCAAAGGCGCTGAAAGATTTGTAATTCCTACATATAGGATTGTATTAGTTTTGAATGAAAATTCTATTTCGGACACAAAGGGTTTTTCATGACCCTATTTACAGAACTCCATTTAAAGCGCTTTTCAGTAATCATGGTCAGAAACTGTATAATAATATATACCTACGATTCACGATCAATAATAATTGTTTTATTTTCATCAACTATTCTTAATAATCAACGGTTAGTGTGATGCAAAATTTAACAGAGAATCGTAAACATACAAAGAAAATACGACTGAATATAACTGAATGAATGTTAGCAGTGTTATGCACTTACTCTTAAATTACTTAACCAATTAAGGGTGAATTTAAAGAAAGTTAGTGCGCAAAACTGGTTAGTTTTATCAGTTTTCCTTTGATAGCCATTATTGATCATTTGTGATAGTATATATAATTATGCAAATAACTTAATCGTACACAAATACGTAAGAAGGAAATAAAAATAACGCCATTTTATTCTACACAATGTGCGGAAGCTACGAACTATAATAATGTTGCTTCAGATTTGTAACATTTCCCCTTATTCTTACTTATTTATTATTTGGTTAAAAATATAAAGTGAAAATTGTGTCAGTTCTGATTACTTTTTTAATTAGAACTCAATAAATAACAAAATTTCCCAATTAAAAATATTTAGCAATTATTCGTGACTTGCATAATGTATTATCTATGGAACAATTTAAAGGCAAGGCATAGATAATTGATTTATGCCACTTTTATTAGAGCATCGCTATGCAATAACAGATAAAGTCCAGTCCCTGAGTCATCGTTTTCATATCAGTCCATAAAAAAATTAAAAAAATCAGTTTTACAATATTTCACATTTTAATCAATGAAACGTTTATAATTATTTGAAGGAATTTAAAACAGAAAAAGATCTAAAACAATTATATTTTTAGGTTTGTAATTTGTTGTTAATGTACTGGTAGAATTCGTTTTTTAAAGAAAAATACGGATTTTGTTTTGGTACGATAAACCGCATTCAACGCTAAGACTCGCCTCTGAATTTTCTTTTACTATAGTTATAATTAAAATTAGCTTTGGTAATACTATCGTCGAATTCTGATATAGTAAGTTTTTGTAATCCCATAATCCATAAAAACAAAATTATACATCCGTCTTACTATTTTACCTAAAGGTCCTTCAATTTTTTTATCAAATTTATTTTATTTATTATTTTAAATTTTAGTGCACATACAAGATATACAAAATAAACCTTTTTTTTAAATAAGAATTGTGAAAAAGTGCATCACTGCGAAGCTATTCTGTGGTAAAGACAGAAAATGAGTGTTTTAATCAAAACAGTCTTAGATTGTTAAGAATGAAGGGGTTTGTTTAGTGTTGTAAGACTAATATTTAAGTCACTGACAGTTTTAAGGTAATAATAATATACATATAAGTTATTTCGGTAACTGAAATCGGAAGACGGATTATGAGGAAAATGCAATATGTAAATCGAGGTCTGACGGCACAATAAAGGCCTATTCACCGAAGTGGATTTTAAAATTTAATATATTTTTGAATATAATTTTAAAAAGCTGCCATTGGAACTTATTATTCAATAAGGCTAAATATTCAGGGCTAGTATCCCGTAAAAGCCAAAACTTTTACAAGTTACAATATAGTAAAAAAATGCCCATTAAAAATATTTACTAAGTAAACTGTCAATGCGCTGTAAAAAAAATTACGCACTTGCTGTTCACGAGAACTGAAAGAAATATTAATTAAGTCTATGATACTATAAGCTCAGAGGAACGAGTTCAGAAAGGCGATTAGTGAACTTAAATAGAAACTCGAAATGTTTGACAATTGGTATTCACTTCAGCTAATCACAAACCAAATTTTAATGGTTATAATGTTATAGTGTATATGTCACTGGACTTAGTAAATAAGTTAGTTATTTAACTAAGTTCGACAGATTGGACAGAAAAACTGTGTCCAGTTTGTGTTTCCACCACACCAACTTATTTTCTATTTAAGATCATGTATATAATAAATAAATAAATTAAATAAAGGTAAAGCGACGCAAGAATTCGAAATAGAGATTTACTGATTATAGGGGGCAATGACAGCTGATGACATGAGAAATCTTGGTTCGAAGGTTTTGGAACTGCTAATGTAACTTCATAAAAATATATCTTTAGGTATGGTTCAGGTTATGGTATACTTATTCTATGATTGACAGCCTTCTAGAGTGGTGTTCATTGTTAAGCGAAATTGATCCTCGGTCAACGCCTGTGGCCTGGCTAGACTTCGCCCATATCGCATAACCACATTCAAAAGATTCAAACCCGTGACGAACTACAATGGCAGATCATGGCATTATTATTAAGATATTTTGTGTCATTGTAGAATAAACTTAATTCGATTACATTAAGACTTAAAATTGCATACTACAGGTTAGGTTTTGTTAATTTAACGTTTTGTAGGCGTTTAAATGTATTGTTTAGAGAGAGTCTTTCTCTTGCTCATTGTACATAATGAAAGCCACTTTTTTGTAAGAGAGCTCTTCTATTATCCACAAATTGATTAAATTATGAAATTAGTGTTTAACAAGAAGTATAATAAATTTATATCCAACGGCGCTACAACACTATACGGGTTCACAGACTAGTAAGACTATTATGACATGACGTTTAAGAACAAGTAGGTCTAATGATCTAAGAAAGTTTCCTCACGATGTCTTCCCTCTACGTCAGTATGAGTACGTCTACAGCGCACATAGAAGAACCATTGGTGCTCAATGGGGACTTGAACGCACGATCGCAATGTCGAGAGTTGTACGTTTAAACGGCGAGGCCATTACTGCTTACATGAAGGGTATAAATAAAACCAGTGGCGCTACAACCTTCAAGGTCAGATTTCTGTATCTGTTTCGTGATCATTTGTTTTTTCTAATAGGCAAGTGGAGATTCAGTGCAAAATCAGACACACGCCGTCGACTTCTTGAGTCTAAGGTATACCGCTTTCCTTACGATGTTTTCCTTCACCGTACAACCCCGTGTTGAATGCACACATGGACAGAAAGTTCATTGGTCCACAGCTGGGATTCGAACCTACGTCCTCAGGGAAGGGAGATGCACACTGAAGTCAATACTATTTACAATAATATTTTTAGAAAACAACTAGAAATTACGCTTTTTTGCCTCTTTCGTTCCTTATGACTAATAACAGTTAACTTTCATCATATTTTTTTTTCGATTTAATATAGATATATAAAACATATTTCCGTTGCAGATTCTAATTTATCATTAAGAATAAGTAAATTTATGTGCTGTAATATTTTATCAATATAATATATTTGGGATATCTTAATTAAACGAAATTATATCTCATAACAGAAATATTTAGATAATAAAGTTTTTACAATAATCTTTGCAAAAGTCTTTACATAGTATAAATATAATAGTATTAAACAATTACAAATTGTTAAATAAAGATCTACAGAATTGAATAGGTACTAATATAAACCTAAAAAGTTTTGTCCCTGTGACAGTGTGGTACCTTTAATGCTGGTAGCATTTCCTCGCTGTATTCCGACACTTTATAATTGGGCCAGGTAAGCTCCACCGATACTCCTACTTTTAAATATTTAATTAGCATACTTATTACATAGCCCACAGTTCATGTGTCTATACTCCAATGGGAACAAAAACAAAGTTGAAGTATATTCTTGTCGTTTATAATTTTTCGCCTGGTCATCAAAAATGATTTTCTTAAACTAGTTTGGATAAATAATTTATTTCTTATCAGTGGGCCGAAGCTGTGGAGAATAAGGGAGAAGCATTGGCTTGCATATAGCTAAAGCCTTCTATAGAGTTTGGCATTGGGCACTTCTGTTGAAACTACCGTCATACATAGCATAATATGACAGCACCATCGTCACCTTATATTCCGGCCATCCAAACATGTCTCTTCTATAATAATAATAATCTTTCTTGTCAGACAACGAACAAACCTGAGTCTTTGTAGGGTTAAATGTAACATGATGGGGTCTTCGAGAGATATGACCTGCAACTCTTCAAAGTTAAGTGGAATCCTCCCTCAAACCGGCAACGCTGGGTGCTAAAAATGGGTATCCATGGGCTGCGATGACTGCTCTTCTTGGTCGTCCCGTAGGCTCTTTTGCCTCCTTTTCTATTAAAATATTCACTAAATAAATTATAAAATGCGTAAAATAAATTAAAGTTTGTTACAGGAATAACTTTTCTTTGGATTACTTAGAATTAAAAAAGAAAAAATATGAATTATTCAATTATTTATTAACATAAATATACCTAGAATAACGTAATGACCTTTATTTCATCGCGTGTATTTTCAATTAGATATTTAATTTTTTATCTATGGTGGTAATTTTAAAATTTCACATGTCAATTGTCATTGTTTAAATATTTTTATTTTTTGGGAATGGTATGAAATCTTATGGGATAATAAACATTTAAAATTCCTAAAAAATCATCAATTATTAATATTTTAAACAATGATTTCAAGTAAATAACGTAATCGTTGAAATATACTTTGATGTGAAGACCTTACAATGGGCGATAGCAGTGATTCTGAAGAGTTCTATGATGCGGAAGACTTCACGCCCGCAAGAGGCTCAAAGTAAGAAAACAAATGTTTACATACTATTTCCCTTTTTATCGGCCTTAAGGCTAAAACTGCCTCTGTAAAATATGTGTTTTTATAAAAGCTTTTTATGATGTTTGACAAGGTAACATTTGGTCTTGCTAACAGATGTTGCACCTGCCTTGAACGTCCTTGCACACATTCAAACCATAATTATGTTCAAAACAAACATATAATTATTGAAACTGGTCTGTTAATAGGTCAAAAGGATAATTTATTGGATGGTAAATTCATTTTGAAAGATGCTATGACTGTGTTAAGCAGTCCTTTTAATAATGTATAAAGCCACTACTTTAAACTACTTTGTTAAAAAGTAAGAAAATCCACCATAGGATCCACCATATCCTTAATATAAAATTGATTGTTATTATCTAATTTTGTATTACACTGTTTTTATAATTTTATTTCAGAAGATCATCGCTATGTAAAAGTATGAGTGTTACCGACAATTCTAGCAGTGCAGACAAAGAGAAACCATCAATTTTAAAAGCTGAAGAAGTGCAGGTTGCGCCGTCTGTTTGTACCACCAGCCCAGCTACTAAAGAAACACCTGTTGACGAAAGGTCTACAGTTAAACATGTAAGAACATTATTCTAAAATTTATTTTACACTATATATATATTGAATATATAAAACTGTTAGTGTATTAATGTAGATATATTGGAAGTGGTAATTTACATTATTCTCTAGTAAAATCTGATTACTCTGTACAATATAACTTAAATAAACTAATTATGTTGATAATATTTAAAACACTTTATTTAGTTTTTCTAGATTCAAAATTTATGCATACCTCCTGAATTGAATATAAATATTTGAAGGTGGTGCAAGGCAGACGTAGGTTTCAAGAGCTTCGCAGGTGTATGCAAACTGAGGAAGAGGATGAGCCAGAGGTACCTCAAGCATCAGAACATACATATGCATTGGAACATCCATTCAAGTAAGATAAAGCACATATTTATATTGTAATTATGCCTTTTATTTGTTTAAAAATCTTATTAACTAAATTATTATAAGACACCTCTCAGTACCACAATAAAAGAGGAGAAGTAATTTTCTAACAATATCAAAGATATTGAACAAACACCAAATAGTATAGATTAGCATAGATGCACTTATTAAACAAATACAACAAAACAACAAATTTGCTTCTTTGAACTCTACTTTAATTTGATATTATATTTGAAAGTTGACATACTAACTAGTAAACTATGAAAGAAACTATGATTTAATAGTATGATCTATAGCAGCAATACTTTATTTGATTTTTAAATAATTTTAATTAATTCAAAGTTAATATAGTTTTTTATTTAAATTCCTGACTGTAAGAAATGTAAAGTAGAAAACTTCTAAGCTGAATATAATCTACAAGTACAAAAATTATACTATCACCAGCCTGTTCATGTTATATATTTCAGTGTAATAAAATTGTTTTGTTGTGGTAAGTATATGGTCAGATTTAACTTATATGTGTATATGTAACTTCTCAAAATAATAAATAAAACAATATATTCTAACTAGTAAACAAATATAATTTTATGTTACTTGATAAAACTAGAAATTCTCATAAAAGTATGATGTAATCTATAAACTGTTTTTAATTGAAACAGTTGTTGTTATATAAAATAAGAAAGAATAAATAATATGCTATTTTCCATTATTTTTTTTCGATGGGAATAGTTCAGCACAGAGTGTGGGACTCGCTACATTAGCCTCACTCATTAATCCCCTTCAACTCTTGGGGAAACTTGGGGTTCCCCCATTCCTGGGGGGAAACTTGGGGTCGCGTCAGCATTCTGAAAAGAATCTGCTTGCAACCCTCATATCACGATTTCTTTGCCCATGCAAACTTTTTTAAGTTTAGTCCATATTAAAATCCATTATATCTTGTACTTCAAACTTGTATTTTATAAAAAAATATATTCTTAACAACCGTTAGAGTTCCCGATTTTCATTGCAATTTGTATAGTCAGGATGGCCGAGCGGTCTAAGGCGCTGCGTTCAGGTCGCAGTCCACTTCTGTGGGCGTGGGTTCGAATCCCACTTCTGACAGACTTTTTATTGCATTATGGATATATTAGTTTAATTTTACATTTAAACATACAAATCTTTTACGTTAAAAGTGGTATATTTTATTAATTATTGACTGATTGCAGTGTGACACTAACATTTTTTAGAATTTATACTATTTATCAAAAGGGTTATATAAATTTATCATTATAATAGTTGTAATAAGTGTCAGAATTGTAAGTAATAAATAATTTCTTTTTTTTGCGATAATTCCTAAAAACCTAGTTCGGTGTAGTTTTTTCCAGCCGTTTATTGCAACGGTTTTAGATTCCCACAAAGCCCACAGAATTGCGTTCGTTTAATGAGTCCTTCGACTACATAGGCTGCACTAAAAGTATCGGGAATGGAATAATACCACTGTTCCTGTCATATTTCAGTCATTTTAATTGAAACCTCCTTTTTTTTAAAAATCGAATACCATTTTTTTTTTAATAGTTTCTCGGTCTTTTCACAAAGTTTTGTCAAACTTGTTTAGTCGTTGAGAAAATGGAATTGACTCGAGAAAATTCAAGAGCGATGCGCGATTTATTATGACTTTTGAAGTGCTTTATCACAAAAACAGTGTGTTGACCGGATGATTTCTGCATTTGGTGATGAAGCCCCATCCAAAACCACAATTTATCGCTGGTTTGCTGAATTTCAACGTGGACGTGTCAAGCTCAGTGATGATCCCCGTTAAGGTCGTCCAAAAACTGCAGTCACCCAAGAAAACGTTGATGCTGTGCGTAAGAAAACGTTGAGGAAGATCGACATGTGACATACCGCATATAAGCATATAACTCAGCCTCCAGGTCCTTCAAACGGGAAATCACTAAGGCAAAGTCAGAGCACATTGCCAGATTTGGCGAGAGATTGGCCCAACTCCCTTCAGGGACTCGAGCCTTCTGGTCTCTCGCCAAAGCTGTCCAAGGGAATTTTTGTCAGCCCGCCATTCCGCCACTGCACAGGGAGGATGACTCTCTGGCCCACACTGCGAAGGAGAAGGCTGACCTTTTGGGCTGTCTCTTCGCGTCTAACTCGACCTTGGATGACCGAGGGAGATCACCACCGACCATTTCGCGGTGTGATTCTTCGATGCCGGAAATCACATTCCGGCAACGTGGTGTCCGCAAAGCACTATCTTCCTTGGACATTCATAAGTCGAGCGGGCCGGATTGTATCCCCCCAATTGTGCTGCGTACTTGTGCTCCTGAGTTGGCTCCGGTCTTAACGCGCCTTTTCCGGTACCTGTACTCGCTCGGCACTGTCCCGAAGTGCTGGAAGACCGCTTTGATACATCCGATCCTTAAAAAAGGCGATCGCTCTGATCCGTCCAACTATCGCCCAATAGCTATAACCTCCTTGTTCTCCAAAATAATGGAATCCATTGTTAATTGCCAGCTCTTGAGGTATCTAGAGGGCCACCAGCTGATTAGCGATTATCAGTACGGCTTTCGTCGTGGTCGTTCGGCTGGTGACCTTCTTGTATACCTTACACATAGATGGGCAGAGGCAATTGAGTCCAAGGGGGAGGCGCTAGCGGTTAGTTTGGACATAGCGAAAGCCTTCGATCGGGTGTGGCACAGAGCACTGCTCTCGAAGCTTCCAGCCTATGGGCTTCCCGAGAAATTACGCGATTGGATCTCCAGCTTTCTGGCCGATCGGAGCATCAAGGTCGTCATCGACGGAGCATGTTCCGACCTAAAACCCGTAAACGCTGGGGTCCCACAAGGCTGTGTTCTATCCCCGACCCTATTTCTTCTGCATATCAATGATATGTTGAAACTTAGCAACATTCATTGCTATGCGGATGACAGCACTGGGGATACTTTTTACACTGGCCGGGCAGGTATTTCTCGGGCAGTTGTTGATGAGTACCGGAACAAACTTGTGTCTGAAGTCGAAACTCTACTACGTGGAGTCTCAGATTGGGGCAGACAAAACCTAGTCCAATTTAACCCTAAGAAGACACAAGTTTGCGCGTTTTCCGCTAAAAAAACACCCTTTGTCGCTACTCCTCTTTTCAAAAACACTCTTCTTAAAGCCACAGCCAGCATTGGAATACTTGGCGTTGACATATCGAGCGACGTTCAGTTTCGCGGTCACTTGGAGGGAAAGGCTAAATTAGCCTCCAAAAAGCTTGGTGTGCTCAGCAAGGCGAGACGGTACTTCACTCCGGGCCACCGCATGCAACTATATAAAGCGCAAATTCGGCCCCACATGGAGTACTGCTCTCACAGAGGTGAGAGGGCGGGGGCTCCCCAGTACCAGCTCCTTCCACTTGACCGTATACAACGCAGAGCGGTTCGAATCGTCGACGACCAATCCCTCTCCGAGTGGCTTGATCCTTTGGCGTTGCGTAGAGATGTGGGGTCACTCTGCATCTTCTACCGCATTTACCATGGAGAGTGTTCAGAGGAGTTGTTCGGATTAATATCTGCAGCTGAGTTTCATCATCGGACGTCGAGACAGAATACGAAATTCCACCCGTATCACCTCGACGTCCGACGTTCCACAACTGAGCGTTTTTCAAGGCAGTTTTTGCCGCGCACCACCACTATGTGGAACCAGCTGCCCACTGAAGTATTCCCGAACCAATTCGACTTAGGGTCCTTCAAGAAAAGAGCGTACCAATTCTTAAAAGGCCGGCAACGCACTCGCGAGCCCTCTGGCATTGAGAGTGTCCATGGGCGGCGGTATCACTTAACATCAGGTGAGCCTCCTGCCCGTTTGCCCCCGTTCTATAAAAAAAAAAAAACGCGAAATTCAGGCAACTTTAGACATTGGCATGAGTCAAATACAAATAATCTTGCAGGAACAATTAGGTGTAAAAAAGTTGTTTTCCCAATGGATACCGCATTCGCTCTGTGAAGAGCAAAAAGCGGCTCGCGTTACTTGGTGCGTCAGAACTCTCGAAAGATTCCACGCAGGATCGTCAAATGCTGTATACAACATCGTATCAGGTGACGAATGCTGGATATATGCGTACGAACCCGAAACAAAAACCAGTCACGAGTTTGGGTGTTCGAAAATGAGTTAAACCCAACGAAAATTGTTCGTTCACGGAGTGTTGCAAAAAAATGGTGGCCATGTTTGTCTCCAAAACCGGCCATGTTGCGACTATTCCTCTTGAGGGACAAAGAACGATTAATGCAGAATGGTATGCTAGCATTTGTTTGCCACAGGTCGTTTCTGAACTCCGTAAAGAGATCTGCAACCGCCGCATCATTCTCCATCACGACAATGCGAGTTCTCACAGCGCGCACAGAACATAAGAGTTTTAAGAGCAAGAAAACAGAGAATTATTAGACCACCCGCCGTACAGCCCCGACCTAAGCCCTAATGATTTCTATACTTTCCCTAAAATAAAGAATAAATTGCGTGGTCAGAGATTTTCATCACCTGAAGAAGCTGTGGACGCCTACAAAACGGCCATTTTGAAGACCCCAACTTCCGAATGGAATGGTTGCTTCAATGATTGGTTCCATCGTATGAAAAATGTGTCAAATTTTGCGAAGAATACTTCGAAAAGCAATAAATACATTTTTAAATAGTAATGTTGTGTCACTTTCTTGATTCCCGAAATTTTCAGTGCCGCCCTCGTATTATATAATAAAAGTATATAAATCGTTATTATAATTATTTTATATGATGTAGATTTAAAGTAAAACGGACGCAGTTTTTGTACTGATAATTTCGTCAGTGCTTGATAATATTATTAGTATGTCAGGATGCGTACTCAAGGCCTTAGTTTTATATGCTATATGCATTATCGCCGACAGCTATGATCGTAATTTTGCAAAAACCAACATAAAATAATGAGGATCAGAATACTGTAAAACTAAAATATTAAATTCACTTGCAATACCACAAAACGATTAGTAATATTAAAGTGGGACGAACAATGCACGCGATATTTAAAACAAGTATTATACAATAACTAGTCTGTAATTCGCCGATGACAAGAAATAATATTGTTAACTTCACCCAGTTCAAAGAGGTATTTTTGCTGTTAAGTGTAATTAAAATAGATTTCGTGTGAGGTGAGTTTGCAAGTGAATTTGATGTTAACAGAATACGAAGATTTGTCTTAGATAGCGCACTGATATCAAAGTGATTAAGCAACAGTAATAATAATAAATTTCGCTCGCAACAACCTATGTTCTATAGAAGCTTGTAACAATTTTACTTAAGAACTATATTCATCTGTTTTTATGTCTTAGTTAATTGTACGGCAAGTCTCAACCACATCATATGAATTAAGCCTATCAATCCTTTAGGCTTCTGCTGTTGCTATTTTTAAGGCGCTGTAGTACGAACGCAGCACTTATCCGCCTGATGGCGTAGAAATCATTAGCTGTAGTGTGTTAAAACAAATATCTCTTTAATACTTAACATTTCAGAATTATATCCCACGATACGATGAGCTTGCAAAGTATGACGTCATTGGGAAGGATCGGCAGGATACTGAGCGGAGCAGCTGAATCACATCGTAAGTTATTTGTTTGATAAACGCCTCTTAAGGTTTTTTATAGAACACGGGCTAACTGACTAAGCTAATGTTGAGTGGTACCGCCGTCAGAAAGGCAGAGGACTGCCTTAGATGTGTTCTTAAAAATGGTAGAATAAGACTGCTTCAACCGGGTGAACCAATCACGAATGACTCTACTCTACCAAGTTCATAGTTAACAAGTTTTTTTATTTGTGAATTCTTAGGTCTTTATTGCTCTGTGTTCAGGTGTATTTCGTGGTTGATTAAATTTTGATGTAATGCTTAATAGTCAGTACACATACAGTACAGTAGTGTTTCAACAAGATTATTGAAACAATATTTCTATAATAATCCTTTTATGCTATACCATTAGATCTATGATTGAGACTAAATTATTGTGACCGCGTGGTAATGTATACCTAGGTTTAATTTCAGCCCAATACCTGCTTCGTATTGGTTGGCAAAAACTGATAATTAAATTTATCTTATAAAATGTGAAACAGAAATAAATTTGCCACATGCCACACAAAGCGAAGTCCTATGTACCGTATTTAAACAATTCTTTCAGCAAATATACGAGAGAATAATCCAGCCCCGTCTGCCTCGTCAAGGGAACCCTCAACATGTGATGATCCACTTGCTACGGATCGGACGCAAAACGGTACGTTTCTAAGATACCAATTATTTTAACATAATTTTCCTACGCTATTATCAGCAGGTTAAAGAAAAGTAAAATATTGTGGCTCACCTAATGTTAAGTGATACCACCGCAAATGGTCTCTCGATGCCAGAGGACTCGCGAATGCGTTGCCAGCCTTTTAAGAATTGAAAGACCCTAAGTAGAATTGGTTTTGAAATACTTCAGTGGGCAGCTGGTTCCAGTTGTGGAACGACGTACGTCGAGGTGATATGGTGGTCGGATGATGAAACTCAGCTCGGTATTTAAGGTGTAGGTATTAATGCGAAAAACGCCTCTGAACATTCTCCATGGTAAATGCGGTAGAAGAAGCAGTGTGACCTGTGATGCAACACCAAGGGATCACCGAGAACCGCGACGACCAATCACGGTTCGATTGGTCGTCGACGATTCGAACCGCTCTTCGTTGAATACGGTCAAGTGGAATGATATGTCAACGCCAAGCATTCCGATGGTGGCTGTGGCTTTATAAAAGTGTGTCTTTCGAAAAGGGCGGTTTTTAGCGGAAAAGGCGCAATTTTGTATCTACATAATAATCTCTCGTGACAGTAATAATATGATTCAAAATGAATGTGATGTTGAATTTGAGGTTTTATCATAGTTCGTTAGTTAATTACTAAATATTATAATTGAAACAAATACGCAATAGATAAGTAAGAGTGGTTATGAAAGGACATAAACGCCACGATTAATTATAGAATTTTTCGTCGCTTGGGTCAATTCTGTACTTCTAGTTTTACAGATTTCGACCAAAAGCTCTTTCAAGTAACTTCAAAATCTCAAAAGCGTACAATTCTGTATTCGTTATTAACTCTCCGTGCGTTCGTCTATATTGTCTTTTATTTACGTGTGTACACAAATAATTAATCTGTAACGAAAATACACGAGAATTTGTTATTATTAAGTCGCGTCCACCACTATGTGAAACCAGCTGCCCACTGAACTATTTCCGAACGAATTCGACTTAGAGTCCTTCATGAAAAGAGCGTACCAATTCTTAAAAGGACGGCAACGCACTCGCGAGCCCTCTGGCATGTGCGGCGTATCATTAACATCAGGTGAGCTTTATGCCCGTTTGCTTCTATAAAAATAATTGTTTCGAGTGCTTTGCAACTATCGTGAGCGAAAAGTCTATATATGTTAAAGAAGTTTTATATCTGTGATTGTTAGCCGCTGCAAAAGGAGTGGTGTCATGTATGTTTGACGCATCGTATCTCCTAACGAATGGACCTGTTTTATTTGTTAGAACTGACGTGATCAAGATGGTTCTTGGCTGCCGTTTTTAAGGTCGTTTAGTTTTCAGACACATAGAGCTCGAATGTTGTCGGAGGTTATTTAAATGATTAATTTTCTATTAAAGTGCTGGCGATGGCCGAGCCGGATGTGATAGCGAGTACGAAGGCGAACAGCCTCAAGCATAACCGGGGTTCGTCAGCCGTTGTGGCTGTCTGTCACACCTCTTGTCTTCCAGCCCCTGTAGCGCCCCCTCGGAAGAAAAAGCGCAGTAAGTTACTCTTGAAGGTTCAGCTTGCCTACTACTTTTAAATAAATATGTAAACCAATATGACTTAGGATCCTATAAGAAGCGTATCGACTCCTTAAAGGCCGGCAACGCACTCGAGAGCCTTTTGGTGGTGGGAGTGTCCATGGATGGCGGTTACACTTAACATCAGCTTCCAGTTCTTTATTTATAAAAAAAATAACTCAATAAACATCCTGCATAATTATATATATGTCACCGTAAAATTGTAAACACCGTTAGATTGTTATCTATCTCACTTCGATAGATTACAATCTACCGAATAATAATACGTTAAATAGTACGTTGAGTTCATAATCTTTCGACAGTTTACATTCTCGCGAGATTGATTACAATCTAACGGTGTTTACAATTTTACGGTGACTTATATATATAAGCGATAAGGCCGCCAGTTGCCTTTCCTTTACATGTTAAATTTTTATATTATAAAGCAACAAAGTGTGAATGAATGAATGAATTAAATGTCACCCAACACACAATAATTACAGACAAACTCCACGGGTCTCAATCGCTGTCAACTACTGAGGGTGATAATCTCAGCGTGTGTACTACTGACACGGATGAATTACGATACGTGAGGCGGGATAAGCCACATCTTGATACGTTGAGGGTTGAGGTATGTGAATAAAGAGGTATTATTTAAATGCGTAAACCAAAGACAATATCATTTACAGTTATTTGCCCCAGACATACTAAAAGAACAATATTAAAGAAAGAGCAAAATAAGAGCAAAGGAAATCTAGGATAATTATGTTTTCCTGTATTTACGCAAATAGTTTAATTACATTTTGAATTGTAAAACATCAGTTCGCGAGCTTCAAATTTTTATTCTAAGTTTTTAAGTATTTTTTTTTATTATAGGCCGCACAACCCATTCCACCGAATCAATGTATGGCTTTACCGAGTCCCGCCAGCACAATCGAATCACTGACCAGAGAGTTCCAGGACTCATTAGAACTCTCACATTCCAAATATGGTATGTCTCTATAAAAAGTGTGTTTTGCTATTTTAAAATAATAAAAAAATTGTTTTTTTCCAGTAGGTAAATTTCTGTATGATTCCTAATTATTTTTTCATAATAGGCAAGTAAGTGTAACACTTTTCTTGTTCGATAAAAAAGCTTATTTAAGTATTACTCGTATACATACAAGAAAATATATTAAATGATTACGATATATAATGAAAACCCAGTTTCATATTTTAATTAATTAAAGAAGAATTATATTACAGCAAGTGATATGTCTCTACCAGAGATGTGGTCTTCCCCGGCTGCACCCCCTGTACGGCCTAATGTTGCAACTGTAGCACCGCATACAAAAGATGCCTTAGCTGTTAATGGTAATTTCTGGGAATTATTATTATTACTATAACGCCGCTTCGTGCGGCTGGACATTTGCTTTATAATATATATTATATAGCCTATGTTCATTAAGAATAGTGTAAGATTCTAATGGTGAAATAAATTTTCGAATTGATCCAGTAGTTTTGGAGCATTCAAACAAACAATTAAATCTCTTCTGTTAATATTGAAAAAAAAACCACAGTGAAACAAAATCAAAATGTTGTACATTTACTTAATAACATACTTTTTATAATTAAAAAAAGTTATGGTATTTTATATTAATCGTTCAATATACCTTGCCTGCCTTTTCAGCTGATTTGTCACAAATCATAAATTAATAATATTGTTATGCGATTTGGCAATTTTTTTTATTATTATGTGATTAATTTACATAATTTTTGAATTGGCTAGGAAAGCGTTCAAGTATTACGTAACGCAATTTTTGGAGATTATTGACCCCCCCCCATGTAACTCGTCGTAACGTTTTTCAGTACCCAAGTACAGTACTCTACTCGAGTATAGTAAAACGTTTCGTGACTCTTTAGTTACTATTATGTTGTGTCAGTCGAAAATAATATTAATAATAACGCGTAATTCAATCCTCGCCCCGCATCGTAACGTTTTACAAAAGGACACACAACACCCCCCCAAAACTCGTTACGTAATACTTGAACGCTCCCTAGGATGTCTGTAGATCAAAGAAATATTTTTGTATGATGCTAATAATTATAGTATTAATTTATTTATTTAGGTCATGTATAATTTAATATTAATTTTACTTAGTTATGTTACATTTCTTGCGGCTTAAAAATTTTTCCTTGCATCCCTAAGTTCTCTAATGGTACTTGTTCTCTTAATGCAAAGAAGTGTTAATAAATAAAATATAAAATTCTAGGTGCTCGTGGCGAGAACGAGTGTCGTACGTCACGTACGCACAGCGAAGGACGGCCGCTGACTTCTAGTTTAGGGTCCAATGGCAGGTAACTATTATTATATTTAAAATAAACAGTGTAATGCTTAACATACTATTTTCTCAACACTTTATTGGGAAATGACTTGGAGTTTGGGGCGTGTATTTGGAGAAACTAAGTTGGCGATATCAGAATTGTTAACTGCATGCAAAGATATTGTGTATAAACTATTATTTGAAGTCCCTCACTTTATGGCTTAGTAGAGGTCCTGAAATCGATTCCTGGAGAAACAGTAATTTATTTCCAAAAAATATGACCGAAAAATGTGCCTGACTCACTCTATAGTGTGTTGGAACTCACACTATTAAAGTTATCATTTTAATTATCAAGATGATTACTGTCGAGCTATAGTGACGTAACAGTGTTATAGACAACTGTTTGACTTAGGGTCCTTCAAGAAAAGAGCGTACGAATTATTAAAAGTCCGGCAGCGCGCTTGCGAGCCTTCTGGCAGTGCGAGTGTCCATGGACGGCGGTATCACTTAACATCGGGTCTGCCTCCTGTAACATAAAAAAAAGTGCGTGTACTTTTGTACGCGCGTAAGAAGTTATACTTCTTTGGCATTATTAATAATACATACGGATAGTTAACCTCAATTGTATTGAAGCACTTAGGAAATTTGATGAGCACAATTTTTTCACAAATATTTCCTAATATTAATTAGTATTGATTTAAATATTCAATTTATATCACTTCTGATTATAATTCAGACGCACATATAAAATTCACACTTGTATAATGAAAACAAAATGAAAACACGTGTTTTAAATGTAGGAACTAAAAGCATGTGGATAAATATTATAAATACACAGTGAACAGAGGCGGCGTGCGTGCCAACATGCGCCACTAACTTCATTCTGTTAATTTTGTGTCAAGAAGTATAACTTCAAAAATAACAATTCCTCGCTACAGTTAGCGACCTCAAATCCCACGATTCTTTTACCCTTGTGTCCTTATATCTTTTGTGAAAGTTTGCAAATGAGTAAAAGGGACAAAACATTGTAGACGTTCGGAAACGTCGCGCGCTCGTCGTCGCTCAGCGGGCGATTCGCCTGCGGAAGGCGAGGGAGAGGGTCTCAGGGCAAGATGCGTCTCCGGAAGGCAGCTCTCAGATATAGAGATACTGGAGCAGGTCACCGTGCTTAATCTTGATACTGGTATGTATATTAGTATAGTATTATTAAAGTTCTTAAAGCAACAAGTGTGCTTAAATACGGAAAAAATAAATAAATCAGTGGCGCTACAACCTCTTTAGTTCATGGCCTCAGATTTCTGAATCTGTTTCATGATCATTTTTAAATCTAATAGGCAAGTAGGTGATCAGCCTCCAGTGCCTGACACACGCCGTCGACTTTTTGGGTTTAAGACATGTCGGTTTCCTCACGATGTTTTCCTTCAACGTTTGAGCAAAATATGTTAAATGCGCACATAGAAAGAAAGTCCATTGTCATTGTCCACAGTCCAATTACAATTTCGAATAGAATTCCGAGGCGTAGAATTTCTAGAATTTTCTTGCCTCACTCAATGTGATTGGAAATGGCAATTCTTCTTCTTGCTTTCAACCTCATATCTTATTTATGTAAACAAATGATGTGTGAGGTATGATGTTTTAATTATAGAAGGTAGGGAAGGTCGGACTTCAAATTATCGCACTTTGGCGAGCAAGATACTATTCGTTCAACTTCATTGGCCAGGGGATTTATTTATTTATTTACATTGATTTTATTTAATTTATCCTCTATTTATTAAGAAACCGAAAAAAATATCGTGTGATAATTCAAATTAACGTGTGATAAATTATCTAGAGTCGACTGTACCTTTATTTCAGTGGTTAATTAAGTGCTTTTAGCGTAACACGAAATTAGTAGACGGGTATCACAGACCCAAAGTGTGTCCTGTTCTAGGAGAACGCATGCCGCTAAGCGTCGCCGAACACAAGTTGCCTCAATGCATCAATCCTCTAAGTCTCCACATCATGCGACTGACTTCAGAGTACATAGGACGGACTAACGATGACGAACACAACAGGTATGTTATCGGGTGTAAAATACCCATGATATGCTTTATATATGAATTATTTTACATATAAATGATCTGGTAGTGGATTTTTAACGAACTCTAACACTAATAGAGCATCTGCATTGTAAATAACACAATTGGCTTAAGAAAGACTTTAAAAGATTTCCTGCTAACTTCATGACACTGTTGGATCACAAAATATCATTTCCAATAATAGTGTTGTGATAAATATTAATACTATACTAAACTACTAACTAAAACTTTATTATTTAGTGCAAAGTGGTTCATAAATTATGCACTAAACATTTTTTCTGCATGTGCACTGACTGATTTTATTTCTAAGGTAGAAATACTAGTTACCACCAGAATGAGAAGACTAAACGTTTTCTCATTTTACGATTATTTCAATAAATTTATCATTTATAAAGTTGTCTGTCAACTATTATGAAAATAATTTTCTCATATTTTAAAAGTTTTTTTACAATTTAAAATAACTTTTGACTTAAACCTAAAGTAGTCGGTCAAGCAGTCCCCTCGTCCAATTGAAGAGACGGCCAATGAGTGTGTGGAAACGCTGGTCGGTTTACAGTACTGGGGTCTTGCGAAGATCGCCTTCCGCGCCCCTACATCTGACCGAGTCTAGCTTCTCCATCGATAATAGGTTAACATTTAGATTACTGGGCCTTGTGTGGGCTGGTTAAATGCAGTGAAAGATGTCTTTTTATATCTTACATACATGTTTGTCCTTATATTACACGTGCAATGAAATAAACCTCAACCATGGTATATAAAAGAGTTCATTCTAACTTCGAAATTGTATAATTTTGTACGATTTGACAAAATTATTTTATATTTATAACATTGTATAAAAATATGATGAAGAAATTTAATATTGAAAAGACACTTTCAGTGCGAGCTTACAGCAGAGCACGGAGCATTATCAGAAGTTTTCTTTTAATAAATTGTTGTTTAATTTATACAAATTAAATATTGAAGTATCAATGAACACAAAATTTCTGATAATTGACTGGGCTAAAGGCTTTAAATTGTAGCGAATTTTAAAATATTGTAATTGTCGGATATACATTTTAGTTTGGATTTATTTTCATCGTAAATTGTGAATTTGTCTCATCCGTTGTTTAGTAAAACCGTCTTTTTAACATTTGTAGCAGGTCAATGTTCGCTTTTTGCTTGTATAAAATTGTGTTTATCAGAGTAGCTTTCAAACAATCAACTAACCAAAAAATTTAGACTCAAAATTGTTGCCATGTTTGTACTAAATGTGCTATGTAGCTAGCCATCTTTACATTTTCATGTATAATTATCGTAGATAAATAAATTTGAATATTAGGTGCCGATTGGTGTAACTTATGTAGTGACCAATTTTGCGTACGAAGTTTTATCATATTAATATTAGGACTGCCTTCGAATGTTCAGTTCAGTAGAAATGTGAAAAAAGCTGCATCCTGTGTATATTCTCAAATATTTTTTATTTTTTCAGAGAGACAGATGAGGAAAGTGAAAGTGTCTGCGCTGGTGGCGTAGAAGATGAGACAAAAGAGGCGAAGAGAGAGTCCGCTGACAGACAAACTACGGCCATCAAACGGAAAACTGACAAGTATGTATTTATATATTATGTTTATGTACCAATTTTCATTTATTCTTCAAATCTACATAATATTGTCGCTGTAGAATGATAACCACGTATGTCCAGAGAACCAAAACTTACAGGAAACGAAAAATGTTCCATTTCGTCAATGTTCGTTAAAATATTATGTATTTTTGTCCAAAGTTTTGGATGGTAAAAGGACTTATTTATTAATAACATAAATAAGTCCTTACATCATGATTATACCAGTTAAATGAAATAAGAGTCTAAATAATAATAAATTAAAAGGTTTTTTGACATACGAGGTTATCATTCTACAGTGACGATATAAAAATTTATCCCATATTGTGCATTATTAAACAAAACATAAACTGTCTATTTTTATTTAAAAAATGCAATCACATGTGATTTTATAGAATAATCTACAATTCTATATTGTTACGAGTTAGTATTTGGAATAATGTCAAGCCAAAATTTAAGCCTATCAACAATCATGTTCCAAATATGGTTCAAACTAGTTTTTACACGCTCGTTTTAAAATAAGTTGACTCACTTTGGAGGGACTTAAATATTTTTATTGTATTGTTTGGAAACCCTGTTGGAAAGCTGTTTCACCTAAAGAGATTCACGAATGAATGAGAATACGTTGTAAAGTCATTCTTAGTTCTAATATAATGTTGAATATTCAGTGTAATTCGCGCTGAACTAGTGAAGTGTCACTCGCACGACAACATTAATATCAGGTGATAGTTTTTAATCTTGCTTGCTGTTTGCTGTCGAACATTTTACGAGTTAATTGGCCTAATTCGATTTAAAATCATTTTAGTATTACGAAGAAAGTCATTTTTGACGTTACCGTATTAGTCTTGGTCAAATGTTAAAACTTGAATTGATTTTGCCACCAGAGGCGCTGTTAAATGAGACAAGATTAAGAGACACGGACAAATATGGTAGCGTTTACAAGTTAAAAAGTCATAGGAGTTTTGCTTTTCGAGAATGCTTCATTTGATTATAACTAACATTTAGACATACAATCAAAAGACGGTCCATCGATTTTATTGAAAAGCCAGCCATAACAAACATATGCTTATGCGAATCCGAAATAATAAATATTTTAACTATTGCTTAAATTGAAGCGTCTATCATACCGGCGAAGCAATAATTTTATTAGAGTGGTTCGTCAATTGTAAAAGCGAATTTATGTTCCCGTCTTACAGTGTGTTTTACAACGAAATTATTGTATCACCTGGCTTGTAGGCTGATCAATTGTCTATCAAAATAATCGATAAACCGAGAAACAGTAAAAATTATTTATTTTAATATAAAAGTGTTATAGATTCTCGTTTATGGCAAATTTATGAATAAAGTAATTTATCCTTATTTTATTTTAAATATAAGAATACTGTGTGTGTTTTTATAACTGATTGGTTTTGCGGTGAACATAACTTGCATTTCTTGTTTGAGGTGAACTTTGCATGTTTTGATATCAAAATTGTTAAACATAATTTTATCTTATCTGAGGGTCGTCAGAACGTTAGAAAAATGATTTGGCTATTATCTTGAGACTAGGTATGGGTCTGATTTGCGTTTAAGAATACAAACAAGATTTCTTAAACGTGACTACCCAAGTACTCGACGTTATAAGCATATCATCAATATTAAGACACATTATTGTCGATTTAATTAACATAATTATCATATTTTAATTAAATAAACTCATCTAAACGTATACTCCATGAGGTACCAACCCATATATTTCAAAACTTAATAAGTAAAAGGTTGTTTACGCGAAAAGATCCAGTTGTATTATAAATTTAGTTTTATACATATAAAGCAATAGGTACCAACATTTACAGGCTGAAGCGATTCTTCGGTACAACAGTAAAAAAGACAGTGGATGCTGCAAAATCCCTAGCACAAGAGGTGTCTCATGCCAGACATAAAGAAGATGTGGCAGAAATTGCTGATGACGTTCGCGGGGAGCATAATATTAAGCTGAAAGCTTCGAACTCTCATAAGGGACCTTATGACTTTGATGGATGTGTGAGATATGTTCAGGTATATTTGAATAGTTGTCGTGACTTAGTAGTAGTATATTATTGTTTATTTTCTCGGTGTATTTAATATTGTCGATATAGAACAGTGTTGGCCTAGTGGCATCAGAGTGTGACTCTCATACCTGAGGTCGTAAGTTCGAACCCCGGCTGTGCACCAATGGAACTTTCTTTCTATATGCGCATTTAACATTTGCTCGAACGGTGAAGGAAAACATCGTGAGGAAACCGACATGTCTTAAACCTAAAAAGTCGACGGCGTGTCAGGCACTGAAGGCTGATCAACAACTTGCCTTTTAGATTTAAAAATGACCATGAAACAGATTCAGAAATCTGAGGCCAAGACCTAAAGAGGTTGTAGCGCCACTGTTTTTTTTTATTTAATATTGTCAAAGTGATAATGATACACGCAATATCTCAAAGGAGCTGGGAAGTATGGAGGCGGGCGTGGGTGGTCACGTGGGAGCGGTTTGGTGTTGCAAGTTCAGTGTGTGCGGACGATTGCTAGCCACCGCTGGTCAGGACCGATTGTTGAGGGTCTGGGTCACTAGGGACGCACACCACATGTTCCAGGTGGGTCTTTGGACTTCATAAACACGAATTTGAACCTTGGCTGGTTTTTGAAGAGTTTCAATCTTGAATCTTAAGTTTTTCCTATTAACAAAATAAGTGACATTTTTTGCTTCTAAATGAATATCGTTCGAAGTCTATTTTCTATGTTAGACCAGTTATTCGTGTTCATTCTATTGTATTACGTTCACTGATATTTTTTTAAGGAGACCAATCTCATGAACTAAAATTATTGATTCCTCCGAAATCGAACATAATGTTTAAGTTTTAATTGATAAATTTACTGAAAATAAACTGAAATCATGTGTAGTAAGGCAGGGTACTCAATACTAATCAAGCTCAAATAATAGCTAAATAAAATCTGGTTTCTATAACGTAAACTTCTTAAGAATCGAGTGGGAAGTGGGAGTATAAGTTATGTAACATTCCAGGATATGCGCACAAAATACAATGCCGAACAAAAGTCGTCACCTACCCCCTCCCAAGAATCTCTCGCGTCCCTCGCCCCCCCTCCATCTCCCGATCACCTGCCCCCTCTCGGCCCCGGCGCCCCTTTCTCCCCCCACCCCTTCTGCGTATACTCCGGACACAATTCGGATCTTCTAGACGTCTCCTGGTCCAAAAACTACTTCATACTGTCCAGTTCTATGGACAAAACTGTCAGATTGTGGCACATTTCGAGGGGGGAGTGCCTCTGCTGCTTCCAACATATCGATTTTGTGACGGCGATCGTGTTTCATCCCAGGGATGATAGATATTTTCTGTCTGGAAGTCTGGATGGGAAGTTGAGGCTCTGGAATATTCCTGATAAGAAGGTAAATAGTTTTAAATATTTATCGCTTTGATTAAAAACCTTAAAGTAATAGAACTTTCTGATTTACTGTTTTTGTATTTGGCTTTAAGCTTTGATGGCTGATTGATTTGAGTTTGTACCACTTTTTTAGGTTATATTCATTTTAATAAGTTTTTTAGAAAGTTGTATAGCTATGATGATTATTGAATAATAATCGTATAAATCACGGCTGTGCACTTGTTCGGACCGTGTAGGAGGGTTACCTCCGGCTTATCTTAGACCCTAAAAGTCGACCGCGTGTGTCAGGCACAGAAGACTGATTACATTCTTGCCTATTTAGATAAACAATCACGTAACGTACAGAAATTTTAGGCCCACACCTAGAGGTTGTAGCGCCATATTCATACCACTATAGTACTAAGAACTACTATATAGTATAGGTACTACTATATTATATACCATATTCATAAAACTACATTTTCGAATACAGGTCGCTGTATGGAATGAAGTTGACGGCAAAACGAAACTAATAACCGCGGCTAACTTCTGTCAGAATGGCAAATTCGCTGTCGTCGGCACATATGACGGCAGATGCATCTTCTACACGACAGATCAACTGAAATACCACACACAGATCGATGTTCGATCAACGAGGGGAAAGAACTCGACGGGGAGGAAAATCAGTGGAATTGAACCTATGCCCAATGATGACAAAATCCTGGTGACGTCAAACGATAGTAGAGTGAGGCTATATGATCTAAGGGATTTGAATTTATCCTGCAAGTATAAGGGAAAAGGTATGTTTTGTTTTTTTTTTTGGACCACAAAATTAGGACAAAAACGTTACTCATAATTATTTATTTATTTATTTATTTATCTATTTCGTAATCCTACAGCTAACATAAATTATATATAATAACAAACAGTTACACTGAAAATATAGCCAGAGATGGAATACATAATACATTTTACTACAAAAAGGTTCAAAAAGGTTTAAAAATTTACAAAATCAAAAAAAATAAAAATAAAAAAATTATTCAATACATTCAACTAAATAATACCTAATTTTCATTTTAAATTTAATAATATATATATACAGTACATTAAAGCCAAAAACTGAACTTTCATCAGTTATTGAAAAAAAATTAAAAGGAAACATTTCTAAAAATATTAGTAATTTTTTTTTTTGAAGTGAAACTTCTTTATCGGCCTTGGAAAAAAAAATACCGTCACATTTGTCCTTTACGCGCCATCTTTTTCTTGTCCCTACCACGGTTGATTCGAAGATATTCGAAGCCATTAATAAAAAAAAATATATAATAACGATAATAATGATAGTAATAATTCTATAACAATTAATGAAATTCTGTTAAAACTTAATCTAACGGTTGAAAGATTATTATTTATTGTAAATTAAAATGCCGTGTTTTTATTATCGAAGAAATAGATTACATATTTTATAATTGTCGACACAATATTTTTATGACAATTAAATTCCTAACATATCTTCCTGTTTCCTTCCCTTTAAGTATCGGAAATCTAAAGTTTTAGATTTGTATAAATATGAACAAGATCTAAAAATTAGTTTGCCAAAGAAGTTTCACTTCTGACATGTGTACTTTGTACGCACGCTCTTATTTTACTTAGGTATTAAGACTATGAATTGCTTATTATTAATAAAAGTAAATACCCTAAAAAGGTTTTTTAACAAAAGATACCAGATATATAAAACGCTGTTATAAAAAGAAAGGCTCAGAGATCATAAAACATTGCAAATACTATATAAATTCGCGCAGACAATGATTTTAGTTACATTGATAAAAGATAGATGCAGTCGAATGGAATTAGGTAACGTATACAGCTTCACAGCGTAGATTCTTTAAATTGTATAAAAAAATATTTAATTAAAAAAACAGGCGTGCGAGGAACATAGTTAATAGAATCGTCTTTTAACGCGTTTTATTTCTCAAAATAACCAATTTATAACATAATTCCCCGGAACTTTTGAGACTTACAAAATAATTATATTGGGTCTTATATTTATTTCGCTTGTATCTATATTTCAAGACCACTATTTTTTTTTTAAATGTTATATACAAAAACGTTTATTACAAAAAGTAATCGTAGTAGTTATTAATCTATTTTTATCAGAATTTCTTAGTTAGTTACTTTTTTCAGGTTACGTAAACGTCTCAAGCCAAATAAAAGCGTCATTTTCGCACGACGGAAAATACATAGTCAGCGGGTCGGAGAACCAGTGCATCTATATCTGGAAGACCTGCCACGACTACTCCAAGTTCACGTCAGTCAGGCGGGACCGAAATGACTTCTGGGAGGGAATTAAGGCACACAACGCGGTGGTCACGTGTGCCATATTCGCCCCTAACCCTGATAATATGATTCGGACCATTAATGAGAGAGAAGAGAAGTTGAATGAGAGTCGGGGAGAGAAAGAGGAAGTGGTAAGTTTCTTTTTTTAATAATAATTATTTAATGTCTGAAGCAGGAGTTAAATAGAAATTACATTTAATAGATTTTTACATCGTCATAGTTAAATGCTAAGCGTTTGAAAATTCTTACGCGCAGTTGCAAAATTTTCTGAACCAAAGTGGTGCTATTTTCACTGACTGTCACAGCAATGGCTTAATATACCTTGACTTCTTAGTAGAAACAATTTTCATTTTGTTATGTTACATAGTTATCATCGGTAGAGTTGTAAATTTTTGTTGGGCGCCGAAATGGACAAGAACAACTTGTGTATAGATAGACACCACACTATAATACTGTATTATAAATATATAACAAGGAAACTCCTAAAAATGTGATATTATATGTATTTATTTTCGTGACTCTTGTCAATTACACATTGACATTCATAAACAAATAATCTTTAATTCATTGTAGCTTATAGTACGTTTATTTTTAATATTTCGTTGGAACAAACATTTATTTTGTCCAATTTATATCTTTAGAACGTCGAAATTTTTGTTTGGTTCGCCATATATAATATGTACAATATAATGTTTCTTGCCAAACTAGAAAACATCGTCGCTACATTTACATTACATTTACACTATCTATAATTATATTTTATTTCAGAAGGCCCCGGAAGGTGGTATGGTATCGTCATCTCAAACAGGTCATGTTCTCGTAAGCGCCGACTTCAATGGCTGTATAAAAGTATTTGTGCACAAAGCGAAACCCAAACACTCATCACTACCAGCATCTGCGCTTGCCTAATTACTAGTCTTACATGGGACTAGACAAAAACATTGCAAGCGTGACCAATCTACGTATTCGATCACGTGACCAAGCCTAGGCTGAAATAACCATACAATATTAACACCGCTACACCGGGTACAAATCAACAAAAATACATTTTCAATTCACACAAAATCTCCAACTTGTAATTGTATAGGAGTCGCCTATCGCGAAGTATTTTATAGGTTCTGTATCCGGGACGGGAACAAATCTCCAAAGATGTTTTCAATTCACGGAATTTCATACATCTGTAAGCCTATAGGCTACAATACTGTCAAAGTTAATTCTTTGACATTGTAATTAACACAAAGCTATTAATATGCTATTTCAAATTACGGGAGTAATGATAACGGATATTAGTTCATGGAGTAAACTCAAACCTAAGAGTAGTCGTAAAATCTTTATCAGAATAATATATCAGAGGGAGGCAAAGGCACCTGCTTCCTCTGGGGACGAGATTCCTGGACTCCGAAAGTACCCACAATTGGGGAGCACAAAACGGGGGACACTAACTAGTCAAAGTGTCAGCAAAAGATTTCCTCATAAAACATTTAAATTATTTTTTGAAACATTTTTTTTGTTTCGAATGTTTAGTTTAAAGTTAGTATTATTATTGCGATATGAAAACTAAACTTCATCCTCAATATTTAAACTTTTCTAAGTACCCTTATCGAATATAAACGATAGAGTTTTGTATGAAAATCTTGATTGAGTTCGTCAAATATTCGTATACGATAATTGTAGTTACGTATTTTATTCGAAGTCTGCTTTGTTCGTGCTTACGTTTTGTTACAAATCGGAGGATTTCTTAAATTTTTAATTCTATTTTATCGTTAGCTATTGTATTTTACGAATTCGTGTTAGAATTTTATTTAAAACAATAACTAACATTATATACGAATACTTTACGAAACTATCGTAGTTTACTTAACGATAACGTGTCACGTATACGTCATACAAAAAATTCAAGTTCTTAATACAAAAATTAATTGCTTCTATTATTTTATGGTAACTCTTCGTTCGTGCGTTTAAGCTGACGTGCTAAATGACCTATTTTACAGAAATTTGACTTTGTACATACTTAGGGTGTAGCTTTGAACTTTCAATGAAACTTTTAAAACTTCTAACGAACTAACCTTCTTAAAAAGTAAATGAGCGTAATTTGCACAGATTCGACTATACCTTTAGTGACTGCAAGATGTTTCTCCTAAGAGGTGAAGAAAAGGGGCAAAATAATATAAAATGCATTGTAGACACTGCATTCTCGCCTTATTAATATTTCTGAGTAGTCGTATGTCATTACAGCGTAAACACAATTTGAGACACAGTGTAAACTATACTTTAGCTCAGAGTGCAATTAGGCTGATTTAATTATAATTAAGATGGTTAATTTCTGGGTGACAAGAGTAGCAAACCATCATATGAAATTTCATTACTAATTTTATTATTATTTTTTTGTTATTATGCATGATCAAATCATATTTAAATGTATTTAGAAAACATTAAAAATGTATTCGCGGCGCATTTTATTGCGAAATTGTATATTTTCCTATTTATCAAAAATATGTATATTTGTTAAGAGTTTATCTTTTTTATTTGTAAGTTCTTGCCTCTGATTATTGTGATTAATAAAAATAAGTGTAAAAATAGTTGTATTGATCGTGATGCCATCGTAATGTTGTATTTGTATAAACTGGCATTTCATTGAAATAAAGGGGTATATTAACATGTTTATATGACTTTTATTGCGTCTAAGCTTCATACGTTTGGAATCAAAAGAACATAACGGATTTTTTTAGTGTCCAGTTTACTTCTTTAATATGTATTCGTTTTAATATGTAAAACTACTAAACTCAAGTTGAATTTTTATTCAAATTCGACTCTAAAAATCGACAAATACACTTAGAAATCTTTGTATCTCGAAGTTCTTGTTAAGTCGAAAACGCGTTAACTCGAATTTTTTGATATTCGAGTTATAGAGATTCCACTGTACTTGACGGATATTAAAATCCATAGTATTTTTACTTAAATTCAAGTTTTGAGTGTTTCTAGTAGTTTTAATATGTTATTAATATTTGTATTATAAAACATTATCCACTTTACTTGTAGTTGATATCATTGCAATCAAACATGTTTTTATCAACTAACGACTAGAAAGACAAGGGGCTTAAAAGTGCTTTGGATTTCGAAATAAAAATGTGTCATATTTATCAAAACTTTAATATTATAAACATCAGGTATACAAAGAATGCATTAACTTACACATAAAAATATAACATTTGATATAATATTAAACGTGACAAAATATTAATAATATTAGAAATGGGCGGAGTCATGAAGTTAAATGATACAAATTTATTTATAGGACTACATAAAACGAGTAACTTTTTAACCAGGTTATCAATTAAACGTGTAGTTTATTTCTCTAGTTAGACTTTATTAGATCTTTTCTTAAGATAGGATTTGGAACACTGGTTTATATAAAAATATCATTCTGTTACTTTTAATGGCGGTTGCCTGGAAAAAATCGCTTATAATAAGGCCGTTTTATTAAGCGCAGATTACAGAATTTTATGTTTTCAAAGAAAGGTAAATTAACAAATTTTATTATACACAAAAATTATTGACGGTGACAACTAACTTAAAACTTATTTTTGAAACTTTGAAACTTATTTACGACTTCCAAGGTGGTTTGTTAGAGTGTTTTCTATCTTTTTTGTCAAGTCGGTCAAACTTTTCCATTAAATCCGATCGGTTAGCGCGATCACTGGTTGGCGGTTCATTGAATTGTCTATCTCTAGATTGCTCACTCACGTCGAAATTTGGTGGTTTTGTTAAAAGCTGAAAAATATTTAGTCTTTAAATATTTAGAAATAATCTATCTAAAATATTCATCAACTATGTGATACATATTACAATCGCGCTACAACCTTTTAGGTCTGAGCCTCAGATTTTTGTATCTGTTCTGTGATCATTGCTAATAGGCAAGTAGGTGATCAGCCTCTTGTGCCTGACACACGCCGTCGACTTTTTGGGTCTAAGGTAACCCTGCTTACCATAAAACACATAGAAAGAAAGTCCATTGATGTACAGCCGGGGATCGAATCTACGACCGAGGGATGAGAGCCGCGTGCTGAAGTCACTAGGCCAACACTACTCTATTCATTCATATTAGTCATATAAAAACAATATATTGATGGTGTTTATTTATCAAAAATACATATTGTTTCACTCGTAGAATGCAAATATTAGGTGCCTATAAATATATTTTTTTACATTATAATTGGACATTTTTTTAAATTATTTTTGCTTAATTTGACATTACTGATTGTAAAAGAACTTACCATTTTGACGTAATGTTGTAGTTCAGTATCGCTAAGATCTTCAAAATTGAGGTCCCGCGAGTGTGAAAGACCCTGCGGTCTGTCATCTCTTAGTAATTTCTCACTTGGCATTGTTAAGGGGGGTATCTTGGGTGGGACATACTCATGCGGGTGTGGGGTACACACTGAAAATTTTCGTCAAATATAAATAATATCGTTATAATAAGCTTAATGACAGCTTAATGATAGCTAATGATACAGGATGACTGACATGATGGTGACACTTTAATACAGGAAATTGTCTTTCTAACCATTCAGTTTTGTAAGACTATAAGTCATGAAATATATAAGGATGCTCAAAATATAGGGAAGACATAACATTGAGCAGTATTGACCCTGAACTGAGGTCGAGCGTTCGTATCACGGCTGTGCGCATGTGTGGCACCGGTTCCAAATTCAAAATCACTTATTCACTTACGCCCGAACCCAATAATTAATCCACAATCTAAAAAGACCGTGACAGTCGATCGATCTCCTATTTGCATTCCAATAACCAAACCCTACGAAGACAATCCATTTTTGGCGACGGATAAAATGCTCTTTGTCGTTCCATTTTATCGAGTTTTCACTCATATTTGATAATTAATCAATGTAAACCAAATAAAATAAATAAAACCGTACAAATAACATTAAAATATACATGTCTATGTTTAAAACATAACAAATAGCTTTTTTAATAATTAAAAAAACTGGTGTAAGTTAAAATCTGTTAAAATAATTAACTGTTGGAATCGAGCTTTCGTCAACTGTCATTTTCATACAAAGGTCTATCCACAGACACCGATCCGACCTCCCATTAATAGCCTGTATCGACAGATGGCTATTACAATCCGTCGATTGATTCTTGGCAAACTTGTTACAACATTTGGATTAAGATTTCTATCTCAGAAAGCTCACCTAATTGGCTATTTTGGAAAAATATCAGGAAACAGAAATCTGGACCAGAACTAAAAACATAAAAAAGAGAAACATACTAGCATCAGTCCTGTCCAACTCTCCCCTATGAGTGGGCAATGTCAATATCCTCAAGGCCTGTCTCCATTGCGCTTCCATCACGCCGTGCAATTGCGACGCCAATTCGCCGCGTTTTCGTCGGTAATTATCCAGCTTGCTCTGAAATAAATACAACGTCATCCGATTTAACGTTTTACTCCCTAAGATCGACTTTACTTGGGCCAAGATGTCCAATGTATTAATTATTTCCATATACAACAACGACGAAAAAATAAAATAATAATAATAAATAATAATAATATTCAATATCTTTTTACCGGGCATCCCAAAATTATGGGCCATGAAGGGAAAGTACCTTAAATATCGTAGAAAGGGTATTTTACTAAAAGAAGACTATGTTTTTAAAAGTTAGAAATTCTGCATTCAAAGGTATTCTAAAAATTACTTGCCTCGTCTGGGAATCGAACCGACTTAAATGTAAAAAAAAACACCCCTACTTTTATGATGCCATCCGAAAGAATGGCCAAAAACTAATAACTGTTCTTCAGTAACACAGTTTTTTTTATAGAAAGGAACAACGTAAAATGTTTGAGTCAAATTTCAAGAAAGTTATTTATTATTCCATAGATAGTATTGAATATTCGTAATTAAGTACCCACTTCATAAAATACTTCATAGCATAGTTTTCTTAAAAGTGGACGTGTAGACAAAATGATAAAACTTAGTATTTCAATACGTCTTCTGTAAGCTAGACAGAAGGCAAATTTTAAACAAAAATAATGTTGTTCTTAAATTTGAAAATGTAACAATTTATGAGAGCGTATGTTTGAATGCATACTTTTAAAGATATTTTAAAAGGAAGACAATTTTTTAAATGTTGTTCTTAAATTTGAAAATGGAACAGTCTATGCAAGCGCAGTGATTTTAATTATTAAAATAAACTGCGTTAATAAGCCGATGTGTTAATTTACTGACTGAAACAGATCGGCCTGTCAATAAAGGTCGGTATCCAATAAAATGAGTGTTAATAGGCTGTGGCAGCTGCCTTATGGCTGTTCTGTAGGCTCGTTTATCATTTAAAAAATTGATTGGAACTCAAATTTCTTGGAGTATATTTAGGCTCCGGCACTCTTTCATTTTGTAGGTATTCTAAGTTTGTACACGAATTTCAAAAATAAGTTACACCAAGATTTGTTATATTTCCACTCTAAACAACAGTTTTCTCAAAATCGGTCCAGTAATTTTTGAGATATGCTTTTCTACGCATCTCACAAGGTAACATGTATAATGTAAGTACCTAGACTACTAATGGGTGTTTCAAGTCGGTTTAATTTAAATAACTTTCATTTAATAACATTTGAAACAAATACATCTGAATATTATACCTCAAGCAAGCCGATCTTCTCATGCGCCTGCGCAAGCTGCAGCCGACAAAGCTTGATTTCCTCCCGCTGCTTCTCTTCAAGCACGTTTATTTCTAAACGATGTCTGAAAGTAAATGTATTTTTCTTTTATTTATTAAGTCATAAGCAGTAATACAGAAATCCAGTATAATTAAATAAAAATGAGGGCAACTGGCGGCCTTATCGCTTTCCAGCGATCTCTTCCAGGCAACCACTGTGAGTAAGAAAAACAAAGTATCTTTTATTAGTGACTGTGATCGTAAAAATAAAACAACACGTCCGCTTTCATGCTAAATGTCTCGGATTCGATTCCCTACAAGAGAACAACTGTTTTGGATAAAATATCTGTGTGGCCATGATCTATTCACCCACAAGAATAACAGCTAGCACCGCAACTTGTATAGATAATATATATAGTGACATAGCCCCTTTAAATGTTTGTATTTTCAATAGATTTAAATCTGATCACACTGGTCAATGGTTTGAATTCCAATTAAGGAAACAAAAAACATGTAAAAAGAAGAAAATTGTGATAACTCCTATTACAAATGACCGTTTGGACAGATTTATTTGGAGAAGCATTGGTCTATAGGATGCCATTTCTGTGTGGCAACTCATCCCCTAATAATTTATACAATACTTTTTTTGGATCATTTATTGATGAATTCAAGAAAGTATTTACTCAAAAGACTTTATTGGTCTCTGAGAAAACAAGTATCTGTGACTGGGCAAATGAGGAGTTACACAGGAAAAGGTTAAAATTATATGAAATGTATGACGAAAAGCAATATAACACTAGTGTGGAATTTAGGGAATATGTTAGGTTGTATTCAAATAATTTCAAAAAAGATTGCAAAATTGCAAAGTCACAATATTTAAGTTCAAAAATAAAAAATAGCACGGATAAAGTAAAAGCTACCTGGAAAATAATAAATGAAGAATCAGGTAAAACGTCTGACAAACGAACCGATTATTTGTTAAAAGTTAAAGGGAAATTAATAAAATCTGACCCAGAGGTAGCTTCTTCTTTTAAAGAGTTTTTTACAAATGTACCACTAAATACGACAAGTCCCTACATTCTTCACCTGCTGCTGCGATCTCATTGCTAGAAAAATGTGTACCTGAATGTAATATTAAATTTCAGTTTAAGCATATAACTTGTAATGATATCGTTAAAACTTTTAAGCTTATTAATTTAAAAAAAAGTAAAGATATATGGGGTATGTCAACAGTCATTTTAAATTCCGTTATTAATGTAATAAGCTCTGAATTGTCTATAATTTTTAACAGATGTATCGATTGTGGAGTCTTTCCGGACGAAATGAAATTAAGTAAGATTACACCGTTGTTCAAGGCCGGTAGTGAGTCTGATCCGTCAAACTTCAGACCTGTTTCCGTGCTCCCTGCGTTGAGCAAAGTTTTTGAAAAGATAATGCTAGACCAGCTTTCTTTACATTTTAATAAAAATAAACTCTTACATAATAAACAGTATGGTTTCACTAAGGGTCGCTCCACAATCGATGCCGGTGTGAAGTTGATTTCGGACATATTTAACGCCTGGGAAGAATCATATGATGGAGTCGGCGTCTTTTGTGACCTGTCAAAGGCCTTTGACTGTGTTCATCCTGATATACTCGTTGGAAAGCTTCAACACTATGGCGTTGATGGCAAAGCTTCCAGCCTGATGAATTCATATTTAAAGGGAAGGATCCAAAGAGTTCATGTCAATGGCGTCACCTCTCCGGGTTCGCAGGTATCAATGGGCGTCCCCCAAGGATCGATTCTCGGGCCTTTCTTATTTCTGATTTACATAAATGATCTCCCATTCTTTGTCAACGAAGTTCATGAGATGGTATTGTTTGCTGATGACACTTCACTTCTATTTAAAGTGAATAGGAGTAACGTATTATTGGACGATGTAAACAATTATATCTCTCGTATAGTTAACTGGTTTAATGTAAATAACTTACTGCTTAATAAGAATAAAACAAAATGTATTAGATTTACAACTACTAGCGTAAAGCGAGATATTGGTAACCTGAAAATTAAGGACAGTGAACTAGACTTTGTTGACAAAACTGTTTTTCTAGGCATAACAATAGATAGTAAACTCCAATGGGGCCCACACATAGAGACTCTTTCGAATAGGCTGAGCTCTGCAGCATATGCAGTAAAGAAAATCCGACAGTTTACTGATAAGGACACGGCTAAAATAGTGTATCATAGCTACTTCCACAGCGTTATGTCGTACGGTATTTTACTGTGGGGTGCTGCTGCAGAGGTTCAATCCATATTTGTGCTGCAGAAGCGGGCTGTTCGGGGTATTTGTTGTGTTTCTCCGAGGGAGTCGGTACGGAATAAGTTTAAGGAATTAAATATTATGACACTATCTGGTCAATATATTCTTAAAGCCTTGTTGTATGTCCAAAAAAATATAAACGATTTTAAAACAAATGGTGACTTTCACCAGTATAATACGCGAAATAGAACTAATTTGAGTGTACGACCAACCAGGCTCCAAAAGATAAACCACTCCTTATATGGAAATTGTATTCGTTTTTACAACAAACTCCCAAGCGAAATTAGAGAATTATCACTAAATAAATTCAAAGCCCTTGTTAAACGAAAATTAATCAACAAAGCCTTTTATAAATTTGAGGACTACTTAAATGATCCTAATCCTTGGGATTGAATTGCTCCAGTTCAAACAATTTGTATGACAATACTTGGCGATTAAAAAGAGTGGCGGAAAGTTTCTTGCCAGTTCTTCTTACCCGCTCTACGCCCTTGACTTGCGAACTGGTAGTAAATGTAAATTTATGATTAATTTAACTTGACGATTCAAAAGTGTACTTGGTTACCCACTTGAATAAAGATATTTTGAGTTTGAGTTTATGACCACAGAATTGTCTATAAAACAGAGTAAGAACGTATATACCAAAATTTTCAAGTTTTATGTCACGCAATTTTTGGAGATTATTGACATGTAACGCGCCGTAACGTTTTTCTGTACCCAAGTACAGTACTGTACCCAATTATAAGTAAGTAAAGTATAATAAAACGTTTCGTGACCACCTAGTGACTCTTTTCCACTAATTTGTTACGTAATACTTGAACGCTCTCTTAACCGGAATATGTTTAATATATACTTACTGTTCTTCTATCCGAGCGATTTGTTTATTAAAGCTATCGACAATTCCATGTTCCTTACTCCTCGCAGCGCTATCCATATCCCTTTCAGCCATTTCCAGCTGTCGTTGAAACTCCTGCAACTTCCCTAAAACGGCTTCTTCCAGCTGCTGCTGGTAATGATTCTTTAGCTCTGTCTTTTGCAGTTCTAAATGTTTGCGGAGGGATTTTGTCTCGTTGTCGAGGGTATCCTGGAAAGGTATTTTTAATCTATTTAATAAAATTCAAAATCATTTATTGATATAGGTATACGAATAAATGAACACCATATGAACACTTAAGCTGCGTATAAATTAAGCGCGGCAGCCGCGCGAGCCAATGTTCGACCAGAGTTGACCTTCATTTGCCGCGCGAGCCAATATGAAGATATAAATTTAGTTGGACGTGACTGCCGCGCGCGGCAGGCGATCGATCACAAACAGACCGCGGCAAATAGTCAGACCAGTTCACTCTTGTAAACCTGCGAGTATAGACGCGCGTGGTCGGGCGGCTGCCGCTTTCATTGTGATTCACCATCTTATTTGTAAAAAAAAATAAAAGAAAAAGGCGTTGGTGGATGAAAAAGTTATATCTTAATAGATCGCTATATAGCGTGAAACTTCTGGAAGACATAAGATATGAAGCCGTTGAAGACACTATAAACATTATATATTCTTTAGCGCTATACAATTGAATTAGTAAACGGCACTTTTCGTTGTCTATTATTACGTATTTGCCGCGCGAGCCAAATCACCAAAACTAAACCGTCCCAACTGCGCGCGCGCCAACGAGTGAAGCTCCTTTGATGCGGTCTCAAAAACCGACATCGAGTGGATCGACCCGCGGCACGTTCGAACGCGGCGATGTTCGAGTCGCCGCGCGCGGCTACCCCGTCTACATAGAGCGCGGCCGCCGCGCGCGGCAATGTTCGATGGTTTGCCGCGCTTAATGTATACGCAGCTTTATGAACGTCAAAAAATAAATACTTGTATAAGAAATGCTTGTAATTTTACATTTACTGCCAGTTCTCAAATCAAGGGCGTAGAGCGGAAGAGAAGAACTGGCAATAAACTCTCCGCCACTCTTTAATCTCTTATAATAGCCACGATATCTGATAACAAAAACAATGAAGCAACAACCCTTGGTCTTAGCATGTGTATCAGTTTCGTGATTGCTTTTTTTAACAGGCAAGTACGTGATCAACCTTTTGCGTCTGACACATCGAATTATGAGTCTAAGAGCAGCGGTTTCCTTACGATGTTTTCCTTCAAGCAAGTGATAATTCCGGACAAAAAAAAACGTTTAATGGTACACAGCTGTGATTCTGTCAAAGTTGAGGGTCGCACGCTCAAGCCATTAAGCCAACACTGCTCCCGATATCTGATGGTATTGTTTAATTACGATGCTTTAAAGTGCTTTATCAAATCGTCAAAACAACGTTGTTTTGTTTATCCCAAGCTAATAATGACATAATAGTTACTTTCGTGTGAACTTCTGATAGTCATGGCCTTCTAATCACCGACTTGCTCTTTATGCCTTATAAATAAAAATATACGAAACAAAGATCCAATTAGTATGTTTTTAACACACAGTCAATCAAGTCTCTACTAAGAATTAGAAAGCAACAAATATATGAGAGATAAATTTTTGCAACACTACTACTAACAGAACTAGAGAATAAAGAACGAAACATGTATAAAAAGTGAATTAAATGTAAAAATCTAACATGAAAAGTATTGATAACTACAATAAGTTAGCATATTTGCAAATAAAGACTCTTCCGCTTAAGGGACCCCGGTTAGAAGTCGCCAATGTATTGGGCCCTCATAATTAGGGAATAATCAAAGTCTCTGCTCTGAATTCGAACCATAAAAACATGAGGCCAAATCTGTTGGTTGTAGCACCTCTGAATATACTTACACATTTCCTCAACAATTCACTAAGCTGATTTTGACTATCACATAGCTGTTGTTCCAAGATGTTGCATCTCGATCTCTCCTCATTAACTTTTACTTTTACAACATCTCTATCTTGCTCAACTAAATTTTTAGTCTCTTCTAAAGCTTGAAGTTTTTGGTTCAATTCATTCAGTCTACTCCTTGTTAATTCATGCTCATATTTTTCCTGAAATTTATTCATATTAATTTAATTAAAACAATAAACAGTTGAAATAAAACTACTGCCCGGGCCAAGGCTGTACATTTTGATCAGACTTTCTTGTTTTATAAGCATAGCAATTACCTAAATCGTCGGAGTTACGCCCCAAAATTATAGGCAGAAGCAGGCACTCTCTTCAAAGTTTAAATGTGTATTCCGTTTTTGGCTCTTGTGTACAGTGTAATTGTTTGAATATTGTTTAATAAGTAGCTGTAGGAATACCGTTGAGCAAATAAATAAATAAATAAAATGATAAACATTTAGTATTTAATTTAGCAGTAATAGTATTTAATTATTGATCATAAATGCATTTATTTGTTGTATGTATATAAATATAGAGTGAAAATAGTATTCTCTATTATCTAAAGTATCCTGTTCAGCTAGGAGTTACAACTACAACTACTTTGACGGTCTAAACACAATTTGATTACATTATTTAAAATAATTATTTGGTAGTGCTTGAAATTCAGCATGAGATTTAATTGATCGCATTAATGCGCTGCCCATTGCACTCTAAGTTTTTAAATATTCTCTTTGTACTGGTTTTGTATTGCAACAATGTGATAAATATATGTAAGCTACCTCACATAAGGAATTAAATATATATTTACCTTTTCTACCGCCTCTTCAAGATTCTTCACACAGTCAGTAGACTGTTTATTCAGCCTCATTACCATTTCATAATTCTCCTTAAACACATCAATCTCTCTGTCTTTGTTCTTCACCACCTCATCCTTACTTGCAAGCCCTTTCTCTAAGCATTCTTGCATTTCCTTCTTTTCAGCTGACAGTTGTTTACATTTCTCTTGATAGTCATGGGCCAAATTCAAAGCTTTGTACAGTTCTGATTCAAAATGATTTGTTTTCTAAAAAATTCTATCATTTAGCTTATTTTGATTTTTGAAGTTATACTTCTTTAGGCGCGTTATGAAAAATTTATGAGAGTGAAATTATCCGATGCGCGCGCACCGTGACACAAAAGTAACAGAATGAAGTTGGCCACGGAAGATGCTACGGCATTGGACATATTTAAAAACAACATTCGAATAATAATAGAATTTTAGTTACACTTAATGTAAGAGAATGATAATGTCAATAAATATTTATTTAATTTTTCAAATGTAAACTGAACTTTATTGACTATAATGACTCCTTTTCCAGTCTTTGATTATTTAATTGTAATTAATTATTTGCATGCAATCAAAAACTATTTTTAATAATTCCAAAGAAGTTTAACTTCTTATGCGCGTACATAAGTACACGCATCCTTTTTTTATTTTTATTTTTAATAATTCATTAAAAGCTCTATCATTTTTAGTTTCAAGAGTGCAATCATTTTAAGTTTCATAAAAAATTTGTTAGATGGCAATGGTTGTGTAGCATATGACAATACTTTTAAATTTTTATTGTATTACATATCACAAGTAAAACTATGCATTCATGCTGTCATCCTAATTCATAAAAAACAATCAGTCTAACTGAACCATTTCAACTAAAATAGTAATTTGTCTCTTTTCATCTTAGCGTCAATACAATTAAAGAGGAAGAGATGAAAATACACTTTAGTTAAAAGAGTGCAATAGAGTTGAGAGGAATAATTTGTGTACTTGTATACCTTCTGAGCATCTTCAGCTACCAACTTAAAGTTATCTACTTCCCGCATCATTTTCTCGAGAGCACTTCGATGTCTCTCTTCTGCTTTATCTAGGCTACATGTGAGTTTTAACCAGGATTCACGTAACTTTGATATTGCAGCATCCTTGGCTTTATCAACTTTGATAGCAACAGCCAATTTTTCTTGTTGCTCTAACATTTTTCTTTGCAATTGTTGAATCATGGCTTCACAGTGCTGAAAGAAAATAAGGTAAATTAACAGAAGTCTTTTTAAATTTTTCCTATCACAAAACAAAAATTAAAATAGAACATAAATGTATTAATCATAATCCCAAAATAAGAATTTTTCACCAGCACCAAAAAGTTTAATAATGCAAGCTTTTGGCACATTTTTCTAGACGTCATTCCGGATCCAATGAGCTATCGCACATAATTTTAAGAGCAGTATCTCTATTTTGTACCATTTTCAACTTGTCGACTAGCCTAAATAAATTGGTAATAAAATTATAACATTATGATTTTAATAACATTTTTATTCTTTCTTCTTGTACATACAAATCTTGTAAATATCCATTAAACTTTTTAGAGAAGAGAGTGTAGAGTTTTTGGTACTTACTATAACTACTATATTTTTATAACTGTAATTTTAAAAAATCCAGGAAAGTCAATTTAAATCAAGGAAATTTACTAATTTAAGTCTGTATTAATTATCCTTCTGCTTGCAAATCCTTCCTAGAGGAATTTTGAAGCATTCAGCTTCAGCTGCCATAGACCTCTTTATAAACATATAAATTTAAGAAGAACCTGGTACCAAGGATTTTGGTACCAGGTTCTTCTTAAATTTGGCCCTCTACTTGGGCCAAAGCCAGAACATACCTACTAGAGAAGGGACAAGTTAAAAGTACCCATAAGCAAAGAGCATGCTTGTTGAATGTCATGACAGTGGATGAAGAGAGGAGCAAGAATGGTATGTCAGGACCAAGCAGGCGGAGATCTGTGGCGTTTGTCTACTGCTTCGAGAAAAAGGTGTAAAGAAATTGTATTTTTGTTTATTTTTTGGCTTAGAGCTAATTCCTTTAATACACCTTAATATAGTTTTGATTGTTATTTTATTGGACTACCAGTTTGGGAAACAAATACCTTGTCTGTTTCACAAATTATTTCACATTGTAAGTGTACTAGTAACCCTTCAAATCAAATTAATTGTTGGTTTCACAGGAATGATGTTATATACTATAAAGGAAACATACCTCTCGCTTCAAACGTTCTTCTTCTAACTTGATGTTGTCTGATCTTTCCCCCTTCTCAATTTTCTCTCCCCATAGTTCACTTAAGCTTAACAAATCTGTATCTATAGAATCTAACTGAATCTTCAATCGTTCCCTATTTTCATAGTCAAAAGGCCTTAATTGTGGCATTTTAAAATCTTCTTTCTTTACACTACCATCTTCTGTGGATGTCTGATATTCCTTACTGTAATTTTGAGACTTATAATGCTCTAAGACTTTCGATGCTCTATCATATATTTTGGTAGTTGATGGTTTGAATTCAGAGTAACTTATGGACTGTGAACGTTTTGGAGTAGATGTTGGTTGGATATCCTTGTCTGAGAAATTTAGTTTACGAATGGTGGGTGACCGTTCATGCTTTTCCAAGTGATTTGCTGCATCTTGTGATTTACCTTTTGCAGTAGATAAATCATTAGTATTACCTTTAACTAAATATATATACTTATGTAAAATATTAGGAGGAACTGTTTTCTCACTGTTCAATGACAAATCTATGTTATTTTTTAGATCATATTTGTTAGTCATATAGTCACTAGTAGCTCCTATTACATTTTCAGTAATTGTTTCCTCAGGCTTTATTCTAGTTTCTGGTGTTTCATAGGACTCAACTTTGGTGAGAAATTCGTCAATCTCGTTTAATAACAACTTGTCATTCTTCTTACTTGGAGTGGATACTATACTGCTTATATCACCATCCATACTTTGAGTATCATTTGGTTGTTGGAACCTTTTGTATTCAAATTTTAAGTTTGTGTCTTTTCCAGTATCAATAGTGTCAAGACTCGTCAGTGAATTTTTTTTTGCTTTGTCGCTTTTAATAACCTTACGTCGTCGACGTCGCGGAAAAGTAAAACATTTTCTATCTATACTATGTTTTTCGAAACTATCAGAGTCCCACGTCTTTCTTCTTAGTGAATTGACACTTAAGGTAGTGGTAGAATCTAGCTCCAAGTTTTCCAACCTAGACTCAAGAGAATGCACTTGATTGACTAGTCTTCCTAAAACATGAGCCGTGCATGAAACCGGTTTGTGTACGACTGTACGCGATGACTCCAGCAAAGAGTTTTCTGAGTCAGAACTTTGTTCGAGGAAGAATTTTGGTGGTATTTGAACAAGAAGGTCAGTATCGTCGGTTTCACTCATTACAGCATATTTTAAAAACACTTAATAGTTCAGCTAAAGCCATAATAAACAAAAATATTATAATAATAGTTTATTTAGTATCTAAGCATTACTTGTTAATAACATGGGTAGCAATTGGTAATAGGATTGCAATTTGTAAATAATAAGTACAGGTTTTCTTGTTCCAAATTTCGGAATACCGAGATTCGTTCTGACTTTTGACTTAAGAGGTTATTGACCGCTAAGTGCTAACCAGTAACCGGCAACCGCTGGCGCTGACCGTTGTTGACATTTCGTCATAAATATTTACTTCTATAATCTATTTTTTTTTTTGGAGTTTACGGCCTGGGGCCTTAGTCAAGATGCCTTAACAGTAGTGTATGTAGAACGTCAAAAACTAAATTTGTATGAAAACTTTTCGACACGAACTGTCATTTCCATACAAATTAAGTTTTCGACTTTCTACATACACTACTGTTAAGGCATCTTGACTAAGGCCCCTGGTATCTAGACCTTTAGGCCACTATAATCTATTCTTTAATTTAAAACCCTACATCATTGTGTGCGTTTTCCAATTACAGCACTAGAGCGCATTATGCGGCATAATGCTCAACGTTGAATGTTCCAACTACAGCAACGCTTCACACAATTGAGCACTCTCAAAAGTAATGCTCTCGCGTGCTTCTCGCAATAAATACCAACACAGTGACAGAAAATTGACCAGTGTTTTTCTTTAAGTTGGCATTGATCGAAATTTTCGTTAGTAAATATTATTTATTGTTGAAAAATTTGTAAGGCTTTCGTTTCGTCGTAGATTTTGAAAATAATTAACGTTATTTCAAACTGCTAAAAAAAATAAATATAAGTATGGATGAAGGTATAAATAGTTACTTTTTTTATATTCCACATTTAAAATATGAATACAATTTCATTTTAAAATTCGGACCTGTAAACAAATTTATTTTACAGTATTATACTTTTGTAAACATTGCAATGGTTTTGAAAAAGTATATAATTTTTTTTAGAAATCATTTAAAAAAATTACTCAAAACGTAAATGATGTAAACTTCTTACATGAAACTAAATATTTTACTGTTAATTTAGCTTGTTAAAACCTTATATTCTCTTATTTCAGTAAAAAAATGTTAATGAAATAATCAAAATCCAAATGACTTAAAATAAGCGCAAATAGTTTTCAACCAATTATTATTGTTTACCACATTATTTATACATTCATGAGGTTGCTAACTCTATTCAGAACATACGTTCTGTACGTTCCAATTAACGGCCTGGCCACGGGGATCAGCGGTGCGAACGGCGATGCGGGAGGCGAGGCGACCATTTGCGCGGGGCCGTTTGCAGGCCACGGACCAGTCACGTTTGCCGCCGCGACCAGTAAGGAAGTTCGACAGCGAAATGTGTTTATCGAAATCATCTCGATATTGCTTGGAAAGTAATAGCTTTTGGTTCAAGACCTAATATTTGGAGAAATTGTGGAGAATTCCACAAGAAGTATGAAAAATTCAGAATATATCCAGAATTATTTTTTTGAGTATACCAGAATGAGTATTGAAACCTTCAATTATATTCTTATGAATATTCAACCAGAATTGGAGAAAAAAGTTAATGCAAATAGAATTTTAAGTGCCGCTGAAAAATTGTTTTTGAGATTAAGGTATATTAAATTAATGCTGTGGATGGCCAGACTTCCAAATAGCTGGTCTAGCCAGTATTTCAGTAACAAAAAACTCTGTATTCATTTATATCCATTGCAATCATAAGACTCACACAGGTCTCACATTAAATAAATATGCCCGAATGTACACATGACAGGCAGACCACGTATAACTTCCTAAAGATAAAATTAAAACGTCTTACTCTAAAAAAATGTGGCCCACTCATCAGAGCTCCACTCCTCGCGCCAGAGCATTATATTTATGCAGCGGCTTGTGTGGTTTTTCCATAATAAACAAGTCACCAGTTGTAACATATATCAAGCTAAATATTATTTTTTGATTGGTAGCCAATTAAAAAAAAATTGTATAGTAATGTTCAAAGTGAGCAAGTCCTGGAGTAATTTTTGAGTCTCAGAGTCGGCGGATATCTGAGCCCAATTCACAGGTTTTTTGTAAAAATATTAACAGAGATTCGATTCAAGTAATCGGCATGTGATAGCGCAGTCTCCTTCCTTTGGAGAAGTCGTGAAGCAGTCATTTTATGATTTGGAATTCTGATAAGGAGGGAGCTTGTAGTTTGTTGTTTCGCGGCTTTTAATGATGCCATTAGATATTATCGGTTAAATTTGTTATTTTAGACAGTGCGGAAGGAAAAATAAAAGTTTTTAAATCAAATCGCAATACTTACGAGTGAAATGTTACACCTCTGGCTTTATTTGTGTTTCTAGAATTGTTGTTGCACTTTAGAAAGGCACACGATGGCATTTTGTGACACTAAACTGCTCGCAAACGTCCTTTACAACACGTCCGGCTAACACTGTGTTTAGGGGTGCACTGAACCCAGGTTAGTGAGCTCACTCACTTCGACTGTGGAACAACACGGCGCGGTCTCACTGCGGTAAGGGCCTATCTAACGATATAAATCTATGTAGACAACACAAATATGATTAATAATATTATTAAATATTAGCTATTATTAGATTATCCGGAACCGTTATGACAAGTCGGTGACTCCACTTGTCACGGGCCTTTTTATCGAGATGGGGTAATAGTTGACGTTATTACGCACCAACGGGTTGGGATGGTCCTTGTCGAAGTGGCGTGTGGACGTCAACTTTACCCATTGTACTATACTATAGCGAAGGAACTTCGAAGTTCGATTTTTTTACCTATGACTAATTGTAATATCTGAAGTCGCACCCTACGATATGTTTTGATACCAAAATATAGGTTTATATAAGTTTACAGCTGACTATATCTCATTCTGGACTATATAATATACAAAAAGTAGATAAAACAATGTTTGTCGTATCTTGATTTATGAAGATTGACCTGTAATATACATTATACTAGTATGGAAGTACCGCCCTTTGTTGGCATTATTTATAGACAAGAACAAATTATCGAGTGGTACCTAAGTACTTGTTTTTTTAATACATGGATCATTTGTCACGAATTGATCAGTTTTTTAAATGACGTAAGTGTAAGTAAAATGTAGATGGTACAAATATGTTACTAATATTAATTAGTGAAATAATGAAACAATAAAAATAAATAATGTTCTTGAATAATTAATTAGGACATACTAGTGTTACCTTAAAGAAAACTTACTTATCTATAATTATGTAATTTTAAGTATTATCATTTGTCAATTTTGTCTATAATAAATTCGTCCAAATCGTAACTTATAAGATTTTAACAAATCTACACTGAATTAAAAAAGAATATTGTCTAAGTCTATTTTTCAAAGTAGTCTATCTATTATATATGAAGTAGATGTAAAGGTTAGAAATAACTTTAAAAAAAAGTCAGGATGGTATATTACTCAAAATAGAAAAAAGTACTTATTATGAACTTTTTTAAAGTAATGATTTTTTTCCTAATTAAGAACAAAAGAGAGCCAAAATGAATAATGATCTATTCTAAGCATGATATCTCTTGTAATATTAGTAGTATTTATTTTTGTACTTTTTACATAAGAATATAAATAAATTATTAATATCAATCCTTATCACTTCCAAAATATCACAATTAATTACGTATTTAATTAAATTTATGTTCTTGAAACTTTTAGTTAATATTTTTTATGGTCAGACCCAATTAATTTTTAAGCACTTTGATTGATATATGTACAACCTTTAGCTTTTAGATTACTGTATCACATTAGAATTAAAAAAATATATCTACTATAATTATTAATTAGCTTAAAGTACAACTATTGAAAAAAGTAAATAAACAAACCCTAACATACTTACCAACAAGATAAGGTATTCCATTATATTGGAACATATCCCTGTGAATTCCACATTTGCAATAAAGTTCAGATTCAAGTTAAAAGTGGTTTTTGTGAAATGATGGTATAAAAGCAATAGTAATAATATCTATACCTACAAAAAAGTTCTCATACTTTTATAAAATATTTAAAATTTATGAGAAAAAGTCATTCTTAATTTTACTAAAGTTGTATTTTTCATAAATTGAATAAATAATAATAATTTACTTTTACAACATCAGCAATGCATATCTCATAGTTTCTTTAGATATTTTTACTTTAATAGAACAGCATTCTTACTTACAAGTATAACAATATTTACATCAAGAATAATATTAATTATATTTATGCAATCTTTTTTACTTACAATCGAATTAATGTATAAATTGATTTTAAGAAGCACGTGCAGCTGTCAATGGTGCCTGTTTGATAAATAAATCTAACTTATTCTTAAATAATTCACTATTAATTGGTTCTCCTATACCACATAGCGGGTTCCTAATTACATACTTAACATAAATATCTGAATAAATCTTTTTCAACAGTTCTCGAATTCCTTGAGCTTGATTATCTGTGTTTACAATAAATTTTATTCCTGATGGAGTCTCCAAACAATGCAGGGTGTATTTGGATGTTTTATAGTTAAGAAATCCTTCCCTTGGGTCTAAAGGAGAAATTTTAGTGACAAATGACTTTATTGAAAATAACATTCCATACATTAGTTTTCCTTCCTGAAAAATTATGTTTTATTAAGTAAAATATTTTCTACAGTAAAGTTAAAATAGCTATAATATAGATATATATAAGTGAAGAGTTGGTTTAAAGGATTTTAAGTGTAATCCGTTGTCAGCATACCTCCTCTCTCGACATGCCTGATTGTTTGGTTCTATTCCATTCTCCATAGTATAAAAGTGTTCCATAACGATCGAAAATATACATGTTATAGATAGTCATATCTGCTATTAATTACGTTAAATTGGGATCAATTTTGAAATCGTATAAATTTGAGACTAACGCGAAACACCAATTTATGTTTGCAGATTCATTGAATTTATTTTTTAATTTTTTCGGAGTTTATGGCCTGGTAATTAGATTCTAGACCTTTAGGCCAATCATTGGATTTTTTTTTTTTTTTTGGAGTTTATGGCCTGGTATCTAGACCTTTAGGCCAATATCATTGGATTCATGTTTTGCTAATAGCACAGACTTCACAATCCATTACAAATGAAGTCGAGAAAAAAGACAACTAACGCATAATATATATTATTATCCACTATTTATAATATACTCTATGCCGATCACCATCGTCGTCGACGACCAAATACCAATCCCTCTCCGAGCGGCTTGATCCTTTGGCGTTGTTGTTCGTACCGCACGCATTTGCCATAGAGAGTGTTCAGAGGAGTTGTTCGGATTAATATCTGCAGCCGAGTTTCATCATCGGACATCGAGGCAGAATACGAAATTCCACCCGTATCACCTCGACGTCCGCCGTTCCACAACTGAGCGATTTTCAAGGCAGTTTTTGCCGCGCACCACAACTATGTGGAACCAGCTGCCCACTGAAGTATTTCCGAACCAATTCGACTTAGGGTCCTTCAAGAAAAGAGCGTACCAATTCTTAAAAGGCCGGCAACGCACTCGCGAGCCCTCTGGCATTGAGAGTGTCCTAGGGCGGAGGTATCACTTAACATTAGGTGAGCCTCCTGCCCGTTTGCCCCCCGTTCTATATATAAAAAAAAGCCAATAATAGTATAACTTAGTACTAATACCTAATCTGTGAACATATACGAAAGATATTTTATGTTTTTTTTGACAACATACAGATAATAGAATAGATATGAATTAGAGAGACAGACTAGTGAGTAGTGACTACTGACTAGTGCCATTATAAAATATTAAGTTGGGAAACGTGAAAATTTGTTAAAAAAATAAATTTTTAATGGTGACATTGAGAAACTAGATAATAAAAAGAGAATATTTTGTTTATATTATAAATAAAGGTAAGTAGTGTCTTTAATAAAATTGATTTTTTTTAAATTTATCTTTAAACTTTTAAGGTTAGTATTACAAAATCATTATTAATATTCATGGCCCCTATTTCAGTGTATACACTATAAATACAGAACCTAATAATGGATGAATATTCGAGGGAGCCCTGTCCTTGGAGGATCCTGGATGATTCTGGTGGTGCTTTTCTGATGGGCGCGATAGGCGGTGGAATATTTCACTCTATTAAGGGCTTCAGAAATGCTCCTGTGGGATTTAGCAGGAAAATGGTACATATTAACATGTCCATTTATTTTCTTAACCGTTTGTTCACATACATTTCTGATATATTATAGTGATTTCATTTCTCTTGTCTTTCCTACATAGTCGTTTTTTATATGTTATATTACTTTCAAAAAGTAGAAATATTTTTTAATATGTTCTATCAAAATTTATGGAAATTTTAGCCAAGTGTCTCATATGATATATATATATGTATATGTATATAATATATATATAAACGTCATACTCTGTTCATTAGCATGCTTTTTTTTTTAGTTGGGAAGTTTAGCAGCCATGAAAGAAAGATCACCTATAGTAGGTGGCAACTTTGCTGTTTGGGGTGGAATGTTTTCAACAATTGATTGCTCTTTGGTATATTTACGACAAAAGGAGGATCCATGGAATTCTATAATGAGTGGGGCTCTTACTGGTGGCATCTTGGCGGCTAGAAATGGTAAGACTTTTGCTATGATAGAATAATCTTTTTAAATAACTCAATTTCTATGCAAATTAAACTAAAAATTAATTTCTTAAAACTTAGTTAAGTCTATCCTTTCATCTGTTTCTTAGCTAACTTAACTAAAAGTTGTAAATATAAAGCTTGTTTCCATAGAATATAAAGAAGTTAACAAGCAATAATTGCTTTAATCTATAAAATGAGCACTAAAACAGAATAATATATAAGGGTGTATAAAATATAAGCTTTATTTACATGATTTAACTTTGTATTTATAAATTTATTTTGTAACTTGGATACTTGTGTATACATGGTAAACTATATTGACTCGTAGTTTAGTGATCCCATTATTACTTTTTTCTACTTTCTATTGCCCCAAGGTGATATTTTCTTTCAGTATCAAATAGAAATATGATTGTTTGGTCATAATTGTAAAAATATTTATACTTAAATTCAGGTGTTCCAGCAATGGCAGGTAGTGCATTAGTTGGTGGAATTCTTCTTGCATTGATTGAAGGAATTGGTATAATGTTCACAAGAATATCAGCTGAGCAGTTCAAGCCACAACAACCAATATTTGAAGATCCTTCTGTGTTAGGACAAAGTCAAGGCCCAAGTTCATTTCAATAACTTAGTCAAATATTTTATCTTATACAAAATATGTATGCAGGTACAAATGTTGATCTGAATTGTTTTTATAGTTTCATCTTTCTTGCCAGACTAAAAAGTTTAAAGTATTCTTGTAGTAAAATACTGTACTCTGGTTTTACACCTTTTTTATCTAACCAAACAGTTCAATATTGTCGTCCCTGTTTTTTTTTTAAATTGTGTGCATCTGTGATATTATCAGTTATTAGTATAACTGACTTTAAAATTCACTAAAATCTATCCCCCATTATTTAGTAAATAAATAAATTCTCATAGTTTTATATCCAAACTAAATTCAACTAAGTTATTTGTTCCCATGTAGTTGAGTTTCGAAAATTGATAAAGATTGTATAGAGACTTATGCTTCCAGTCTTAATATTACAAGCTTATTACTTTTCATGTTGTTAATATTTATTATTTGGATTTAGAAATATGAGATGATACTTAGGTAAATATAAAATTAAAATACCAATAGTTGTTTTATCTTAATTCTTGACTTATTATTTTTTTAATACTACCATAGGAGTAAATTGACAGTTCAACTTATTCTTTCTCACTTGTTTTTAGTTTGTGAATCCTTCATGGACAATTACAATAATTAATCAATACTCTCACCATATCAATCTATGTTATAAATATATATCACAATTTCTGTGATAAGTTGAGTTATCCAAAGCTAATAATATCAAATTACTAATCATTACGAAGAATTTAATTTGATGATACATTATTAGCATGAACAATTAAATGAGTTGTTACAAAGAGTGGTACTGCTTACATTATATGTAACAAGAATACATAACAAGTGTTTGGGAACATGAAAAGTACTAAACAATATATCATTTCAACAATGCATTCTGATTGATATAAAAATCGATGAAAATATTGACATAATTGTCACAAGAGCTGTACATCCACATCAGATAAGTAAAATTGTATGTTATGATTTAAACAAACATGTCTAATTCCACTGCTTGTATGTACGGCTTAAAATCAGATTTCTTTGAGCATACCAAAAACTAAAATATGGCTCTGCCTAATGAGTCTCTATTCCACCTTTGAGAGTATCCAACCAAAGTAGATTAATTGTGATGTTTTTGGTAGTTTGATGTCAAAAAGTTTAAATTGTAATTAAATACTTTTTAATAGTTATTTTACACTTATTTTTCTTTAAGTATTATGGTGTTGATGGAAATGGACATTTCAATGGTTTTAAAATTGTCTACTTTTTTCTTATATATACTAGCATATTCACTTCTGCACTTAAATATTAGTTGATTGAATCCTTAAAGATTACCATTAAATTTATGGAATTAAGAAAAATTAACAAGCCAAGGCAAGTTCTGTGCCTATATGCAAGTTTAAATTAACAGAAAATGATTTCCATAATAGTAATTTTTTAATGGATTAAACTTAATAATTAAATTACAATTCTTATAACTATTTCATACTTCTAATCAGATTTTTATTTTCATTGGTATAGGTAAATACAACTAAATGGATACTAATAAACAAAACTATTTAGTGTTTTGGTATATATTTGCTGATTTTTGTTAATACTTTATAATCCTTCGACAGAGCACAATCTCAGATAAAAATATTGTTTAAAGCTGCAAGGTCTTTGCTTTACTCTGAGTTGCGTGCTCACCCATTTTCCTTATTTCTTTAATAACAAGTGCAAGTTTATCTGGATTTACACCTAGTTCACAGAGTTGAATACATATAGTAAGAGTTTCTGCATCTAACCCAGTGTTGAGGAGTTGTGAAACTTGATAAAGCATCTGAAACGCTTCTCGGGCTTGACCAATCTGAGCATTTTTTTCTGAAGTCATCTTATTCTAAAATATGTGATTTTGAAAATTATGATTTTTAATTACAGTTGAAGGATGTAAATTTGAAACAACACTTCCACTTTTGAGTTTTGATCACAAAAAGTAGCAACACAGTCCACAGAGCATGTCACGTTAATAATTACTATTAGTTAGCACAGATGAGTTTGTATTATTCTTAACAACAAGAACTATAGCATAGAAAATAGAAATTAAGCAGACCAAACACAAACACATGTATCCGATTATTTTATATATTCACTTCTTGTACCCTGATTTAATTAATAATGTTATCTCTTTCTTTTTCCTGTAGCAACATTAACACACTCATAAATAAAATCGCCATTTTGATAAGCGGCAAGTGACATATGGCGTCGAGATAAAGAAAGAAGTATTTTGTTTTGTTTTGCATTTCTGCTTATCGTTATTCTTATTTGCTAAAAACTGAAACAGGATGGTGAAGTGCAGTGCACCTTTGTGTGGCAATGCAACATATAAGAAAACACCTGATATTACATTCCACCGGTCAGTTATTTGTGAGCTTCAACTATTCTCGTATGATTATTGTGATATTTTTTGTTATTGGCTAGAAATATTAAAGCTACTTGTTATAGACATGCCGCAGTCTACGACTGCCGAGTTTTCTATTATCTGTATATTATATATCTGTTTTATATTATCTGTATGTATCTGATAAATTTAACGCCCGGGACGCTTACTTTGACGTTTCATGTACTGGCATATTTTGAGGGGCCGTATTCAGTTGTTTATTATTTTTAATAATGCGTTGGCATTTTAAATGTTTTCATACCATTACTATTGCGTAGATTTCCAAAGGATGAAATAATCAAACTTGCGTGGGTAACCAACATGAAGAAACAAAACTTGCAGCCTACATCATCCAGTGTGTTATGTTCCAAACATTTTGAAGATCACTTAATTGATAAAAGTGGATTTAGAACAGTACTTGTTTCTGGAGCAATTCCAACAATCTTTGATCTGTTGATAGAAGTAAGTACTTATCTTTATTTCTAATTGAGGTAACAAAAACTACAACATTTTATAATTAGTAGTTGTGAGTAAGCAGGCTCGACTATGACGTACCTAACGCCTAATAGAGAGAGGAGGGGAGGGCGATCCATCTGCGCAACAAAATTGAAATTTAACCCAACTTTCGTGAAAAATAAATACAATTAACGACATCATCATCTAAAGAGGTGGACTAAAATTCATCCCCTCCCCAAAAAAAAATTTTTCTCTGTATTTTCAGCGATTATACTCGTAGCATCCATATGTATAAACAAAATGGCAGTAGTAAAGTTTTCTGTGTTATAGAAAAAGTTATCACGAATGTCTAGTACAGTTACACATGTCATCCGCGCTAACTAGACTAGTGATATAATGTTATATAAGAAAATGCGTGGAATATCAAATTACGTAAGTAACTAACTAAACGTTAAAACAATAATCAATGTAAAAATAATATATCATTGTAAAAAAATTACATGGGACAACCTGTCTTTATTAATCTTAATTTTTCGATAGTTATTATCTCTCATTAAAGTCGCTGAATCCGGCCCATCGAATTGTATTAGTGTGCGTGAAATAAGCATGTGTAAGTATTTGGTATGCGTAGATAGAGTATAGACTATAGAACAAGATGAGCTTCTAAAATAACAATAATAACTAAAGAGAATAGGCATTAACGTGAAATACTTAAGTGCGAGCGAAACAGAGTATCAGTTTTTCTGTCTCTATTTGCGTATCGGGTTTTATTTGTATACCATCGAGCCCTTGGTGGTAAACTAGTTTTCACCGTTTACTGATAAATCTGTGAAACCCAAGTCAAACTCGTATTTTAAGACTTTATCCTTATAAGAGGTGTATTTAAAGTGTCAGTCATGGTGAATTGTTCCATAATTGGCTGTAAAAGCTATAGTGAACGTAAAGAACCAAACATAACCTTTCATCGGTAAGTAGTTTATTTTGTCACGACTCAGTAACTTTGTTCAAGAATTATTCATTCGAATGTATATTTTAATCAATAATAAGCAATCTCTAATGAATTAAAACTGTAAATAAGCCAATTCCAAACATATTTTTCAGTGCTAACCGACTAAATTGCGAATCATGTTACCTACGTCAGGTAGTGGCCACACTTCGTGTTCTTTCTAAATAGTTGGATTATAACTCGTTGGGGCTACCAGCACTTGAATAAATTTTCCACTTTTTTTTCAGTTTTCCGAATGAACCGTATTTCAAAAATAAATGGACTGAGTGTACGGGTAGAATTAACTGGCATCCAACTCAAAACGCCCGGATATGCTCAAGACACTTTGGAATTAATTGTTTTCAAAAGAAAAAAAGTAAAATGTTTTTACAACCACGTGCGATACCTACACATTTTATACACGTAAGTAGTTAACTCTTGCAATATTAGTGAAGACTTAAGTCAGAAACTTTCCATAGTCCATCTACGTTGGCATGCTTTTTTATCGACATGTTAGGTTGCTTTCTTTCATATTTTTTTATATTGTCTGGTGTGATCCAACGAAAACATAATTTGGCATTGTTAACGATGATTAATGACGACATCAATTAGTTTATTAAAATAATTACAATTAAACTTAACAAAGCCTAAGTAAATCTTGATATTTTTAGGAACGATTTTCACAGCCTTAAACAGGTGCTCTAATGTTTTGATTAATGGCCCTTGTTACTTGAAGTACCTACCTACATTATATTCTGTTGTATATTTAAATTGATTTTTTATTATAACTACGTATATACTTAACATAAGGCATAGTTTAACGACTTAATTTCAGTGTATATTTATAATATACATATTTTTCATACTTGATATGAAACTAGACAATTATATTATTTAAATACGCTATTTGTAGACCTTTTCTAGGGATATACGAAGGTCCGATAAGTACTTAGCCTAGAAACAAATTCCTTTTTTATGTGGAAAAGTGGCGATTTATATCTCAACATAATCACATTTGAGTTCGGTACACTTGACCCAGCGATGTTCCATCTTCTTTAACCCGTCTGAAAAATATTCTGGATGTCTGCAAAGTAGGCCTCCGTGACGACGATAACCGCCTCATTCGACTAAAATTTCTGCCCAGCGAGTGATTTTTCAAATTTGGACACAAAAAAAGACGCACGGGGCCAAACCCGGAGAATACGTTAGATGGAGCAGCAGTTCGTAGCCCAACTCTACCAATTTGGCCGTGATGACGGCGGATGTGTGAGCCGCTGGGTTATCCTGATGGAACAGCACCTTTTTCTCGCCATATGTGGCCGTTTTTTCTTAAATTCAGCGTTGAATCGGCTCTGCATGTTGTCAATAAAAGATACTGTGTTATATTTTATTTACGATTATTATAAATGCTACATAATTTATCGTACAATATTTTTTTATAGTTTATAAGTACAATAGTTTATATTACACAAAAAAGCTTACGGGAATGACATTATCAAGCAGTTTTGTTACTTATTCTTCTTAGTAAGTAGATTTATAAGTGCTATTTCAAGTGTTATTATTTAATATAAGAGATCGATTTCTTCATTTCAGTGTAGGTATATAAAGGCATCTTTATATTATATCAAGAAATTTAAGAATTGTGATCAATTCCTTAGTCCTATTTTTACACCATCGCTTGCTCTCCCAAAATAGATAGCGTAACACATTTCAAACAGTTTAGTTCGTTCTAAATCGTGAACATTCAATATTGTGCATTCCCTTTACTTTATTTAATATTCACAACATGGTAAGTTTTTTAATAATAAGGCATACTTAAGGAGGTTGTAATTAGATCCAAATCTGACGTTTCTAAAAGAAAGAGCTTTTGACGTCGATTTTGAAATATGTTTTTAAAATACGTGTGCGATGATTAGCGAAAATTACAAAGAGAACAATTTGCACGAAAATGAATGCGATGTAGTTCCTAGTAGTGAATCATTTTTGCGGTCTATTTGGACAAGGATAAAGGATCTTGAGAAACGGCGGGTAATGAAACTAAACATTTTTTTTTCTCTCCATTTTTTTCTTCTTCCAACTCCACATTGTACTTGGTCCTGTCAAAAGAACTATTTAGTACTATCGTAAATATATTGCCGCTGCTGAATTGATTTACTACCACTATTCAAATTAGTAGTTGGATCTTCATTGTTTGATAAAAAAATGGATAATTTCAATTGTAGCATTAGGAGAATATATGACAGTGTGACTGGATAAACTTTACAATATGGACCATCGATTTAAATGCAGATATTTTTGCAGATGTACTCACTAAAAGAAAGCGTTTTGCGAAGTGTTAGGTTGCGGAAACTTACGCTCATGAGATACATTTTTTTTTACTTTTCATACAAATTGGCAAATAACACGCAATTACAAAATAAATTTGAAAAATAATTGATGTCAAACGTCAATGACTTCACGTTTCAATTAGTGTAGGGTTCCGAAAATTTTGAAAGTATCGATACCTACTCGTTTGTATTGCCTAATTAGTACAGCTTTTGTACTTGTATTTCATTGTTTGCAACTTTCTGTATTATCTAATTCTTACTACAATTAAGTGTTTACTTACTTATTTGATATCGAAAAAGTACCCAAAACCGAATCAGAGCACCCCACTATCCACGTGGTAAGACCATCTGCCATACCCCTAGAGTGTATAATGTATATATAAAAGAGCTCGGAGCTGCGGCTTTTTGGTCCAGCCTTAGCCGCTACGGCTTGCATAAAATGCCTCTACTTTGGTACGCAAGGGTGGAGGGGCTGTCCCGTAGCGCCGGAGCTGTCCAAAAAACCAATTATTATGTATAGGTTAGGTTAGTACATTAATATTTTATTAAATAACTGATTCTGGCGCGTGAAAGTCGTTGGGGGTTATTATTCTAAAACTTTAAAGTTCAAAAATTAGGAAATAATCGATAAATATAAAAAAATCGATTATTTTTTGTTCATCGATTTTTCATGCTAAAAAAAACAATCGATTAATTAAAAAACCGATTTTTTATGCAGAATGTCACATCTCTAATAACCAATAGAAAAGTAGAAAATGTACGGTTTGTTTACGAATTTCAATACATTACACAAAATTTTAAATCATTTTTTTAATACTTAGACGTAACTCCGGCAGCAAAAATCACTTGGAGGTGTTTCAATCAAGGTCCCCCGAGACACCTACATAATCAGTATCAAATTCGGGCGACGGATTTCTAAATCGTTACCTAGTAATGTTTATAGATACATACGATAATTTTTAATTTAAAATATGTCTATTTTCTCTAATTTGGATTATAGAAAAGGTAAACAAATTGACCGTTATCCAAGTTTAAAGGGATTTTTGAAAATAATTAATTCTCAAAATGCCATGTCACGTAGTTGCGATCGGCTGTTTGAAATTCTAAGTTGACGCGTGATTTGCCCTGAATCGCGGTGATTATGTTTGATATTTGCTGATTCTAATAGTTATCCAGCTGATTTAACTTTCGTATTACCATTCATCTGTTTTAAACCTTATAAAAAAATCTGTTAAATCAGAAAAAACACCTTTGTTAGTTGATATTACGCGTCTTTAATTACACCTATACTTACTACTACTTTTATATAGTAGTGACTTGTATTGCATTCCCACTTTTAATTCTCGGAAAACGAATGGCGTAAATATTATTAAAGTTGATTAATTGTGAATTAATTAACAGGCTGATCAAAGTACGTCTAGTCAAGAGCCGCCTGTCGCTGGACCTGAGACTTCTGTTCAGATCAAAGAGGAACAGGTAATTTTAATTTTGTGTAAACCGAGTTAGCCCAGTGGCTTAAGAGAGCGATTATCAACCATGAAATCGGTTATTTGATTCCTGGCAATATATTAATATATTTGTAATGCGCAATTTACAATACTTTCTCTTTTGGTGAAGATAAACATTACAAAAAAAATCTGTTAAATCAGAAAATAACACCTTTGTTAGTTGACATTATGCGTCTTTAAGTATACCTATACTTACTACTGCTTTTATATTGTAGTGACTTTGGTATTGCATTCACACTTTAAATTGTTGGAAAACGAAGGGCGTAAATATTATTAAAGTTGATTAATTGTGAATTAATTAACAGGCTGATCAAAGTACGTCTAGTCAAGAGCTGCCTGTCGCTGCACCTGAGACTTCTATTCAGATCAAAGAGGAACAGGTAATTTTAATTTTGTTTAAACCGAGTTAGCCCAGTGGCTTAAGAGAGCGATTATCAACCATGAAATCGGTTATTTGATTCCTGGCAATATATTAATATACACTTCTGGACACATCTATTGGCCCAACTTGCATTTTCAGTTTCTTTTGGTCCTACCTAAAAATTTATATTAGGTCGAGTAAAAAGTTGATGATACATTTTACCATCTTTTTCGATCGTATTGTTTTAAATTTGAATTAAGAATACCACACCACATGGAGATAAGCCTAACAAGTCGGTTATGCGCCTTGATGAAGTCAGTTGATTTTTGAATAAAAAACGTGTTTTATCAAATAAAGGTTTAATTTAATAACGCGTGTTGCCTCCATGGGCATCTACGACAGCTCTAATACGATTAGGCAAAGAGTTTATCAACCGCTCTATAAAATTTTGAGGGATCATCTCCCATTCCTCTTCTATGGCAGTTTTCAATTCCTGCCTCGTCTGGGCAACTGGCTGACGAGCCCTAACACGTCTTTTTAGCTCGTCCCACATGTGCTCAATGGGGTTCATATATGGGCTTCTGACTGGCCAGTCCATAACTGCGATGTTCACATCCTGAAGATATTCTCTGACGATGCCGGCCGTATGGGCTCTTGCATTATCGTGCATAAAAAGGAAATTTGGGCCCACATAGTCCGCGTATGGCATCACGTGAGGTTCTAAGCACTCAAGAATGTACCTTTAAGCATTTAATGTTGGCAGCCGTGGTCCCGTAACAACTTCAAGTTGAGTTTTGCCGCTCGCAGATATACCGCCCCAGACAGTCCATGAGCCACCGCCATAAGCAACCCTCTCTTCAAAGCAGCATTGTGCAAAACGCTCTCCCTTACGTCGGTAGACCTTCTTCCTTCCATCATTGGCCATGTAACGCAATTTTAGACTCATCAGAAAAGAGTACATCGTTCCAATGCTGCTGAGTCCAATTTAAGTGTGAGCGCGCGAAATGAAGGCGCGCTATTCGGTGGGCTCGCGTTAGTTTTGGGCCTTGTGTTTGCATAAAAACTTTTTACTCGACCTAATATAAATTTTTAGGTAGGACCAAGAGAAACTGAAAATGCAAGGCCCACCTTGCATTTTCAGTTTCTTAATAGATGTGTCCAGAAGTATATTTGCAATGCGCAATTTACAATACTTTCTCTTTTGGTGAAGACAAACAAGGAAACATGTTTTTAGAACCAAAAACAACGTGGCTTCTCCTTGAGTATAAAATATAAAAACGTTGATTACTAAACTAGTTAGAATAAAAAGTATTTAGTAATTTAAATATTACATATTTAAGTTTTATGAATGACTTTAGTCTTTATGTAATTAATATTTAATGCCTTATAAATATTTTTTTAGTTATCAGAATCGGAATTTTCTTATCTTTCGGAAAAAGATAAACCGGTAAATCAAAATGGAGGCAATAATGATGTTTTAGTAAAACAGGAACCAGAGGCAAATGGTGATGAGAATGCAGGAAAACCTTCGGTATGTACCTAAATATTATCTATTACCAGTATTGTACATTACCATACTCTTTACCATTAACATACATTACAATTATTACTATTACCATATTGAACATTACCTCTATTATTACATAGAGTAGAAGCTGACGTAAAAGTTGATGCTTTTGAGTTATCTGAAGTTTTGTATTGTATAGTTATATGACAGATAAATGATATTAGACTGTAGATGTACCAGCTTTCAATTATTATTTCAAGTGTAATAGCGGGGTTTTATTAACTGCTATTTAAGGAGCTTTAAACTAACGAAATAAAATGTAAAAAACGTTTTATTTTAATGTAACTAGATAATAAGTCGTCATTAAGAAATATTAAAAATGAAGGGTATGGTCTATAGAACTAGTTCTGTTTTATTTTCACTCTGTTTTTGATATTCGAGGTGGTCGATTCACATGCCCCTAAAAGTAGAAGGGGTAATGTGGAATTCGAGCCACACCAGATCTTTGCTAATCAGAGACTGGGCGAGCTCTCTCTAAAACCACATAGGTGAAGTTCTATATGGCCGCGTTAGACAGGCTACGAAATCGCTCTCGCCACGTTGGTATTCTATAGGAATCGTCTAACATCGAATTCTGTTGACTTATAATCGACATGTCTGTAACTGCTAGCAATAATAACATCGTTATTAACTATATATTTTATAGGAAGAATGGCAGGAACGGGAGCAAGCGTTATTGAAGAGAATAGAAGAGTTGGAAAAGATTAAAACGGAGAGGAGCGAGGATGGACTTCGATTGGAATTAAAAGTAAGTTTTCGAATGTATTTTTTTTTCTAAATTTTCTGTTATTCTGGTAACGTAAATATAATTTTCTAGAGACATTTTTGCATGTATTACAAATAAAGTTTTGATTGAATTATAAAACAATATTATTTCTTAGTAAAGTAGTCCTTATTCGTATACGTCTGGAAGACTTTAATAGCTATTTAATATTTTTCCATATCCCTCTCGTGTTTCATTTGTTTCATGGCCAACCCGTTTTCATATTAGGTTTCACGTTATTCCAAGTTTGTGATATCATCGCGGATATTGGAAACAGTATAAAGAAATTGAGTTTCATCGTTACATGGTGTTATAATAATTAAAATCAGTATTTCATATCCCTGATTAGATATTTATTCATTTATTTATTAAGGAAACTAAACAGATACATCACTATACAGTAAAAATAAAATAAAAGTAAAACATAAAATAAACTACACATTGGACATATCCACAAAAAGTTTCACTGATAAAAAATACAATACAAAGTAAAACAAGACAAAACATGACAGCACGAAATTTATAAATTAGGAGAACGACAAACAAACTAGCAGCTATAAAAAAAACAAGCAATATACAAGGCTTAAGACATTAAGAGTTTTATCATAATTCTACATAAGTTCTAGGTTAAGAATCATATCTATCTATCATAAGCTATGATAGATAGATATGATTGGCTAATTGAATAAATTATTAGATGTTGTTGAGTAGTTCTGCAATTATTAACGCTTGTATTATGAACCTTAATACGCTTGTTTTAAAAACCCTCTGAAGTTCATGTAACAAAATTGGATTTTGTTAATTCTAAAATTTAGGTCCGTGAAGAAGAGATTGACTTGCTAAGGAGTAGAGTGAAGAATTTAGAAACAGAGTTGCAGGCGGCTCTTTCAAAGCCCGCTGGAAAGAATCAGGAAATCATTCAGAACATAAAACAGCAGCATGAGGAGGTAAATCTCTTTTCTCTTTAGTTTGAATTAATTTTTGAATAAATAAAAAAAATTGTTTATTGATATACATTTTAAAAGATTGTTTAAAAACGCGGTTTTTGGTCAGTTCAGTCAGTCGGGTCGCAAATCATAAAAACTAAATCGTCTAATAACACAATTTTAAGGTAACCATTGTTCTGCACTTTATATAATACTAATAAATCAAGAGATTCATTACTAAATTATCGATATTTAGGCAATATTGGTTATTGTATTGGAAGGCGACATAGTGATTTTTGAAGGGTCTTAATACAGTTATAATATGTATAAGAAATCAAATACAGTTTGTTTTACTTTGATATATTTACATAAATATTTTTCCATAGCTCCTAAGCAAGGCCCGTGGCATGATCTTTGACAAAACAAAAATGGTGAAGAACCAAGAATTGCAGATCGAGGCTTTAAATAGCCAGGTGCAGTCGCTGAAGGATATCAACAACATCACCAAGGATCTTCTAAATATTAGGAATTCTGAAGTAAAGGCTATGGAGGTGAGAACGCTTCAAGCGTCTTGCGTCACCCGCAAAAATAGGCAAATTATAATAATAATTAAATTAAAAATATTAAAATAAGACTTATAATTAATGACAATTTTATTTGGCGTTAGCGAGTCATTCTTGCCGCAAGGGGCTGGTCTAGGGCCATGGTGGTTGATGAGAACAGCTCTTGCCAGGAAAGGAAAGAAAAAAAGGAAAAAAGAATTGAATTATACTTTTTCCCTCCCAGGATCGTCTAGAAGCAATGGAGGCACGATACAAAGCAGAGAAAGAGCGTCACTCGTTAGTTTTGCAGAGGGCACAGACATCTTCCGGGCTCAATGATGACCTCAAGAAGGAGTATGAGACACAACTTGCAATTTTTAAGGTATACTGCACTTTGCAAATGAATTTTTTTGGAGAAATATTATTCATTATATTTTTTTTGTGATGTATTTTGTTAATAAAATATAATTCTCTAAACACCTCCAAAGTCTACCTAGTATGAGTTGAATTTCATATAAAATAGTTGTATATTTTTTATCTTAATTGTATTATTATATATTTTAAGTAGTTGTATGATTAATCATGTTAATGATAATATTTTGCTCATCACCAATCATGATATTAAGAAAGTGAATTGGATTGGGTAGTAATTAGCGCGATCTAATTCAGAACAGTAACACTTAGTAAAGGTGTAACTGTTTCGTCGTATATAATTGTTATATATCGACGTAGGAAAGCATATTTGCTGTAAGTAGACAAAATAGCTAAAGTGACTTTTTACTGCCATTAGAATCAGGAAAAAATACCGCATCGAATGTCCCGGGTCCTGTGTCTCTACGATGAAAAAAAAAATACATACGCGGTTGAAAACGCCCGTACTTATATTTTTTTTAGCAAGATTAAATGCTGTATGTAGACGAAAATCCAGTCATTATAGACAATTTGTACTTACAGCAAAAGAAAAACTGCATTTTTTTCTTTACAAATACTTCTTCCCATTTAAAAACTTAACGCTACTTACAGCATTTCTGCGGCGTGTGATTTTTACATTCGTTTACTTACAGCAAGTTTAGGGAACCTACAGTTTTAGTTTTTTTTACCATTTACGACATTTTATTTCAACCAAACATTACATTACCAAATGACCCACTGCATTTCTAGATCTAATCATAATTATAAATTAATCTTACATCTTGAATTGCAATTGAAAGTACCCAAATACATAAATGTACTGCATACAGCATATTTACCGCCTGTAAATTGATAATATTTCAGCGCGTACATTTTTCTTCCTTAGTTACAGCGTTTTAAAGGTTTGTGATTTAAAAAACTGTATGCTGTAACTAGCCAAACACGTACTTATAGTAACTTTGGATAAAAAGTTTACATTGCAAATGGTGACTGGCAGTTAAATAAATATGTTTCAAAAATGGTAGCAATATCATGGATAGGTTCAACACTATTAATTTTTTTCCGAAATTAATTAAGTTTTTTGGCTCTGGTGAACAATTGCAATATGTTTACTTACAGCAAATATGTTTTCCTACGTCGATATATACCTTTAAAATTATAACAAATGAAATCGTTTTAACGATATGAATAAGGATTTATTGCATAATTTATCTAACACTGGTATAATACACTCGAAACTTCGAATATAAGGTAAAATAATTACAGAATACATAAGTTTTATTTGTAGGATTTTGACAGATGTAAAATACGCAAACCGAGAATAAATTCATGTAACAAAAAAATAATGTTATAGTTTTAGGAACATATTATGTCAACGTTGGATACCCGTCCAAAGCCAAACCAAAACGTCTTAAATATGAATTATATTTCTTTTTCCAGGAATTACGTGTGAAGTATGAACAAAGGGTCCAAGCGTTGGTATCGGAAAATCAACAGCTCAAGGACTTGAGGAAGATGACTACGCCCAGCTAATTATAATGTTGATAATTTAATTTAAAGACTGCGTCCAATGGTTATTTTAACAATAAATTGATTTTTAAATATACTTTCTTTCATTACTACTCGATTCAAGCTTGATTTTAATAAATATAATAAACAGAAAAAGTTGATTATAAAGATGGTAGCCGTTATATCAATTTCTTAAAAGAGGCAATTGGGCTTGCCTGAGACCGCCGCCCATAGACACTCACGTTGCCAGAAAGCTAGGGAAAGCGTTCGGCCTTTTAACCATTGGTACGGTTTTTGGGAGGAGTAGAAACTCTTGGGCCGTGGGTTCAAGTGCACGGACGCTAATTAAAGATTAAGTTAGCGCTTGAGTAGTACCGGTGACCCCCAGAGCTGGTGCTCTCTTCGCTCAACGAATAAGTATCGCGATACAGCATTTGCTGCCAGCATTGAAGGTACACAGGGACCAAACTTTTTAAATTTATTTTAGTTCTCTACTTAACCATTTTTAATTATTATCACTATGTAGTTTAGAAATTAGATGTATTAGAAATTAGTTTTCCTCTTCTGAGAAACAAAAAATAAAACGTTGAGAGATATCGCCAGTTAAAAATATTATATGGGGAAATTTTGTAGTATATAGTATATAGTCAAAGCAAATAATCAGTATTTTTAATATTCACAAGGCTTCTCTTTTTTTCTGTAAACATTTCACTTGATTGAGTATTGGCTTGCGTCGCAACCACGCCAGCTGCGAAGCGCACCTTTTACCTTGACAGAATTCCTGAGCGCGCAATACTGGTCCAAGTTTAATTTAGCTCGCGATTTTTTAATCTGTGTAGGAGAAATTTTACACAATTTTGACGTGACTGATTTATGTCATGTGGCACTGCGACGCGAGTTGCGAAGCGCATCTTTTACCTCGAGTGGAGGGTTTTGTTGGACGCGGAACGTGGTTTCTTAGTAAACTTATGAAATTTATATTTACACTGGCATTTCTACTGCGAAATTTACCTGACGCGAAAGCCTTTTAATCGGTATTCTAGCACATTTCCTATTGCAAAAGTGTCACCATAGAATCTCGAAAACCACTAGTCTAGTCTATAAACATTCGATTTATATCTTCATTGAAGGGTTTACTGAAAGGAAGACCCGTAGTTCATAAGTCCCACACAAGGTCATGTGGTCCCAAACCACCCGAGAAAGCAAACTAATTAAGTAGACTTGAGCCTAATCGTCATATATAAATGAGTTTCACTTTGTAGTTAAAGAGTTACCGTTTGCTATAGTAAACTTCTCTAAATTGAGTGAGTTTTTTATAGCACTGATTAATTAAGATTCGCCCAGTGAGTCCGTCCACACGGAGTATGAGGTAGGCACTGTCTTGTCTTCATTAATAATAATTGTTAGTTTGAGTAGGTGATCAATACATCGTTGAATTGACTAAGGTATATTTGATTAAGGTAAGGTTGTTGATAAGTTTACTTTCTTCTGTTTCATATGAGTGTACTTGCACGAAAAATAAAAAAATTACCGATGATCAAAGGAGTTGAGATACGATAAGGCCCCCTCCCCACCGCAGATGTCCATCCTGCGGGGTCCGAGCCTTGACGTGGCCGGGGAGGGCTTAGTAACTGGGGTGCAAGCCAGCACCTTGGTGAAGCGAATCGGATATAGAGGGGGGCCATTCTATCTAGCCCCAGCGGCGCTTCATGCGCGTGGTATGGCTGGCCTTTAAGGCTGGCGAGGCTCGTCGAATTGACGGCGAGCCCCTAACCTCAAGTTTCTGGCGCCCGGCGATGGGGTGAGTGGCCGGGGGAGTTCGGTCCCGAGGGCGTCCCAGGGTGAGCTGTCTTACCTGGATAAAAATTAAAGCGAAAATGAAGACAAATACTTGTAAAACTACCCCAGGCGGGTCAAATCCCGCCACCTGCTCGCAAGAGCCGGTGCAAAAGTCCCACCGTACTCTGGGGGGGACAATCTTCATGATTCCGGCGCTTTTGCCGAGGCGAGCGAGGAGAAAATCATTAGAAATAACACATGCGATAGTAGAATGATATCCACGGACCAACCAATAAACCCGGATCTGAGAGAATTACAAGAAGTGACCGTGGTGCCTGAGCGCACTCTATGTATTACGCCGGTGCCGAGCGTTTCCAGGGACATTTTTGGCGACCATCCAGTTGACGCGCCTACGTCTGATGCTGGAAGGTTATCGGATTCCTCCGCGACATCTATGATCAGCGCCAGATCACTGGATTGTACAGACCCTACATATCCTAGATTCTGGAGTTCTCGCAAACGAACCAGGAGTGGCGAAGACGATGGCGACAGTACAATCAGCGAGTCGTCTGTTCGGACCCCACTAAAAGTTGCTACAACAAGAAGAGGAAGAGGCCGCCCACCAAAAACCAGAGGGTACATGGGCTTGGCGCCTGCTAGGTCTGCTTATTTAAAGGCCAAGAAAACGGAAAAGGAAGCCCAGGCTGAGGAGGAGATCCTCGCTTCATTGACTGAGCCGAGTAAACCCGCACCAACACCAGCGGCAATGAATGCAGAAGGGGAAATTTTGACGGCAGATCTAGCGCAGAGGCGCATCGAAGCTAATCTGCAAATGGTAGAGAAAGTCGCGACTAAGTCAAAAAATCTTAAGGGTACATTTGTCCACGCCCTCAAATCTGTCGCTAAATCTATTAAAGAGGACACAGAGGTACTCGCTCAAATGTCTGTTTCGGATGAGACGCGAGCTCTTCGAAGTGAAAACGAGCGGCTTCGAAACTTTCTGGAGGCGCTCCAAAAGAGATGGGAGAGTTGCGAGAGCTAATAAAGCAACGCCCTACAGATCCGGTTCCAACACCGGACTTAGAGGACCTTGAGGCAAGGCTCATGAGCCGCCTTGTGGATAGGATCAATGCTAGAATAGAAAGCATAGAACCAAGACTCAACCCGGAGCCTCGCATACGACCACCTCTCTCCGCTGACAAGTATAAGCCGGAGGCTGTGGCAACAACGTCGGGGTCCTCCAAGGTTAGAAAGACGACAGCAGCGCCCACTTCGAATACAGTGGCAACTCAACCCGAGGACGGCGTGAAAAAGAAGAAAAAGAAGAAGAAACCTAAGAGAAGGCAAGAGAATGTGCCTACAGGGACAACTGTCCCTAATGCTGCCCCTCTGTCACCACCGTGCCCACTGCCAGAGCTCCCTCTACTAATGAAGCGTGGAATAAGGTGGTAAAGAAAGGATTGCGCCGGAAGAAGAATGAAGGTGCTCAACAACTTCCAGCACAACCTAAGAGACAGGCAATGGCAACAGCTGCACAACTGAAGCTCCGTACGCCCAGTTCCGCAGCAGTTGTTTTAACGCTTCCGCCGGATGCCGAAGAGAAAGGCCTTACATACGTAGCAGTCCTAAAAGAGGCGAAGACAAAACTAAATCTGGCTGAGCTTGGTATAGAAGCGGTCCGGTTCAGACGAGCTGTCACGGGGGCCACCATCATTCAGGTCCCCGGGACAGGTGGTGAGGAGAAGGCGGATATTCTGGCGTCTAGATTAAAGGAGGTCTATGGTGACGGAAGAGTCCGGGTTTCCAGACCTGTTAAATCAACTGAGTTGATGATCTCGGGGCTGGATGAAACAGTCACCCCGGAAGAGGTCAAACAAGCCATTTGCTCTAAGGTCAGCTGCTCGCCGGACAATGTGAAGGTCGGTAGCGTCCGTCAGAACAGGACTGGCCTTTTTGCGGCATGGGTCAGGTGCCCAGTGACGGCGGCCAAAAAAGCTGACCGAAGGAAGGTTATTAGTGGGATGGGCTTCCGCCCGAGTTGTTCTCTTGAGGGCCCGAGAACTGAGATGTTTCCGCTGCTTCCAGGGCGGTCATGTAGCAGCACGGTGTACTGCGGATATGGACCACAGTCACCTTTGTTTTCGGTGTGGTCAATCTGACCACCGAGCAGGGAGTTGCTCTGAAAAGCCGCAATGCGTTCTGTGTGCTGCGGCTGGCCAAAGAGCAAACCATCTACTGGGGGGTAACGCGTGTTCGGCCCCCAGCAAAAAGATGCCCAGAAGGACGTGGACCGCGAACAAAACGGCCACTGGTGCCCCACCGATCGGGGACACAGAGCAAATGGAGATAACACCTGGTTCATAGATGGCCCTCCAAATCCTACAGGCGAACATCAACCACTGCGCCAAAGCTCAGGATCTGTTACTCCAGAGCATGGCGCAGTGGTTAATCAATATCACAATAGTATCGGAGCCGTATACCAGAGGGAAAACTGGTTTGGCGACCGCAACGGTTTAGTTGCGATTGCCGTTTCGTTGCCTGAAGGCTTGCCTCAAGCCTCGCTAAAAGGAAACGGCTGTGTCGCTGTTAAACTAGAAAAGTCGTTGTAATTGGAGTTTATTTTTCGCCGAACCGGAGTATTACAGAGTTCGAGGCCTTTCTGGCAGAAATGGGCTCCCTGGTGGAATGGGCTCGACCATTAAATGTTATTGTTGCAGGGGATCTCAACGCGAAGTCGTCTATGTGGAACTCTCCGGTAACCGAAGCCCGTGGCGATGCGGTGGTTGATTGGATCGCCACTCACAACTTGGTGATATTGAATCGAGGATCGGAACGCACATGCGTGCGAATGCAGGGCAGTTCTATCGTCGATGTAACTTTTGCATCCCCGGAACTAGCAAATCGCGTCTCCAACTGGCGTGTACTTACAGAGGTTGAAACGCTTTCGGACCATAGGTACATTCGGTGCCTGGTGAGTCCCCATCAACAGCTACCACCAGCAACTGGTAGATCAAATCAGCCTCCACCGGAAATAGGGCCAAAATGGTCCCGTAAAAAACTGGACTTTGACTCCCTGTCTTTGGCATCTTTGACAGAGGCGTGGTGCCCTAAGCCAAATACTATCTTAGCAGATAGAGAGGTGCAATGGTTCGGAGAGGCTTTGCGACGTATTAGCGACGCTGCAATGCCAAGGATCCGCCCTATTCCGCCCCGCCGACAAGTGTACTGGTGGTCGCCTGAACTCA